TAAAAAACGCTCCATATCTGAGAAACAAAACGTTTTTGAGTTAAATTTATAACAATTTGTGTTTATTTAACCAACTATAAAGTTGACAGTAGACGTTTTTTCAAACTAATCCAAACTAAATGTTGAAAAATATTTAATGTCTTTCTATTATTTACAACTATTCATCGTCATTGAAACAAACTGGATTTTTTTTGCATGGTACTATATATCAACTAAATTGATGCCACTTTAATACGGAGACATGTTGACTCTCTACTTATTATGCACTCTGTTCATGAATGACCTTCCTTCCTTATTGAATCTATCAGGCACTGGGCCAATTAAATCAATTATCTTAACACCACTAAGCTACTGAACTGTTCTCTATGCTGGAATACTACAAGTACTAATGTGTCCAGAAACAATTTCTTTTTATATCTCTTCAAGGTCTAAACTGGAATTCATAGTTCTTAGCGTTGCGTTCCTCCACAAATTGGTTGTTGAGGAAGTTGATCCTTCTGCCATTTTAGAACGTATTTATTGCTTAGTACCTTCCAGACAAACAAAGAACAATTTATGCTTTAGCTTTAACGAATTTTCTCAGTTGAACGCTCCTTCTCTTTACTAAAAGCATTTTTTATCAACAACCTCAGACAGAATAACTGCAAAATTTTTTATAAATGGGAGCCAAATTTGCTAAATCACTTACAATTTATTATTATTTATTTTGAAAGTAAAATTTATTTAACAAATCTCATTCCAAATTATTAAAAAGTCATACTACAAAAATTTATTGAGTAATGTATTTATTGAGTATATGTATGTGTTCTATTTTAATTGAGTTTCCAAAAAGACGATATGCATCCACTGTACTGTGCTTCTTTTTAAAGCAGGCTCAGGTATCACACAATGTACAGCGTACGAAGAGTTGCCTTTAAAAATTAAAGCCAAACAATGCATAATGAAGCCCATGGCGAAGGTTGCCTAGCCACGGGCCAATAATAAATGAGTTGTATTTTTTTTTTGCCTTATTAATTAAGTACCTTTTTGTTGTGCCACAGTTTTTAGTTACTTGGTAAAGATTTGCGCGATATGCCTGACATTTTGAAGGAGAAAAATAAGTGCCGTTCATTTATCACCTTTTCGGAATTTAAGGCAGTAAAATGTCTATCAAAAAATCAAAATGTATAAACTTTTGTCGGAATATAATACATTTCAATTGAAACTACCTCTGCATAAATGCAAAACTCTGCTTTCAACCAGATAGGTTACAAAAATGTTTTTATTTAAATGACCCGACCTGCCATAATAATAAACAAAAACTCTCGCAGCATGCGCAAAAACTGCATTGTTCATGGCGCAAATTTAATAATCGAAATGCATTTTATCAAAATATTTTGATTTCAAGTGCGAAGTGGAATCAGAATAAATAAATGAAAAACTATACTGTCGGGCAGCACATATTCTTTTGTTAACATTAAACATGAGTGCGTACGGCAAAGATAATAATGAATTACGAATTGAATTGCAGATGCTAGGCTAAGTATGCGTAAGTCATTGTCAGAGCAATCATGGAATACCAAAAGGAGCAATGCCAATAATAGGCCATTAAATTTTTAATTAATCAATGCAACACAGTGGGACATACAATGAGTTATTATGCTGTTATTGCTATGTCAACAAATTGAATAATTTCTGCAGGATATTAAACCAATGCCAATTACTGCTGTATATAATAAACTATTAATAGGAATTCCTACAGTTAAAAGTTACGACTTATATTAAATTCTGCCATTATCTCTTCTAAACCCCCTGCTAAGGTTCGTTCTTTTAGTTTTTATGCTGAAAGATAAGTCGCATAAAAATATTAATATGCAGAAGATGTTAAAATTGTTGCAAAACTAGAACGATGGGTTGAGAAAACTTTATAATTGAGTGGGCTGCTACTTATAGCACCAAAACATTAAAAAGCTACATAGAAATTAACATATGTAACTTATTTATTTATGTTTGAATATTACACTTCTCCTTTTCTTCAAAGGGGCCATATATTTTAACTTGTAATCCCCTGTTTTTACTTACAATAAGTGTTCGCATTCCAATTGTTTGAAACAATTAATGGAAAACAGTATTTACCAAAATAGAGAGACGTTTTGAACAGATTTTGAATATAAAAACGAAAATAAATGACATCTTATACTTGTATTTAAATTATTCTGGAATTAACTGATTACCGTGATATCCTGTAGTTTCTTTCTTTAAATATGAATTGCGCATTATAAACTAAACTTTCAAGTTAACGAATTTAGAAAGTTAACCATAGCGAGGAGATCTGCAGTATTTAATGGATATCACTTTAATTAGCTCAAAGTGCTTTTGACCAGCTCGGATGGCTCTTGACTCCATTACTCATAAATTGAAATGTAATGTCAATAAATCGTCGCAATTAATTTCAGCATGAACTTTAATTACAAATCATTGAATATGTATCATATCGATTGACCTAATTACTGGCCACACTTTTCAGGCTTCAGAATTAGGGACAACATGGTATTATGTTATGACTAATTTATTGATGTTTGCAATGTGACATTTAGCTTCACAACTTAAACGAAATAAATTGTTCCAAATGTAACTAAAATTGTCACAGTTGCAGGTTTTTATGTTGTTTAAAAAACTAATATGAACTATTCAATATTTATGTAGAATTGGGCTTTTTTGACAGTTAGCCATGTTAGCCATAAAACATTCCAAAAACAATATTCTGGGATTTGTAAACTAGATTTTTTATAGGGCTTTTAATTTTTTTTTTTTTTTTAAATTTGATTGATTTTTATTCTTCACAAGATTTACAAATTTTCCCTTAATGTTTTCCAATTATTTATCCATGATTTATATTATTGAACTAAAAATTATAGTTATCCAAACGTTTTTGTTGTTCGTTTCAAAATATTTATGTATTTATTGAATAATATTCACTTTATGCATAAACTTGATTTGAATTCATCAGCATGCACGATTATAGAATTAGAGGTAAATAATAGAATTGAAGGCTAATAATTAAATGCCAAATAAGTCATATTATGGCTCTCAAATTTAATAACTTAAATTGTGCTTAAACCCTAGTCGAGTTCATTATACCAAGTGGTTTCCACAGGCTTGAAATGTCGGCTCACATCAGTTGCTAAGTCAAGCTACTGCACTATACATAAGTAAGTAAAGTAGAAGGAAGAAGCAATCGAGAAAATGAATGCGAACTTGTAAGTTGGATTAACTTTGCGTTGCAATTTGTTTTGGACAGCACAAAGTTTAGTTTACTTTAGTTTTGAGGTTGGTCCTGAGGCTGCGGCTAAGGCGTAATACTCACAAATTAAAGCCAATTGGCAGGCTCCAAAGTAGGACCGATTACTGTTGCCTACCCAGACCATTATAGCAGCTGAGGGGGTGTGGTGTGGACATCCCCTGTCAACGTTTGCCACTTGAAACAATTTACGAGCTGTGCGCCCATGGGAGTTGACCCGTAACGCTCTTTTTTATATATGTACGTACATATATTAGCCTTTGCCAAGAATCTGTGATAGGAGTTAGTTCAGCAATGCCGTCGGCCCAACGTGATGTGCTCGTATGTGTTTTTAACGTGTCGCTCCAATATAATGGCCGATAAATTAATTAACACTCGATAAAGTCATTGTCACGATTAATTATAACGCACAGCGCTGGGGTTTCGCAACGAAAATGTCCTTTTAATAGTTTCGCACGCATGTAGCGAGTTTTTCTAATGCCGCCCCCCTTCGCCAACACCGACACCCACGTCTCAATAACTTGAACGCCAACATATTCAGAGCAATTAGGTGCAAGCAAACACAAGGGTTAATGTTGATTAAATATGTATGGCAAGTGTGCCCACGACGAGTTTTATTTTTATGGCTGTAAAGAGTCTGGGCCATGAATTTATTAATGCGCTGCAACAGTTAATGATTTTATTGCCACTTGACTTGCAAGCCAACCATATACTATAAGCACAAAAAAGTAGACACAAGAATGTCAACTACGTTAAGGAAAATTTATGACCCCAGCTCATGAATATTATCAATGCCAAGAACAATAGCAGAAAGTCAGACGATGGCGTCTAGGGACTAAGATGACCATTAACCCATACAACAAGAAACGGAATACAGCAATCTAGTTTTGAAACTTGCTGTAAGCTGTAAATGAAGTTCTCATGCTTTTTTAAATTGTCCGCTCATCTTAAATGCTATTTCAATTTGGCACTTCCGTTTCCGTCGTCGCATCGAAAGCGAAAGTGGTCATTGCGCTGGACCAATGCGGATGGTTCTATTCTTCGTCCGTATTGTCCTTGTCCGACGTCGTTGACTGTTACTTCATTACAGCACTCACACAACCATACGATATAGTCAGCTTACCATCATCGTCCTCATACGTGTCCATACTCTGGTGCTCTTTCAGACTCACACATTCACCAACACAAACATACAGACGCACACCCGCACATTAAAGAAACAGTCAGGCAAAGAGCGTTATCTGCTTTATTTTGCATAATTGAATAAATTTTTACATGCACTTTACACTCGTTTTAAATTCGTGGCAAATTAAACTTTCACATTTCACTTAAGTGATTTGCATCATACAGAAGCCAGCTATCATGTATTTACAATTTCAAAATTTCTGCGGTTATGTTGAAACGTTCGCGTTTTTCCGCTCGCATACGCTACGTTTGAAAGTTCCGCTATAACTGAAACTACGAAGGAATGTTCCAAACGTTGTTATGTTAGCTAGCTAAGAAAAGCTCAGCAAAGGACTTTAAAAGGACAACAATAGCTTTTGTATATTCAAAAGAGTAAGTAACGGCCAGTTCTAAAGTAGAGTCAATGCTATTAGCCATGTCACTGCACTGTGAATACCGACAAAAGCTAGCTGCTATACAATTATAAAGCAGCTGTACAATATGTCTTTTTTGGAATGATGTGTAAACACTTTATATATTAGCACGTAAACAACGCTGTCGCTCAAGCAAACTTCTATTATATTGAATTGTTAAATAACTAGAGAATTAAGCAAAGTTTGACATGGCTCACTACAAGGGTGCCGCTAGTGAGGCGGGGCGCGCCGCCCAACTTATGAAAAAACGAGAAATCCAACAGCAGGAGATCGAATTTCGTAAGAAAAAAATCGAGGAGGAACTGAAGTTAGACAAGATTGAAAACAAATTCGCCACCCATTATGATGCCGTGGAGCAGCAGCTCAAGTCGTCGACCATTGGTCTGGTCACGCTGGATGAGATGAAAGCCAAACAGGAGGACATTGTACGCGAGCGAGAAAAAAAATTGGCACAGAAACGAGACGAAAAGGATCGAGAGAAACAACGTGCTTTGGAGGCTATTCAGGCGGAAAAGAACAAACAGAAACGGCAAATTCAAGCACTTTCATTTAATATGGACGACGACGAAGAGGATGACGATGGCGATGGTAGTGACAAAGAAGCGGATGACTTCAAGTTTGAGAAGCCCAGCAACAGCAAGTGGGCTGAGCTAAAGGATGATGCAATTCCCTCGAAAAAGAAGAAAATCTGTAAGAATCCCGATGTGGATACATCTTTTCTACCTGACCGCGAGCGTGAAGAGCAGGAAAACCGCTTGCGTGAGCAATTGCGTCAAGAATGGGTCATGCAGCAGGCGGAACTTAAAGACGAAGACATTTCAATTACCTTCAGCTACTGGGACGGCTCTGGACATCGACGCAACGTGCACATGAAAAAGGGTAACTCCATCTATCAGTTCCTACAAAAATGCTTGGAGCTCCTGCGCAAAGAGTTCATTGAGCTAAAAACTGTTATGGCCGATCAGCTAATGTACGTTAAAGAGGACTTGATACTGCCACATCATTACTCTTTTTACGACTTTATAGTGACGAAGGCGCGCGGAAAATCCGGGCCGCTCTTTCAGTTCGATGTACACGACGATGTGCGCATGATCAGCGATGCCTCCGTAGAGAAAGAGGAATCCCATGCGGGCAAAGTACTGTTGCGGTCTTGGTATGAACGCAATAAGCACATCTTCCCAGCAAGTCGCTGGGAGCCATACGACCCCACAAAATCCTATGACAAATACACGATTAAGGATAAGAGTAAAAAGTAATTAATTAATTAAGTACATTCATTTTTATTAAACAATAACTAATTCTGAATGCTGTAAATGATTTTACCTAATAAATATAATATGTATTTAAAGATTGTTTAGACATCTTTGTAATCCATTATGATGTATTTTCATTTGATTTTGATTTAACAAACCGCTTTCGACGTTGCGCAACACTGTTATCGAATTTGTGGCCAAAACTATCGTATCATATATCGAGGTCCGACATCAGCACCGTCGATGTTTTCTTATTAGTACTCACAACTTATCACTCTGACGCGGTATTGCCCTGTGCGTTGCGCTGTTTAATTTATTTGTTTTATCGCGGAATGTGTTTAAATTCTAAATAATTACATTATCGCAAAGTAAATAGCAGTGATAACAGTGTCTAGTGGGTATGTGCTTGTGCAAATGAATCGCCCTCGCATCGCGCAGCTTCTGCTTCTGAAAACAGGTACGCGCTGCTTCTAAAATTGCTGGCCCTGTGTGGGAGTTTTGTCGCTGTCGCCGTCGTCAGCCCATGTCATCTTCTTAATACAAAAATAAACTTAATGTTTACTTGCCCATCACGTATCGCTCGATTATGGAAGTAGTTTGTTGAAAATATGCGCGTTTATTTCATAACTAAATTTGTTTGAGTTGATTGTGTTTTGCATAGAATTTTGTGCAGGCGCCGCTTCCTTGTACAGGAAAAATCAATAAAGTCCAATTGTGACAATGCGTGCATCTGTGTGTGTGTGTGTATGTGAGAGTGAGAAGATGACTTTGTATACGTGTGCGCAAAAACGTTGAGTGTCTCCTTTATCAGCACTCGCCTTCCATGTAACCTGTGTGTGTGTATGTATGTGGGTGTGTGCGTGTGTGTGTGATTATATATTCGAATTGGATGCTTGAACTTATTGGAGGCCAGCAGCAGCCACCGCTTCCACTACTGTTGTGCGATTGTTATGCGATATGATCTGTAGAGTGAATGTTGCGCGCCTAATTGATAAGTACTACATATGTTTTTTACTGTTGCTCTTTTACCACTTCCACTGCATAATAGTAATTAATCACTCGGCATGGGTCTGTTGTCTATGCATTGTTTATGCTCAGTCTTTGTCAGTTGCACGGCCAAATTAGCTTTAAAATATTTATCATACATGGTGTTTGAGTTTCTGCTGTCGTATTGTTTCTTTCCTTGCCACAGCAAATAAACATTATTCGTGCATACATATGTATGTACGTACATGTGTCTGCATTAAGTTAATTTCCCTTTTACTTTACGTAATCATGAATATGCTGGGCAAAGACATTGCAAACAAAAAACTTTGCACAAGCGACAACAGTAACAACGACGGCAATGAAAACTACATCAATACTACTAGCAGCGATCATCAAACCAACTCACTCAAACACACCCTAGCGCATATTATTATTATTTATATTTTTGCGCATACTACATATTTGCGGCCTCTCATGCCCATCCATGGCTTTTTATTACTTTTCGCTTGCTTCCACCGTCTGCTTCGTCATCCCGTCCTCTCTTTCCATTTCCATAAACACTTTGATAGTTCTGCCAGTTGACTTTTCGGTATGCAAAATGTGTGCCAAACGCTTCCTCTTGCCATTTTAGTGGGTTTGTGCGCCGGTTAATGACCAGCAGGGCGGGCGCGGCTGACTACACATTTTTCACTTGCCAGCCAACATTTGTACAATGCTACATATTCGAATGTACAAGAATGTATATACAAACATATATACATTGTACATACATATGTATGTAGTATGAGTGTAGGTTTTATTTGATTGATGAAACACAGTTGATTCATCATTTACGGCGGCCATGCCATGCCGGCCAAAATACTATACATGTGTCTACATTCTTATCTACCATAACTTTTTATTTGCCACCAATTTATTATTTGTTATATGACAAAATTCTGGAAATATGAAAGAACCATACTATATTAGAGCATTGGAGCCGGAAACTTGTCTGTAAGACTGAACTACATTTTTTTTTAATTCTAGCTCTTTTGTTTAATTATTTGAGAGTTACATTCAACAATAAAAATAAATGTATATAAAATGTTAAAGCTTTTACAAAATATAGAATATGAAAAATCTCCATTCACAAAATTCCAAATCCCTAACAAAATTGTAGATTTTAAAGTGATCTGAAAACAGTCAATAGAGTATTCAATTCCCTTTTAATAATTAGTAATTATCCAATGCATTATGCCCCGTTTTGCCCTTAGTAGCTTACGCACTTTATCAAAATCATTTACTTCAGAAACATATACAAGACATAACATTCAACATTCCTCATTAGGATTCTAATGAATCTTAGACTGCATAACAAGTGTCATTTAAATAGTCAGTCAAGTTAATAAGTTACTTTGAACTCAATTGGATAATAAGTTACCACATACATACTTAACAAGAGAAAACATTTAAGTGGCCTTTCACTTGATTTGCTGCTAAATACGATACCAACATTTTGTATCATTACCGGAACATTTTTAGTGAATAGAATTCACCTTGAAGAATAAAAATTGTTTTTAATTGCTTTGCAAATGAATGCTTTCGCCAATTTTCTGCTGTCGGCAATTGTCCAAAGCTTTCTGAGTGGCACATTAATCCCAAAAGAGAATTATTGATTTCCAAACGCGAAAAGAATTAAATGAATTGAAACATTTTTCGCCATTTCAATGAATTAAGACATAGCCTACTTGTTATAAAGTTCGCAGTATATGCATATGGAAGAGATATTTTAGTGTGAAAACAAACTCGTGTAGTCGGTATAATTATTTAAATTAGAAAAGAGCTTTCAATTACGAATATAAATACGTATATCAAATCATATAATATATAAACGATTTTGAATGTAAATCCTCTATAATCGAACTTTAGCTTATTAACTATTAAAACGTTTGATTTTTTAGCTAACTAAAAAAATAGATAGATTCATTCAATCTCATTAAAGAAGTATACTATGTATATTTATTAATACATTGGCAGCCTAAGCTTTAGTTTATAAATAATCACATTTCACGAGTATGCACATATTTAGTTAACTTTTACAACAAATCAAATCAATTATCTTCAAAATATTACATTTATAAAACTCAGCATGTGCTTCTCTATAAACATTTTACACAATTCAAGTAAACATTTAAAATGAAAGATCGATCATAATTAGATGGCGTAGACTGCATTCAACAAACATAACTTCAGCGTTGCCTTGAAGGGCTTGTGGATAGAAACTCTGTTCACTAGTAATGTGTAGTAGTAGCCCACAAATGACATAATCCGCTGCACTGCTTCATTGCACAATACGAATGATAAATAACTTGCTTGTCCATTTCTTTGCCCATAGCGCATTACAAATGCGTTTTTACAAAAAGCTACAAACATACTATACAAGTACTTACAGTTGCATACATAAACAATAAATATAATGCGAATACTTATACGTATGTGCATACGATTTAGTGGGAAATGGATTTGCAAATGCATACAAATATATTTTAATAAAATAGTTCATTTACTGTGCCAATTGGAGCTTGCCTCAACGTTGACTTCGAGTGCCCGCCTTGGTAAATGGAAGCAGGGCGCACTTTTTAAACTCCATGACCTGCTTCAAGATTAGCGCATACATACATCATGTATATGCATGCATACGAAATTAGCCCTAATTTACTCAGACTTGAGACAAACTATGCTGGGCCACACTCACTTAAGCACGCACCACTCGAGTTGAAGTGGCGATGGTGACGGTGACGGTGATGGTGGCGGTGGCGCATGCGCCAATGCAATAAAATGCACCAACAACTATGGCCCCAAAATTGCATCGCATAACTCAACGGCAGCTCAAATGAAAACCACATACAGCTAGATAGATACATACCTACAACATACTGCGAAAAAGTATCTGTATCTTTTTTAATACAAGTCATGCACTGGAAATTCCGTAAATACAGCGACTGCGACGGCGATGATGCCGCCAACTTTCTAAAAGATGCAACGCAAGACAGCAGCCGCTCCAGCTAATAATGATAATGATGCTTGTAGTTGTTGCAGTTATAGTCGTTGTTATACATATAGTATACTATACTCGTACTTGCAGTTGTTTCTGATGCTCATAACAGATTGTGTTTACATTCACGGTGGGCCGCCGCTGCACACCTGATTTATATACGTATGTACCTGTTGATATAGTCAGTTTTAGCGGGAAAGGGCGAAATTAAGAAACGCAGTAGCATTAATCTTAGACATCTGATTAAATACAGGTATTAATATGCATTAAAGTCTGGGTAAAAACAAATACAAAGCAACTTAACTGAGTGGAGCAAACAAAAATAAAACTTGAAAGTTTACTAAATTAAAAGAAAATATTAATCTACTAATCAGTATTTGGTGCTTATAAATTCGCAGTTTGTATTAGAGCTAAACCAGATCACTGAAGTATTTACACAAAGCGCTATCTCAGTAGTCCAAAACTGATTCCAAGTATCAAATGATTTATTTACAAATCAACGTAGAGTTTTGAATATTCTTTATTCATTTTAAGCCATTTTGATTATATTTTACAAAATCCTCGTTAGCAAAATTAATATTTGTCCATGATTTATTTGAGATATGGTATATAGTAAAAAGATTATGTTATTTATTCAAATTTATTGTCACAACTTAAAAAAAAAAAATTAAAGAGTATATTTCTCTCTCTCTCTTTAAAATTATTCACACAAAAGTATTTAAATACTTCTTGATTGCCAAGCATAGCTTCAACATTTATTTATATCCTTTAAACCATATCACCAATACATCTTAAATCTATCTAGTGTTACAATGACCCAATAAATAAGTAGGATCTTATTAAACTAAGTAATTATACTATAGCGAATGCTACAGAAGTTTTCTTTTTAATAGACTTAATACATTTCGCGACTAATGGCAATTGTGTCTAGCTTGCTAACCCAGACGAACGCACAACTATAAATAGAGCTAGTCAGCCCCCCCCCCTACAACGCATCAGCACGCGTTGACTTGCTGACTGACCACTAATGTTGCTAAATTTATAACAAAATGCCAAATCTTGTGTCTTATTTTGCAGGCCGATCTGTAAGCAAGTGATGGCCTCACATTAAGAAGTAGTGTTGAAGCAGAAAATCCCAGAACTATGTTCCAGCCGGCACCGCTGCCGCCACCATCGGCAGAGGAAGATGCTGCACGGACTCCGCCGCCACTGACGCCGGAACTTGAGGCAGGTATGGCCAGCATTCTCATAGATAATGGCGATATTATGGATGATGTCGATGTGGATGCAATGCCCGAACGTAAGCCTCATTTTCTGGACTATGATGCCGTTCCGCCACCAGAGTATGAAGAGAACTATGCCTACGGCCCCAATGCAGCTGGGGAGCAGCTAAAAATGGACAAGAAATATGAGCGTGATGGCGAGATAAGCGACTATGAGTTGGCGGCTAGTGGTTATACGAAAAAGGAGTTCACCCAGGATGACAATACGTTGCATTTTACACAGGTGGCTGGGCAGAAGGCGACAGTTTCGGCTAAGCCCAAACATTTTCTGGACGAGAATCCCATACCCCCGGATTATATGCTGGCACAAGAGCTGCGTGAGCATCGAAGCTTGGATCGCAATTTTGAGCGGCAGGCGGAGCAGCAAAAACAGCAGCAGCAGCGCACATCTTCGCCAGCGGCGTCGTTAAGCGGTGGTCGCAAGAACTCGGTGGAACGCAGCAGTGGTGGCTCAAGTCGCGCCTCGCGTGAGCGAAACAAAGAACCATCGTATACACTCTCACGGTTTCTGGATGGTGATGTGCCGCCATTGCCCAGAGTACCGAAAGGTGCCGCCTGGACAGAAAGTTTCGAGGAGCGTTATGGCGAAGCCGACGATACGCTCGGCTCAAAAGTGGAATGCGTATATTCGCTGCTTTCGATGCTGGGTTCAAATGATCCGCTGGAGATGTCCAAGAAATTTTTAGAGTTATCTGGCAACGCACAAACCTGCGCCACCCTGAGACGCTCTGGATGTATGCCGCTGTTGGTGCAAATGATGCACGCCCCTGACAATGAGGAAACGGTTAGAAAATACGCTAGCTTGGCGTTGCATAATGTAGTGCACAGTCATCCGGATGAGAAGGCGGGAAGACGTGAAGCCAAAGTGCTGCGGCTTCTGGATCAGATCATGGACTATTGCAACTTTTTGAAAACGTTGCTGCAGAGCGGCGGTGAGGCAATTGCAGATGATTCAGATCGTCACCCATTGGCAGCCATTTCATCACTGATGAAGGTCAGTTTCGATGAGGAGCATCGGCATGCGATGTGCGAGCTGGGCGCTCTGCAGGCCATCCCGAATCTGGTGCATTTGGACCATGCTGTGCATGGACCAAAGCCGGAGGATCAATGCTGCAATTCACTCCGCCGGTATGCTCTAATGGCCCTTACAAATCTTACCTTTGGAGATGAGAATAATAAGGCACTGTTGTGTGGTCAAAAACAGTTCATGGAGGCGCTGGTCGCCCAATTGGACTCGGCACCGGATGATCTACTGCAGGTAACCGCCAGTGTGCTGCGAAATCTATCATGGCGAGCGGATCAGAATATGAAAGCAGTACTAAATGAAATTGGCACAGTCACTGCTCTCGCCCTAGCAGCTATGAAAAATAAGAGTGAGAATACATTGAAGGCCATTCTGTCGGCGCTTTGGAACCTCTCAGCCCACTGCAGCACCAACAAGGCAGAGTTTTGTGCCGTGGATGGAGCGCTGGCATTTCTAGTGCGCATGCTCAGCTACGAAGGACCGAGCAAGACCCTTAAGATCATTGAGAATGCTGGTGGTATTCTCCGCAATGTGTCCAGTCACATTGCTGTCTGTGAACCCTACCGTCAGGTATTGCGGGAGCACAATTGTTTATCCATACTCCTACAACAGCTCAAATCGGAAAGCTTGACTGTGGTGAGCAATTCTTGTGGAACATTGTGGAATCTGTCGGCTCGCTGTCCCGAAGATCAGAAATTCCTGTGGGATAATGGAGCAGTACCCATGTTGCGCTCGCTCATACACTCCAAACATGCAATGATCTCAGAGGGCAGCAGCTCAGCGTTGAAGAATCTACTAAATTTTCGACCGGCGGTGCAAAATCAGCACCAACTCGATCCGATAGCACGTTCTATGGGTCTGAAGAAGTTGCCCACACTGACAGCGAGAAAGCAAAAGGCATTGCAACAAGAACTGGGCGAGAAACATCATGAAGAGACATGCGATAATTTAGACATGGGTCAAAGCAGCAGCAGCGTCACAGGAGGCAGGGCTGTTAAGGAGCGATCTGTCAGCTCAAATTTGGAGTTACTCGCTAATGGAATTACGCGCAAATACCCTTTAGTGGGAGGCGCTGGAGCTGTCGGGGGCGTTGCTGCTGTGACACCAACTGGCAGCGGAGCGCGCCTGACACGCTCAGCCTTGCTAACAAAGAGTGAGAGTCGTGACTCAGTCTTTTCAGCGAAGTCAGACACTGCTTATGAGCATCTAATGCGCTCCCACTCTGCCTCAGAAGCAGCCGCGCGTCAGTCTCAATTCCCTACTGCCTCGGTGGCAGCAGTGGCTTTTGAGCTGGAGCACGATGTTGAGGCCATCGAGGAGCAGCCTATTGATTATTCCGTTAAATACAATGAAAGCGTCTCCCTGACCAAGACGTCATCCACAACATATCAGGAAACGGACTTGGATCAACCAACAGACTTTAGTTTACGCTATGCTGAAAATCAAATCGAATCCGATGTTGACATATCGCCACCGGAGGTGGCAAACAGTGCGGAGGTGCAGGCTCAAACGCAAGCGAATCCTCCGCCGACAACAATTGGTGCCACAGCTAAAGTGCAGACCGAAAGCAAGCCGGGTCAGGAGATATTGCTTATCCTGGAAGATAGCGTCAAGTGTTATCAGACCGAGGATACGCCCTATGTTATATCGAATGCTGCCTCTGTAACGGATTTACAACAGGCAGCCAAATCAGAGCCAGTCGTGGCTGAATCGGGTCATATTATTAAGTCAAATGGAAGGCAGGAGGCACCTAAGAAAGCTATTAAGATGGCTCCGCAGTACGGTTCCGGCTCTTATACGCCAGAGAAACCCATTAACTATTGTGAAGAAGGTACTCCTGGCTATTTCAGTCGCTACGATTCCCTGAGTAGCCTTGATGACTCATCGGCAGTTCCGGCAGGCTCCTCATCAGCGCTTGGAGCAGCAGCACCGCAAACTAACCTATCTTCCAGCGTATCCAAACTCAGTAAGGAAACTGATGCAAATACCCACGTTGAGTCCAAGCCCACAAATAGTCTGCAAACGAAAGAGGCCACTCCCAATTCTGCTCTCGAGACCCCACTTATGTTCTCTCGTCGCAGTTCCATGGACTCGCTTGTGAATGAGGACGTAGGCCCCTGTGATGACAAGAGCTCGGTGGTGAGCGACTTTAGTCGCTTAGCCAGTGGCGTAATTTCCCCGTCTGAACTTCCCGATTCACCTACCCAAAGTATGCCGCAGTCGCCGCGACGCAACAGTGCAAACGGTCAACCCTGTTCCGGATCCCAGCAATCCCCAATAGCGCCCCGCAGTATAACTTGCAAGCGACCGTTGCGGAGCGTATTCGAAGATGATCTCAGCACCTTCAATGTGGAGCACACGCCGGCGCAATTCTCTTGTGCCACCAGTCTGAGCAACCTCAGCATTGTTGACGATGAGCAGCCAATAGGAGAAATTGCAAGCTCATCAAAGCCAGGTGAGGTAGCGACTGCTACACAACCTACCAACTGCGTCGCCTTGCCATCCGAGGGCGAGGAGGATGAGTTCACAAATATGGGAAACAACAACGATGATTTGTTGCTGGCCAGCTGTATCAATATTGGCATGAATCGCACAGCGGAGCGCAAGCAGTCCAAGCAAGAAGCGATTGCTGCCACAGCTTCCAACGGTGAGGAGCCGCTTCGCTATTGCACAGAAGATACGCCGGCATTGCTCTCCAAAGTGGGCAGTAACACGAATCTGTCAGCCATCTCCATCAATTCAAATTATGCAGTAGGCGGCGAAGACGTAGCTCCAAAGCAACCCCAACGCTACTCGCTTAATTTATCCGACGATGTCAGCTCCAATGCCTCAGAGAGTGGAGCGGCAGCACAGTCGGCCGATCTGCTTCAGCAATGCATACGAGTGGGCATGCAAAAGCCCAGTATGGATGCCATTGCTATGTTGAGGCGAGGTGGAAACGTATTGCCAGCGTACTTGCCCGTGGGCGATGAGATGAACAAATATCTGGTCGAGGATAGTCCATGCAATTTTTCAGTTGTCTCTGGACTGTCCAACTTGACTGTCGGCTCCAGTTTGGTGGGTCCGGCTGTCCAACTACAGGAGCATACTGAGTAAGTTTTCTTAAGTTTTAAATTGACTATTGCAGCTAAAAAGCTAATCAAACCGTTGCAGTTCCACAAGCAACAATACTTCTGCTGCCACATCCAAGCCCCAGTCGGGTAAGGTGGTAGTAGCGCCCCAGGAGGATGTTAGACGGCAGCACCAATGGCAAGATGATTCACTGAGCTCATTATCTATAGATTCCGAGGACGATACCAACTTATTAAGTCAGGTAATTTACCGCGACTTCATTCCCTAACCGTTCTCTAAACGCACTTCAATTTCAGGCTATTGCCGCTGGCTGCAACAGACCCAAATCAAATCTTGGTTTCAGCTCAACAAATTCGACTACCAAGCGGTCAAGCTCACTGTCCTCTTCCCAGCCCATGGCAATAAATGCGGCTACCTCGGCATCTTCATTGAATTCAGCGATGACAGCACGTAATTATCAACGACAGTTGAAGCAACGTTCCTCCTCCGGCACGGCAACTGCCGCTCAAAATGAATCATATAGCTCTGTGGACTCTAGCGATTCAAATGAAAACCAATCCAAGTCCCTTTTCGAACTATGCATACTAAAAGGCATGTACAAGTCTAAGGAACCGGGCTCAACGCGCAAACAATCGACCGCCAGCTCCTCCACACAATCTAATCCCAATCTAAAGCAATTTGATTCGCTTCCGGTCCAATTGTCTCAGCCTAAGTCTTATACGCCCAGCCGGCAGCGACATCATCATCACCACCATCATCATCATAGAGAACGCGAGCGAGAGCGCAAGGATGAGAAATTGTTGCAGGAATGCATAAATACAGGCATTAGCAAGAAGATAGGATCAAGCGGCACACCGACGCCGACCCATGCGCCGCTCAGCACTGCGCCAAAAAACGCCCAAGCTACGTCTGCAGCTGCATTGGAACCGTGTCACCCAATGGCGGCTACTACATTAGCAAGTGTCAGCAGCACAGCAGCAGCTCCAGACGTAGTAAAGAGGAAAGTGCACGGGCAAGCGCACAGCATCAGCAGGGAGAACAGCCACGCCGACATCACAGACGCACTAAAAAGTCCAGCGGCGATGCAATGCGTCGCAAATCTTCCAAATCTCGCGAACGGTCCCGAGACAAAAGTGAACGCTACTGGGTCTAGACAGGATGCAGATGGCGATGATCGGTCAAGCGATGAATCGAACCAATCTTTCATCATGGACACTATGGTACGCTTGGATGCTTGCTCGGCATCGCAATCGGCCACCGCCTCCACCACAAGCGACAAGCACAAGGACCCAGACCTCATGTTGAAATCAGTAGAACGTCTCACGCTGGAGTTTGTCACCTCAGCGGAGCAGCTGCGCACGGGTAGCAGCTCACAGGAGGCAGCGAAGCCTTTGGGAATTGGCACGGGATCACACAACACGTGGAATGAGAACACTTGCCCCAATGATATCTCTTTTCCCAGCGTCAGCATGTCTGCCCCTGTACTCGCATCCCTGAGCCTAGACGATGATGTTGATGGCGTTGATATTGATGAGGATCAGGCGACGGAGGCAGATGTGCACAAAGATTTGCATGACTTTGCCGAAATTACGCCGACAAACGAGGTGGCTAACATGCTGCCCTCATTTAGCATCGGTAATGGTTTAACACAGCCCAATTCGCTGGAGACTGAAACGGATACGCTGGTCAGCGCCAATGGCGACGGTTCAAGTGGTGGCTCCAGCGGCGGTCTAAACTTCCAGCTTGGTGGTGAAGTGCAGAGCGCTGCGGCAGTCGTTGGGTGTCAACCGACACCAACGTTACTCTTCAACGGCACCAGCGCCAGCATTATGACTAACTCCACTATGATTGCTTACGAAGCGCGAGCCCTAGCCGAGAATCTGCACCAGCTGCAGGCGGGGGATCGTGATGACGATGACAATACTGAATTAACATTCAGCATTAACAGTCTAGATCTGGACAATGTGCGTCCGCCTTCGGGTATGGAGTCGCTAAACATGTCCGGTTGCTATCAGGAACACTCAACGCACCAGCCCAGTTCTCTGCAGTTGCGCCCGTTTCCCAGCAAGTCGCCGAAATTTCCACGCAAGGGATTTCCCGGCGGTTTCCCCGCTGGCCTGGTAGCTAAACGCGCTCTAGGTCAGTTGGCCGGCAGCGCTGAGAGTGTGAACTCCAGTTGTAATTTACTGGACAACATCAAGCCGCCATCGCTCATGGATGAGTTGCTAGACTCCATGATCAGTGTGGATAGCATTCAGTCAGAGGTGGCTGAGGGGGAACATGGCGATTGCAGCATGGCCACAACTATATCTGTGTCAAACTATGAGACGGCAGCAGGCGGTGATGATAACACGCTCACTGTCCTCCAGAGCTGCTGCGATCAAATGCCGCGCGATGAAGATGAGGAAGATGCCACAATGAATGATTTTAGTTCGGCAGAATCGACGCCAAAACACAGTGCCACACCCTCGCCCAATCGACGTACATTGACGCCGAAGCAAAAGCGACGCGTAGCCAAAGATCGCTACAAGACCTACACAATTGCAACAGGTCCTGAGCAGCTAAATGCGCTTCAGAAACTCGCATTAGAGACGGACGAAACACTACAGATTGAGATTGTGGAAACAATACCAAGAGCGGGTGGACGCAGACGTGGCAGTGCTGACCGGTATAAGACGCAAGTTATCGAGTGTCCGAAACAGGTACTCGATGCGGGAGCAACAACATCCACTCCTCCACTTATAGATGATGATTGCCCCAGCGATCAGTTATCCTCGATTCGCGCCATGATGCAAAAGTTTACTTACATTACGAGCGAAATCAACATAAACCCGGAGGAGCCATCCCTGTCGCTGCCAACCATGCCAGCTGCAGATGATTGTCAGAGCTGTGAGTGCGATCAGAACTCGGAAACAGAGTCGTGTCATGGTCGAGAGCAGTTCGAAGTGGTGCAAAAAGTGGAGGTAGAGCAGGAACATGCGGAGGAAACAACGCCGCCAGCCACCAAGCCTGTAATCAACAAACTGCCGAGCGCAGCATCGCCAATTAAAACAGTGCGGGGACGGAAAAAGCCCGCTTATGTCTCACCCTACAGCATGCAAAGCCAACGGGCCGGAGCACAAGTGTCTACCAAAAATAAAACCCTAGCACCCACTATTTCGAAGAGAAGCGCTCCCTGCACGAACAATATTGCGCGTCCATCCCAAAAAAAGAAGATCACCAATGCTGGAGCAACGTCGACACCTGCGCCGGCGCCTGCACGCCTGGAACGTCAGGGCACATTTGTCAAAGATGAGCCCACAAATATCAATACTCAAGTACCGGTAGTTGAGGCAGCAGCTAGCACCAGTCCCAGCCATCGTACATCAAAATTGCCAACCAAACGCACAACGCCGACGAGCTCACCCAAGCGCACTGTTCCAGCAACTCGGCAAGCAGCCACACCGCAACGAGCCAATACAAACATACGTTTGTCCAGCGCCAAAGCCGCAGCGGCCTCGCGCGTGGCCATTCAAGCAACTCGCGTATCATCCACCACCCCCCCATCGCGAAGCAATTCCAATTTGAGTGGTCAGAGTGCCGCCGCCGCAGCTGCTGTTAAAATCAGTCAAGCACAAAGTCGCATTGCCAACATTTGGAAGCGGGTGGATGAGGCCAAAACCAAGCCAGCAGTGAACTCCAATCTGAAGATACAACAAACGAAATCTTCCAATACCATCAACGGTACAACGGCACGAAAACCAACGCTATTGCGCAGCTCGACCTTTGACAATACGCCGCCAGTCGCAGCTCCAAGCGCAATTGCCAAATCCAAGCTGCCCGTTGTGGGTCGCAAATAAATATCTTGCATTTCAATTCAGCTCAAGTCGGAGTCGCACAGGAAGGGAAGGATCCAAATCAAAATGCCAGGGAGGGCATACAGACAATGTTAGTGTACAAGACCGTAATGAAGGCAATAATATTGGGTTGATTTAATGTATCAGTGTGTGAACATTTTAGATACATTTACTGATCATGGATTAGGATGCATTAGGATGCAATCTCTTAATCGCTGTTTGATTAAGCGATCTATTAAATACGGTTTAATCAATTTTTTTGGAATTCTTAAATCAAGCCAATAGTCCGCGAAACAGTTACGATTTTAGTCAGGGACTACATATTCTTCTTCTACTTGACTTTAGGGATAAAGTTTAGAATAGCGAAACTTCTAGTTACTTATAATCCCACTATTCAACAACACAGTTGCCACTTGGAGCCACTTGATATAAATTAGAAATGCTCCCATTGTGTGTAGCCAAATGTATTAATACGGTAGACATTTTAATCAGGCCTTTCAAAATGTGTACAACTATATACATATACATAGCATAGCATACTACAGTATCAAAAAGTTATATACAATGCATAAATCTGAAATATATATCTACCTACTTATATATGTATAATTGTATGTATTAACATTATTGTGACTTAGCTTAGTTCTCAAAAAGACTTTTTCAACTTGTTTACACAAAACGCACTTAGCGCACAAGTTTGGAATCAAGAAAACTCACAGCTGAGTTCAATACATACAACGATATCCAAAAAGTTATACACCACCTCCCTTATTAACTATTATTATATATTATATTTTTAATATATTTTTGTTTGTTAATTTCAAATGCTTCCTTTTGCAAAACCAAATATTTTTTAAAAAACATTTATAGTCACTGCTTTTTATTAAGTTTTAATAAAGCGCTAAGTTTTTTTTTATAATTTTTTGGGGCACCTTTTTTATACTAAACGACAACTTTTACGCGACTTACATATATACATAGATAGTATTAAGTTTGATTTGATTTAAGGCGTTTACACATCTCTATATAATAAATTAATACAAAAAGCTTCAAATGCAAATAAATCAAACACACTGAATTTGTCGTTTCTGTAGCCGTTCATCCAAGATCATATGGACTGAGTGAATTTAAACCCATTATGAGTATTTATTTCAGGTCAGATCCCTAATCATCCCGAGGGAGGTTTTGCTTTCATCTTTACCGAAGATTTCCCCACACAGGGAACCTGAACACTGGATTGAGAGAGAGAACAAAGAAAAAGTTTGGCAGTTCGTTATAAAAATTTATAAAATCTATCATATTTTACCAAGCGACATTCTTAAATATGCAAATTATTTTTTATCATACATCATATATATAGTACATAACACTAAAGTTTGTTAATCTTATACCGCCACAAGCAAAGCGTAGTACTTGTATTTCACTCATTTTAAATTCTACATATAAGGTATGACTAATAAAAGCATACTTTAAAGAAGGTAATTAACATAATAATAATCTTTTGAGACCTCTTTAATCTGGCATTGGCAAGTGTTCCCTTAACGTTGAGTCACCAGCCTAGGTGGGTTGCTGGAAATCAAACCAATTCAATTGCAATCAATCAATGCATGCATAGTCGATAAGTTACAAACATAGATAAGACAAAGTGGTATATATAGCGCCACGCTTGCCCCAATATTTCAGTTCAGCAAAGTTCAACCAAGCAAAAAGATGCAAAAAGTTATCCTCCTGGCACTTCTGGTGGCGGCCACCACTACGGCAACACCCGTGAATCAGGCCAGCCCTATGAACTTTGGAGAGGCACTCACCAATATGTACACGGCCTTCCAGAAGATGATGCCTTGTGGCTATCCTGCCGATAACATTCCCGTTCTTGATCCTTTCCGCATTGAGCAACAGTCCTTCAACTCTGCTACCGATGACTACAGCTTTGTGGGTAATATTACCAACTTGTACATTACCGGTCTCAGCAACTTCCACCATGTCGGAAAGAGTTACAATGAAGACACGGGCTTTTCAAGCTTTGACATCATCTTCCCCGAGATTCAAATCCTCGGCGAATACGATGTGAATGCCTTTATGAACGTTGCGGGCTTCCCTCTTCGTTGGACTCAGAGCGGTCTCATCAATGAGAAGTTCATCGATTTGCGATATGTGGCTAGCTATACCATAGCCAGTCCCGTAAATGCTACTGATAAGCTCAGCGTTACAAACGTTAATCTAAACTTTTACTTATCCGATGCTGCCTTTGACAACTGGAACGTTTTGTGGGACATCTCGACCAACAACTTTGTGAATAAGGCCGATCGCGAATTGCTTCTGATGTTGGTGGAGCAGATTCAGCCGCAGGTGAATTATATTTTAGACAAATATGCCCTGCCCTATATTAACGAGTATCTGGGACAAATGAGCATGGATCAGCTTATTAATACTCTCAATAGCATGGCAGCTTCTTTTGAAAAGGCCGACTGCAATGTTGTGGCTTAGGCTGATATAGAAAGACTGAGAAAAGTCTAATTATAAATAAAAAGAGCATTAAAGAAATGATTTTTTGAAACTGATTTTTATTGAATAATATGAGTTTGTTGGGGTATCCTCTATCAATTTGGTTTAATTACAATCACAATTATTTTAGAAGATAACCCATTCATATGAAACAACAATATTTTTCAACTTCAGATTTTGAATGTGGACCACTTTTTATTTCATTGTTAGATATCCAAAACAATGGTATAAATCCATAACATGATACACAAGAAATCTGTTTCGCAATTCCTCTAAAACGCATATCAAACTCCGCTTTTTGTAATAATCTCTTCACTCATCTAATGCATTGAATAGTGTTCAGATATGGGTAATGAAAATTGCTATTATTATCAAGTAGAATATGAAACCTTAATAAAGTCTTTCCCGAGAACCAAGTTATGTCTAATGATTGCTTGCCCATGCTTTTATCAGATATAATTAATTAATGAGTTTATTAATTTTCGAATAGTGGGGTATATCGACTTTTAAGTGATTTTGAAAAGTTTATTTTAGAATCCCGGGGGTAAACTGACGCTATTATTATCTTTTAATATAATATGAATTGTATTCAGGAAGATCTATATCAGTAGTATCTTTAATGTTTTAACGTTTCCTACAATTAAAATCTCCATACAAGTAAATACGGAATCATATTTGCTGGAACAACTACTATTAAATTAAATTAAACAAGTAAAAAAGCTAAAGTCGGGTGTCCCGACTTTGAAATACTCTGTACATATGTTTACAATAATTATAGAAAATAAAAAAATTAAGAAAATTAAAAAAAAACAAAATTTGATCGATTTTACCTCTCTCGGTATTCGAACTCACGTAAAGAGTTTATAATTGCACATTTACATAGCAATTGCGTCTGTGTGAGTGTATGTGTGCCTATGCGCATCTATTCGTGTCTGTGTAAGCATGTTAGCAGTCAACCAAACAGCAACATCAACAACAGCCGCGGGCAGCGCTTGAGCAGCGCTGCAGCAGCGCTGCATCAGCAAATATATTTAAATCGTTATATGTATATACGGACATATAATAACTAACTGGGGGTATTTCCAAAATTTTAGTTCGAAATTCCAAGAATTACGGGAGTTACGATTTGCGTGGTAGAGGGGGGAGGGAGGGAAATTCCAAAATACACATTTTCTGCGTATTCACATAAGGCATCTGGGACTAAAATTTTGTGTTCCTAGGTCTTATAGTCTCCGAGATATAGGCGATTATACGAATGGAAAATCGGGAAAACACCCATAGGGGGGAAGTGGGGGGGAAAATCAAAAAAATAAAACAAACTCGTATAGAATACACACATCCAGGTGTTCATACGGACGGACAGACTGACAGACGGACAGACAGACAAACAGGGCTAGATCGACTCATCTCGTCATGCTGATCAAGAATATATATACTTTGTGGGGTCTGCCACGCCTCCTTCTGCCTGTTACATTTTTCAGCTCCCGCAAACCTAATATACTTCTGTACATTTCATGTACAGAGTATAACAAGAGAGAACGCTACAGTCAAGCAAGCCCGACAGTGTAATACCCTGTACCCAGGTAAAGTTCCGTCACTGAGTTATATGCGCCCAAAGCAGCAGCAAAAAGAGGAAGAAGAAGAGCGAACTTGTTGCTGCAGTTTGTGGGGGTTGTACTGGCGAGAATTTGTTTCGCTAATAACTTTTCTTAGAATTGACAGAATTGAATAAAATTTTAAACAACAGTAGATAATTATGTATTAATTGGTTTTGGTTAATTAAGTTTGGTTTAGGTAGCATTTGAAATGTGGACGCTATTGACGAAATTCTGCAGCGGGGGAAGGGGGGAAAAATTAAAAAAAAAAACAAGATAGAACGCTACAGTCGAGCAAGCCCGACAGTAAAATAGCCTGTACTCTCCACAAAAAAGAAAAACTAAAAAAAAAAAAAAATAAAAAAAAAAATTTTTTTAAAAATTAAATTATTAAAAACATGAATGAATGAATTAATTAATTAAATTAAATGAGAATACATGTTTATGTTCAGTTTTAACAGCATACATTTACATCACGTACCTATGCGTGTTTATATGCGTGTATGTATGCAGCACAAAGTTGAACCAAACCAGCAACAACAACAACAGCTGCGGGCAGCGCTGCCGACAGAGGCAGCGCATGAGCAGCGATTTTACTTATGGCTATAACTTTCTTCAGAATTGATGAAATGATGAAATTTGGCATACGGACACATTAGTACTAACTGGATGTACCTACCAAAATTGATTTCAAAATTCCGAAAATTACGGAAGTTATAAGAAAAAAACACGAATTGCGGGGGAGTGGGGGGGTGCATCGAAAAAAAACTCAAACTCGTACTTTCTCGGTCTTAGGAGAATATGGAAACCAAGTTTGGTTATTCTAGCTCTTATACTTTCTGAGATCCTTGCGTTCATACGGACAGACGGACGGACGGACAGACGGACGGACGGACAAGGCTATATCGACTCGGCTTCTCATCCTGATCAATAATATATATACTTTGTGGGGTCTGCCACTCCTCCTTCTGTGTGTTACATACATGCGCACAAAACTAGTATAGCCTTTCACCCTTTGGGTACAGGCTATAAAAATAAACTCGTCCTTACTCGGATCTAGGAGAATCTGGATGCCAACTTTGGTTATTCTAGCTTTTATAGTTTCTGAGATCCTCGCGTTCATCCAGACGGACGGACAGACGAACGGACAGACGGACGGACATGTCTAGATCGATTTCTCTCGTCATGCTGATCAAGAATATATATACTTTATGGGGTCGGAGATGCTTCCTTCTGTATGTTACATACTTTGCACAAACCTAATATACCCTTTTTACCCTACGGGTACAGGGTATAAAAAGTTTAAAATAATGTTTATCGAATTTACTTCCCTTGGTATTCGAACTCGCGTAAAGGGTGCACATTTCCATAGGAATTGTGTCTTTGTGAATCTATGCTTGTTTATGCGTGTATGTGTGTTTCCAGGGAAGTGGGGGTGCATCAAAGAAAATGAAGCAAACTCATAAAGCATACCTATGTACAAAACTTGGTGTTTCTTTTTTTTATAGACTCTGAGATCTCTAAGATTAAACCTAATATACTGTTGTACATTTCATGTACATATCAACTCATCAAAACTTCCACATCTTTGAGACGAACACATCAGATCAAAGCATGGGCACACAATCATTAGAATGGAGTTGGTCCAGGAAAGAAATTGATAACATTTCATTATAGCCTGTACCCAAAGGGTGAAAGGCTATACTAGTTTTGTGCGAATGTAGTCGATTTGGCCATGTCCGTCCGTCTGTATGAGCGCAAGGATCTCAGAAGGTACAAGAGCTAGAATTACCAAACTTGGTATCTAGGTTCCCCTAAGCCCTAGGCAGGTCAAGTTTTTTTTTTTTATTCTGATACACCCCCCACTCCCGCAATTCGTGTTTTTTTATAACTTCCGTAATTCTTGGAATTTTGAAATCAGTTTTAGTAGTAACGTCCAGTTAGTGCTTATGTGTCCGTATGCCGAATGTCATCGTGATATGTCAATTCTGAAGAAAGTTATAGCCATAAATAAAATCGCTGCTCATGCTCTGCTTGCAGCGCTGCCTGCATCTGTTATTGTTGTTGCTTATATATACACGTATATAAACAAGTGATGTAAATGTAAAACTGTACATAAAAATGTCTTCTATGTATGTATTAAATAAGTTTTCTTAATTTATTTAATAAATTAATTAAAATTTATTTAAATAATTTAATTTTTTTCTTCTTTTTTAAAATTTTTTTTTTTTTTTTTTGTGGAGAGTACAGGCTATTTTACTGTCGGGCTTGCTCGACTGTAGCGTTCTATCTTGTTTTCTATTTTATTATAAAAGTAAAACCCATTGCCCATATCTTAACAATTTTCACTACATTAGATGAGTGAAGAGATTATTACAAGTACATATATGAATCTCGAAACTGAATTCCTTATATTATAAGTTGATTTTGAAAAAGTGGTCCAGATTCAAGATCTTAAGCTGATAAATATTGATGTATCATATGTTTAATTGTAACCATGAAAGTCTGTGGCACCAAGCCATTTTCTAAAATAATTGTGTTTGTAATTAAACCAAATTGATAGCGGAAACCTCATATTATTCAACAGAAATCAGTTTCAAAAAACTATTTTTTTAATGCTCTTTTTATTTATAATTAGACTTTTCTCAGTCTTTCAATATCAGCCTAGGCCACAACATTGCAGTCGGCCTCTTCAAAAGTAGCTGCCATGCCATTGAGAGTATTAATAAGCTGATCCATGCTCATTTGTCCCAGATACTCGTTAATATAGGGCAGGGCATATTTGTCTAAAATATAATTCACCTGCGGCTGAATCTGCTCCACCAACATCAGAAGCAATTCGCGATCGGCCTTATTCACAAAGTTGTTGGTCGAGATGTCCCACAAAACGTTCCAGTTGTCAAAGGCAGCATCGGATAAGTAAAAGTTTAGATTAACGTTTGTAACGCTGAGCTTATCAGTAGCATTTACGGGACTGGCTATGGTATAGCTAGCCACATATCGCAAATCGATGAACTTCTCATTGATGAGACCGCTCTGAGTCCAACGAAGAAGGAAGCCCGCAACGTTCATAAAGCCATTCACATCGTATTCGCCGAGGATTTGAATCTCGGGGAAGATGATGTCAAAGCTTGAAAAGCCCGTGTCTTCATTGTAACTCTTTCCGACATGGTGGAAGTTGCTGAGACCGGTAATGTACAAGTTGGTAATATTACCCACAAAGCTGTAGTCATCGGTAGAAGCGTTAAAGAACTGTTGCTCAATGCGGAAAGGATCTAGAACGGGAATGTTATCGGCAGGATAGCCACAAGGCATCATCTTCTGGAAGGCCGTGTACATATTGGTGAGTGCCTCTCCAAAGTTCATAGGGCTGGCCTGATTCACGGGTGTTGCCGTAGTGGTGGCCGCCACCAGAAGTGCCAGGAGGATAACTTTTTGCATCTTTTTGCTTGGTTGAACTTTGCTGAACTGAAATATTGGGGCAAGCGTGGCACTATATATACCACTTTGTTTTATCTATGTTTGTAACTTATCGACTATGCATGCATTGATTGATTGCAATTGAATTGGTTTGATTTCCAGCAACCCACGCAACCCACCTAGGCTGGTGACTCAACGTTAAGGGAACACTTGTCAATGCCTTTTTAAAGTGGGCTCAAAAGATTATCATTATGTTAAGTACCCCCTTTAAAGTTATTCTTCTATTAGTCATACAATGTTAATGGCGTTATCTATGAAATACTAGGATAAGGGCACGCGTTGCGTGTGGCGGCAAAAGACTAACAAACTTTAGGGGTATGTATCTATATACGATAATTTACAATTATGTAAATTTGAATGAAACGTATAGGAATGTCGGAGTTTTATATTTTGCAGGATATTTTCAAAATGTAGCTTAGTAAAATATGATGGATTTTATTTTTAAAGATAACGATCTGCCAAACATTTTCTATCTTCCTCTTATACTCTGAACCTAAAAGGTACAAGAGCAGATTAGGTTTGCGGGAAGTGAAAAATGTAACAGGGAAAAGGAGGCGTGGCCAACCACAAAAAGTATACTTGCTCTATCTAGCTCTATCTGTCTGCCTGTCCGTATGAGGATCACCTGCGCCTCAGAGACTAAATTTTTTCCAGAATTGAGTCTCGATTCCTCATAATCTGAATACGATCGACAGAAGCAGGTCTGAAGACAATTACTGAACGTGATCAGTCAGTCACTAAAAAAGTACAAATGAACTTTGGAGAAAGGTGAGAAAAAAGTTACATGAGTTTGTTTTCGTTTGACGTTATAAATTTTGAACAAATTTGTAAAAACCAGTACCGAACTGTAAAACGCATTCACATGCCAGACAGTGGTCATAATGATAATGCACAATCGGTCCACGAAGGTGATCAGGCAATTTATGCGGAGCACTGGTGCTGCACATTTGCTCAAATACTCATACCATATTTTTTGGCTGGCTCAGGAACCATTACAGCGGGTATTATGCTGGGTAACGTCCAGGACTGGTCCGTCTTCCAGGATATGAATGAGATTTTTATGTTGGTGCCGGCGCTGTGCGGTCTGAAGGGTAACCTGGACATGTGTGTGGCATCGCGCCTCTCCACCCTCAGCAACATGGGTAGTTTGCAAAATTCTGGCAACATACGTGAGATATTGGTCGGGAATTTGGCGTTGGTTCAGGTTCAGGCCATTGTCTGCTCCTTACTGTTAACCACCACTGTTTGTATCATCAGCACGGTTTCGACGCCGGCGGCAACAGATGTTGCACTCCACCATTATGGGACGTTGATGGCTGCCACTCTGATCACATCGAGTATCTCGTGCCTGCTTTTGGATACGATCCTTATGTTGGTCATACTTTTTTCGCAGCGATACAGCTTCAACCCCGACTACATGGCCATACCGATTGTAGCCTCCATTGGGGATGTAATGTCGATAAGTTTGCTCGCCTTTAGCGCAGCTGTCATCTACGATCTGAGCAAGCATCACATTTGGGTTAGCCTCATCGTGGTTTTGATATATCTGGTGTTTTTTCTGCCCCTCTGGATTATTATTGTGTGGCATAATGAGTTCACACGCGTTGTGCTCAAGTACGGTTGGGTGCCCGTATTGGGCGCTCTCTGTATTAGTCAGGTCAGCGGATACGTGCTTAGCTCGGCGGTGGATGAATTTCGCGGATTTGCCGTTTTCTCGCCCATTATCAGTGGCCTTGGAGGGAACCTGGTATCGGTGCAGGCCAGCAATATGGGATCGATATTGCATCGGCGTTCTCAGTTGGGAACCTTACCGACGGATACACACATTTGGGAATGGCCCCATCATGTAATGCTTTATGGAACAGTATATTCGCGCGTATCGCGCATTCTCCTCATTGTCTCTGTTCCGGGAAATATTGTACTCATTTGCTCAGCAGACTATCTCTACAAATCCATTATCTCAGTCACAGCCATCTTTGTGGGCTCCTATGTACTGACCAGTTTAATTCAGCTTCTCATTTTGCTGTGGGTTGCTCACTCGATGGTCCACCTGATGTGGAAATATAAAATAGATCCAGATAGCGCAGCAATTCCCTATCTAACAGCCTTAGGCGATAGCTTGGGCTCTGGCCTGCTCTTGTGCATGTTCTATATACTACGCTGCATCAGGCAGGAGTATCAGGGGAAGCGTGCGCCTTGGCTAAGGATAAGCTATGATGATGCTTTAAGGAAACAAGTAGTCTAAAGATCTGCACAAAACTAATAATAAGCCCAGTTTATTTATAATATCTCGCATACACTTTGTTATTCAACGAAATAACAGAAACACCCACAAATTATAAACTGTCATTATTTTCTTAATTGCTTAGACTACTAAACCGAACATATTTATTATTATATGTTAATTAAATAATACATTTACTGTCTGATTTATTTACAAGAGTTATTTAGGTGGCCATTTTTATTTTTAGCTTTTAAATGAAGTTCTTTCCAAATACCAATCTAAAATCTATACAATTAGCTGTAAATAAAAAATGATTGACTAATAATAAAAGAACAAATAACAATTAACTTTAAATGTTGCTTCCTACTTCGTAACTTAAATGAGACTTGAATGTAATACTTTTCCTACAATAAGAGTATTCTCAATAAAATATCTAATAAATCAAAGTTATAAAGGAGTAAAAAACATAAAAGGATATCCGAATTCGTATACGATTTACTGTTCAATTAAAGGGTCTCTTTACATAGTTATAAGTCTTCTCGATTATAACCAATAGTTTGATCTTAGAGATATTGACTCGTAGCCATACCAGACCATCATTTCAGCTGACGATTTTTAGTGAAAGACTTGGCTTTTGCTTCAGTGTAACCGATATAATTACTAGAAAACCCAAACTTTCCAACCAAATCAATAATAATAATTCCGGGTGTTAATTCCAGACGACGTAATTTTATCAACGGCGCCTTACTACGCTTTCATAAGTATCTATAGAGTACGTAAATGTATACATACTATATATGTAAAGTTTTTAGGAGGCGAACGGTTGGAAACAATTTTATTCAATATAGTACATCGGTTTGTCTGATAACAAGCAATAAGTACCAATAACTACAAATTACTAAAACTTTTCGAAATGATTTATTGACTAGCTTTTCATTTCAAAATTATCGCACTCGTCTTGCTCATCAGTGTACGAGTATATTATTATATAAATATACTTGTACTAGTATAAATGGAACTAAGTATAATCAAACCACTTTTCATTAAAATCAATTTAATGGATTTTATTATTTAAAAATGATTGATTGAGTGCTTGAGCTGCTTACAAGTAATCTACTTCTTCAATTGTTTCTTTCTACAAAATCTTATAAAGTTCTACTTATATAAAGACGATGATGAATAAAGGGTCTCTAGCTAAGGGGTCGAGCAAACTAAATTTTATAAATTCAATATGATTCGTTCGTTTTGAACACAGTCGACTACCAATTTAGGACTTATACTTTTCGAGGTCCTTGTGTCCAGACTCAATAAACAGTCAAGAAATTTCTGGCCTCTACATCTTGAGCGGTGTACCTGAAATTTCGCACTTTACTCTCCTTTTCCTGTTCTGTATTCAATTTATAATGAACTCTACAATTTAATTTCTATTATTCAATCCCCTAGTAACTTAAGCAGTATCATTCTTTTAAACTTAACTAACCATCATTAATTATACTTGGTTTCTGGTTTTTCCATTGTTTTAATGCTATAAGTTTTCTTTATACAAAATTGCAGCATCATTTGTTATTAATTTTTAAATAAATAAACAAATTATATATATATATATATTGGTCGTAATCATCCTTTCTGTAGTACCTACTGATAACATGAGGCCTGCCTGTTATGCGTTTTACAAAATATTGTTCAAAACACAATACTAATGTACAACTCGGCCCGAATAAAGACATATGTATGTACTTACATACATATGTAAATAGAAATACGAATATTAGAAAATACTCAACTCAACAATATTCAAAAAATGAGTTTTAACTTTCCTTAAGACCCAAGCAAGTGTGCTCTCATCTACATTTTTCATGAGCATCCTCTCCGCGTTTTGGCTCAAAGGTGAGCCTCAAAACATTACGGACCAGCTGCTTGGCCTTAAACCAAAAGCCTAAGTGCAGAATATCTCGCAAACGTTGTAACTTGCAGCTACCTGCGGTAATAAAGTGTCGGGCACTCTTCCAGGAAGCGGGCCAGGTACTTCAGGTTTCTGTTCACTGTTTGTGTGTCTACTCAGTCACATTTCAGACCATGACGTCGAACGAGAGCGACGCTCAAAAGCAACTCGAACTGGTACGAAATTTTTTGGAACTATCCCGTAGTGCGGACACATGTACGGCGCTTCGTAGCTCGGACTGCATCCAGCTGCTGGTGCAGATTCTGCACTCAAACGATGCTATAACCGTGTCGGCGACATCGACTGGCTCCGCTGGCAACTGTACAGAGACAGCCCGGAGATGTGCCGGCCAGGCACTGCAAAATATTGTCCACAGTAATCCAGAGGAGAAGGATCGTCAGCGCGAGATCAAAGTATTGCGATTACTCGATCAGATATTGGACTACTCGAATTTTCTGCGCACGCAATTGCAAAGTGGGGGCGAGGCAATAGCAGATGATGAGGATCGACATCCGTTGGCGGCAATTAAAATGCTGATGAAGGCCAGCTTCGATGAGGAGCATCGCCAGACCATGTGCGAGCTGGGCGCATTGAAGGCCATACCGAATCTGGTGCATTTGGATCATGCGGTTCATGGGCCGGCGCCGGGACGGGAACAGTGCAACTCGCTACGCAGCTACGCCCTGATGGCGCTCACCAATCTCACCTTTGGCGATGAGAATGTGCACAACAAGGCGTATTTGTGTGGTCAGAAACAGTTCATGGAGGTTGTCATTGCTCAGCTGGATACAGCACCCGATGAACTGCTGCAAGTGGTGGCGGGAGTGCTACGCAATTTATCCTGGCGAGCCGACAAGAATATGAAGACAATATTCAATGAGATTGGTACGGTGACTGCACTGGCACAGGCGGCCATGAAGAACAAGAATGAGAATACATTGAAGGCCATTCTGTCGGCACTGTGGAACCTGTCCGCCCACTGCAGCACCAACAAGGCAGAGTTTTGTGCCGTGGATGGAGCGCTGGCATTTCTAGTGCGCATGCTCAGCTACGAGGGACCGAGCAAGACGCTCAAGATCATTGAGAATGCTGGTGGTATCCTGCGTAATGTGTCTAGTCACATTGCCGTGTGTGAGCCGTACCGCCAGATATTGCGGGACCACAATTGTTTATCCATACTGCTGCAGCAGCTGAAGTGTGAGAACATGACTGTGGTGAGCAACTCCTGTGGAACCTTGTGGAATCTGTCAGCTCGTTGTCCGCAGGATCAAAAATTCCTACTCGAACACAACGCCATTCCACTCTTGCGTGCTCTGGTCACTTCCAAGAATGCGATGATTGCCGAGGGCAGCGGCTCAGCCTTAAAAAATCTCATTAATTTCCGCGCAGTGCTGGAGCTGGCACCCAAACAGCAGCAACAGCAGCTGGAGAATATTAATGGACATGCCGACACATTACCCAGACGTTACAGTTCTATGCGTCTAAGTAACAATCCCACCGGTTCCCTGAAAAAGGTGCGCGCCTCACCACCAGTCAGTGGCACAGCTACACTGCCACGCAAATGCGAGAGTCGTGAGTCCATTTACTCCGACTCCAAGCACTCCAGTAAGTCGGATAGCGTATATGAACAACGTAAGCTGACCAGTGCCAAGAGTCATTTCGAAATGGCGCCCACAGAGGAGCAGCCCATCGACTATTCGATGAAGTACAGCGAGCATGAGACCAAGCCGACGACAGCCGGTGGAAAAAATGGATTTGATATTGAAATGGATCAGCCAACAGATTTTAGCGTACGCTACAATGAGCGTCCACCACCTTCTCAAGCGGTCCTAACACAACCTTCCAGCGAGTGTAATAGCGAAATTTTGCTTATACTCGATGAGAATGCCTCCACATCGACGGTGTCCTGTGAAGCACAGCCCTTGGCTAAATCTGCATCTGCCTGTGAACTCAACTCTACAGCTCCTCAACGTCCAAACACGTTGCGGCTGCGCACCAATGCGATAGAGAACTTGGCAACGCCTGCACCGCCACAACGAAAGGATAATGCCAAGTCCAATGGTTCGCATACGCCAGAGCTGGGTGAACGACCCACGAACTACTGTGAAGAAGGCACGCCAAGCTCTTTTAGTCGGTATGATTCGCTAACAAGTCTGACAGAGAAGGGCATCACCAAATTTGAGGATCGGAAGTTGTCTGGTAATATTGGCAAGCCCATGAATCAAGCATCCATGGACGCAGCGCTCGAAACGCCGCTCATGTTTTCTAGACGCAGCTCTATGGATTCCCTCGTGGACGATGAGACCATTACTTGTGAAGACGCGGGCTCAGTCATTAGTGACTACAGCCGGCTGCAGAGTGGTGTTATATCGCCCTCGGAGCTGCCGGATTCGCCAACACAATGTATGCCGCAGTCACCGCGTCGCGTAAATAACAAAAATGTGCATCGAGCCCAGCCCACACAAGCACCTCAGCAAAGGTCCCAGGAGCCGCCGTTAAAATCCAATGTGTTCGAGGATAAGGTAAATTCTTTTCATGTGGAACACACGCCAGCTGTCTTCTCAACAGCCACCAGCTTGAGCAATCTCAGTGTGCTAGATGAGCCAGAGCCGCCCACAGCTAGCCAGCTCCAATCCTTCAGTCGCTCGCTACGCAGCAACACCAATAATAACACCAGCAATGTGAATGTAAATGATGATGTCAATGGTAACCAACAAAACTCCAAGGAGGATGAACCACGCAGCTACTGCACCGAGGATACGCCCGCAATTCTTTCAAAGGCCTGCAGCAACAGTAATCTATCCATGCTCTCCATGGCATCTAGTCAGAATGAAGCGCTGGAATCCAAGCCCACGGACACTAATGGCAATGAACAACAGCGGCAGCAATCACTGAAGCAACATGACCAAGAGCAACAACATCCTTCACTTCCAACCACCGTTAGCCACACTGAGGATGCCATCTCTAAGATGCGTTGTGGGGGCAGAGCCCTGCCCAGCTACTTGCCCGTAAGAGATGAGATGAACAAGTACTTTGTCGAGGATAGTCCATGTAATTTCTCCATAATCTCGGGACTGTCCAACTTAACCGTGGGCTCGGCACAAGTGGGTCCCATAAGTGCGCTGAAGGAGTCCACAGGTGCAGAGATGCCGCCCAAGTTGCCACCGAGGCGTGCCACCTTGAATGTGGAGCCGCGTCTGCCCCCCAAACGTAGCGATTCCCTCAGCTCATTATCCATGGACTCCGACGATGATTCTAACTTGCTAAGTCAGGTAATTTGAAACTGTTGTCTTACTTAAAAGAAACCTTCTCATGTATCCACATTTAACAGGCCATTGCAGCGGGCAGCACCAGACCGAAGGCCATCCAAACTGCTAGTCACACAAACACCTTACCCAAGCCAACTGGCAGCAGCCACACTGATGGAGCTGCCAGCAATGGCCAGCGACGGCAAACAATGCTGTCGGCTAATGTGGGCTCCAAAACTGATTATAGCTCTGACGATTCGCTCGATGATGGCCAGTCCAAGTCGTTACTCGAGCAATGCATACTCAGCGGCATGCACAAATCCAACGACGCCCTGGAAGTCGAGCCGAAGCCCATCGCCAAGGCCGAACAATTGTTAACGAAGTGCCCCAATGCGGACGTGACTGATAAATCTGCGAATAACGAACGTTTTGTGAGTAATCAGGTACGTCACATCGAATCTATGCTGGCCGGACGACCTCCAGCAGCTTCGAGTAGTCAAACAGCAATGCCCGCACAGCAGCAACAGCAAAGTCGTCACCAACATTGGGTTTAAGTTCCATAATTTCTCAAAATCGAATTTTTACTAGCTGAGAAGTTATACTTTTCACTATGCCCTCCATGGTCATAAACCTCATAAACCTATTTATCCTACCATGTCTATACTACCTAATTAAATACCATTAATTGTGACAAAAACGTTCCAAATACATAATTTCAAAATAAACATGTTTTTTATACAGAACTGTTTCTTCTAAATCATATCGTTTATATAAAATATATATCATATATTGTTCCAAAATCGAAAAATTCAAAATAGCATGGTGCAATAGATTTAACTCGAACATACATAAGTACAAATATCTATTAAGCCATACAAACAACCTTATGAATATCTGTAAATTTTAAATGTGCATGCAAATTTAATAAGTCCAAGAAATGTTGAGGATTGAACATCGCCCTGAAGTTAAAAAAATTCTTGATGGCACGGAAGTTTTAAATACAATTTAATAAACTCGTAATATTACATATAAACGTGTCAGGAAAACTATTAAATTGACTGTTATTAAAATATCTATCTGAAACATCGATTGCAAATCAAAGAAATTTGCATCATTTAATGTGGTAGTAAACATAAGCCTTCTGCCGACTAGTTATTCGAATAATTAGTCAAGTCAAAAGGAAAAAGACTTCGAAGAGAAATATGTTTCATTCGTTTATAAGGGAATGCGTTGTAAGAAATTGTAACAAGTACTTTTCTGTAGTTTTATTTTGAATCTTGCCTATACAATATACACAAACAGCGGTTTTATTATTACGCTCTCAATTTTCCTATAGTTCATTCAAATTAAAAATTTGCACTTAAATTTACCACGATCCGTTGCTTTGTGTCTTTGCTGTTGCTCACACCACTTTATAAATAAGTTATACGTAAAAAAGAGGGTTTAGAGGGAAAAATCCATTAAATGAAAATGTGGAACACCTAAAACTTATGCGAAAGATCATCATGGTTTAGCATACAGTCCAAAAAATAAACTAACATAAAAATCACTTATAAAGTCAAAATCAATCTTGAGGTCGCTGATAACATGATGTTTTGGTAGACTATGCTTATGGGAATTTCTCCAATGCCGCCAATCTCAGTAGAAGCGCTTTCTCGAATTTCGATCCTTGAAGTACGATACGCCGAAGATAGCTGCGCCTACGGCGGCAACCATGCCAAAGAGTAAAATGAAGAAAATTTTCGCATTGGACATGCCCGGTTTCGGATCGTCTTTGTGCTCGCGTGGTGGCTCAAAAGTCTTGGCATTCGGTATAATATTGGTGCGACTCATTATTTGTTCGTGCTATTTATGAGGAAAACAAAGAAAATGAGTCACGATTTTTATGGTATCTTACTGTTATCAGAACGTACCGTATCACTTGAGTCGACGCTATAAAACTTAAAACCGAGTATATCATGATTATCGGACAAGTCGCCCGTCGTAGCAGACATGCCCAAGTAATAACCTGTAGGCAATTCCACATTGTTTACAACAAAACAGTTTTTCCATTCGTTCTTATTTTCGAGATCCGTTGACACGGAGAGTATATCGTTTTCATAGCGTATACTAATGAGCGTCTCATAGTCCACATTTCTAAACCGAACCTCGCAACCAGCAAGTTGTGTGTGCGTACCATCCCGATCATGATCATAGCTCCATGTGCCATTATTCACCATGGCGCTTAAATAGGGATGCTGATGCTGCAAATCGAAAATGTGGACATATTATATTAAAGTTACCATGACCGTGGGAAAAACTTACATTATGTGGACCATTGTGATTGCTGTATGTATCCAATATGATGGCCAGGCCAGAGAAATGATCCTTGCTGCCAAAAACAGGCCCGGTTTTCATGCGCTCCTTTGTATACCAAATTGCGAATCCATCGCCAAACAATTCTGTGCCCTTGCCATGGACTTTGAACGATACATGCACTTCCCAATTGCGCGACATGACGGGCTGCAGGAGCATCAGCAGAAGCACAAAGTTCAGAGTACAATAAAAATAATAAGATCTTGTCTGGTTCAAATCCTTAAACGTACCGAATAGTTCCATAGCGCACCGCTCTTAGACTGCATATCTGGCGTTAGTCTTATATAGTTGCTCGTCACCATGGTATTGCCGAGAAAATCCCAGTGAGGTAGTATAACGCCAACGCCTGCAAAGATTAACCACAACCAATTACAACAACCACTTGTATGGCGACAAATATTTGACGAACTGCCGCCATAAACTTGACCAATTGGTTTTACCTTGAAAGGGCCGAATTAAGCTATGCTCCCTCACTTTGAAGTTCTCGCATGCAATAGGCAGAATAGCACAAAGAAGCGCAATGATCTGTGTTTCTTTCTTATAAGTAACCATATTATCCAATTTTTTGTTTTTTAGTTAATAGTTAAATGCTAAATTATATGGATGATGAATCGATAGGTGACTTACAAAAAATCGAAAAGCGTTGTTGCAGCAGTGTTGTTTAACTGTGTTAGATTGCGCGCGGGCTTTGAGTAGTGAAAAATAACCTTTTATCTCTCTAGGATTACAAAATTGTCAAATCACATATTAAGCTCTGAAAAAATACCAGAAAGCATACGAGAAGTTTGTTCTATTTGTTTTTTGTTGTTAAATTTATTTATTTTTAATTGATAGCTAAAGTGAGTAAAAAATTAAATTGTGATCAAGTCACGACGGGTATCGCGTATATTCACAATAGAGTATAAGCTGTAATCCACTAAAAGTTGTATAACACTGCCCTTCAGATTTTGCATTGGGATTAGAAATGAAAACAAAACTGAATACAACGCCATGACTACAGATGAGCGCAACTTTCGATCCAGCTACTACGAAAAAGTGGGTTGTCATGGTGTGGAGGAGAAAAAATCATTGAATAAGCTACTGCAGGACGGTATAAGGGATCGGAATAAACTGAAGCAATTCTGCATAAGCTATACCGTGCCTGCAGATCAACGTTCGCTGCTTTGGGGGCTAATTATGGGGATTTTGCCACTACATAAGAGCAGTACAGACTACATCAGGGATCAGCTGCGCCAGGTATACGAGGATTTGTTGCGTGCAGTGTCAGTGATGCGATATATTGATCCCACCAAGCCCAAAGAGATCGTCATGCACACAATGTGGCAATTGGAAAATAACCGACTCCTGCATAACAATGCGGGACCACCAGTCGATGATAGTCACTTCATTGAGATAGTACGTGTGTTGCTGCCATTATTCGATGATAATGTGGAAACATATTGTATTGCCAAGGAATTTTACCAATATACCCGAGAGCTGAAAAAAGAGAGTGCGAAGCTAAAGGAACTCACACAAACTCTGCTAAGGCGCGAGGACATTGCATTGTTCTAGTAGGCATAATTCATAAGTATATTCTCCGCTGACTGAAGATTAACGATCTTATTTATTTGTAGTCACTTAGACCAGCTTGGCATATTCAGTAGTAACAACAACCTGCTCGACAATTGGTACACTACTTCCTTTGCCGGCATTATTAGGGAAACCGTTCTGGTGAAGATCTGGGACAAAATATGCGGTGGCGCACGAAAAATCGTTGTCTTCCTCTTTTTGGAAATGGTCAAAGACAGTCAAATCAAGCAACGAATTTCTATCTGCAGCGCACAAAATGAATTTAAAATACTGATAGAAACTGCCTTACAAGTTAACGATCTCGACGCGGTCATTGTCAACCGAGCCATCAAGAGTTGGCAGAGCAACAACAGTGAAATTGAATACGCGCATTAAGCCGTACTACTGTATACATGTGTAAACATTTATTAAGGAAAACTAAATATATTTGAAGACTACATCCTTTTTGTCGGCCACCGTCTGCAACTCCAGCGTTACAGGGCACTGCATCCAATAAGAAAGCAGCTCTTCCGTGTAGCCAATAAGGAAATACATCTTGCGCGCGCTAATTGCTTGGCGTATGATGGCTGCAATACGAATCGTGTTGTGTTGTCGCTTTATGATTACCTCAGAGCAAATCATTGCATGCCAGGTACCAGTCATGAATTTGCGAAGGAAAACATCTTCGATAGCAGTTTGCGATGGTCGCAATCCGTCTTTTATTGTGGCTGTAATATAACATTTGTAATAACTACTGTGATAACTGAGGAATGAGGAGCTTACATGTGTTCCATGAATTCCAGGACTTGCGGTGGCCAATATAATGCGGCGGGTTGGCCATCTCATAAGTGAGAGGCCGATTACGTTTTGTCGTTATGCGATAGCGGCCGGACTGCACGCGGCAACAGACTGCGCTGGTGTGTATGGCGGATTTGCTGCATGTTTGGGCTTCCGCAACCGCTACCATTTGCGGCGCCAGCTACAAAGACTTATACTTATTTACAAATAACTTAAATTAATTGTTTTATTTACCTTTTTTAAGAAATTCATATTTTTTCAACGCCAAAACCAATTCTGCAGCAGAGCCAAACAGCTGTGCGGCGTGACGTAACGACTTTCAATCTTGATACACCCTGTGATAGAGTGCATTGTAGTGCTATAAACGAAAGTATTCTTTTTGATTTTGTATTCTAACAACAATGTTTTTAACATACATACATATGATTTACTCTTTCTTATATAGAATCTAAAGTATTCTAAATAATATATATAGTATGAGTGCATTAACATTGTAAAACGATTAATTTCGTTATGGCAGTCAATTTTCAGCGGATTAGTTATTCAATGTAACTATTTAATTGGTACAGAATATATTGATTGTGATGTTTTTTTTGCTTTTTGGTATTTAAATGCTTTTCACGCCGAATTCGCAATAACCAAAGTTTTCCTGTGTAACGGCAATAGTGTGACCGTTTTAGTAACTGTATTATGCTATTCTTTTATCCGTCCCAAACTCACATTAAAATGGCTGGCCATACTTAAGACTTTGCTTTTGCTCGCAATTTATTTTTGTTAATTTAACGTTGAAAACATGAACAAGCATGATTGCAAATAAAAAAATTAGTGGAATTTTTAGTTAATCTGCAAAAAACTCGCGACAAAATGCCCAAATATCGTCTGAAAAGGTAAACAGCTTAACTGGAGATGTAGTGGAAACCACACAAAATACAAATCAAATACAAAAGACATAAAAGAAAAACATTAATGAGCAATATTAATGCAAAACCCATGCGCCAAGAGTGCCAATATATCTACTAGGCATGGTGTGGGGCTCCGACTGCGAGCTGTTGCTGCTTAGACAGCGCGTCGTGTTGTGCAAAGGAGAAAATTAAAATCAATAATTTCAATCAGAAAATCAAAACACAAATTTGCCAAAGATATTGCATCCCCCTAAATTATGCAATTAAATTATGCATCTTGCCTGTTCCATTTTCTTTTTACTTTCAGTTAATTTTGAATGTTATGCTCGTTTGTGGTTGTTGTTGCCGTACACGTTGTTATTGTTTTGCTGAAGGGGCGAGAAAATGGAGCAGGAGATCGGCACCTGGGACTCGGTGCTTCTGGAAAATTTGTCCGAGGATAGTTTCATTAACAACATACACCAGCGCTATAAGCGGGATCATATTTACGTAAGGATAGCACTTCTTCGAATGAATTTTGTTTTTAACATGCAGTATTTGTTGTATGCAGACCTACATTGGCACTTCTGTTGTGGCTTTAAATCCATATCATCACATATCGGAACATTCGTTGGATAACATACGAAACTATGGAAACAAGGGCATATTTCAGCTACCACCTCATATGTAAGTTAATCTCTATTTGCAAGAATAAGTTCGATTTAAAGATCATTCGCTGTCTCCTTTCTAGATACGGGCTCACTAATTTGGCTTATCAGTCGCTTAAGGACCAGAGCGAAGATCAGTGTGTGCTACTTACGGGAGAGAGTGGTGCAGGCAAAACCGAAACCTTCAAAATGATTGTGAACTTTCTCACCCATATTCAGGAACGTTCCTTATGCAGCACTCCAAATCCATTGCGCAAACAATCCTCAACCAGTTCTGCGTCGGGCGTCATCATACACGCCCACCGACGCGCCTCGAGCAGCTGCTCAGGCACGGCGAATTTCATAATCTGCAAAAATAACGCTGCAGCAAGCAATATACCCACGTCCATTTCACGTCGACAATCGCCATCGCCAGGACCCTCGCAACGCTCACGCACTCGTGCCGAAAGCATCGAACGTCAAGCCAAGCGCAATATGCGCGAAAAAATTGTGGACTTCGATTTCTCTCACCACAAGAGCACCGAGAACATCACCACACTGCTCGAGGCTGCCGCCGGTCTTGCCCATGTTCATCCAACGAAATCATGCTTCAAACACCAACAGACACAAGTGAGCTCCACCTGCACTGCCAGTTATGCTGCAACCGCTGCCATGCCCTCAAAATCGGCGTGCTCGACATCCTCGCCCAAGTACATGCTCACTGCTCATGGCGGATGTCGTCAGTGCGGCCACAGCAAATGCACACGCGCGCAAAGTCTGGAAAAGGACGAACGCGAGTCGCTGCTGTTGCGTGGCAGCAACAGCCGTCTGTCCACAGCCCACCAAACGCATCCGCATCGGGGAAGTTGCTCGAATCTAATGCGCCAACATTCGACAGAAAGCCAGCCGGATCGACACTCACTGATGGGCTCCACGCAACGTATTTCGCTGTACGATGCACACAAACTGAGCAAAGTAGTGATGGGCGGCAGTGGGAGTGGCACAACGGTCTCACCAACTCCGTCAGCTACCTCGTCACTGCATCGTCGACACAAGTCGCCCAGCCAGCGACTGCGGGAGTGCGTCACCTGTGCGGATGTATTTCTAGAGGCCATGGGGAATGCCTGCACCCTCAAGAATAGCAACTCAAGTAGATATGTGAGTTTTTTCAACATAGAATTAACAGGGGAAACACCATATTACAGGTTTCATTGAATAGTAAATCCAAACAGGGACTTAAACCTGTAAACGGTTCTGCTTTGGTTTTAAAATACCAATTTCGGCAATATTTCTTTTTAAGCCACTTTTTCTATTTTTTTAATTTATATTATTGTTTATGTATTGACAAAATATAACATTAATTGAAGGATTTTTACAGGAATCTGAATATTAATTAATTAAGACTCTATTCCTTGCAGGGCAAACTGTTTGATATTGAAATCGATTTTAGAGGCGATCCGATGGGCGTGCATATAACACATTGTAAGTAAATACTCTTACGAATATTTTAGTGACACATTCTATAAAATTATAATGTTTTTCATGTCTGTGCATTTGCTCTAAGATATGCTGGAAAAGGTTTGCATGAGTTTATCATAAATTTAACTATTAAATATTTGTTATTTATATAAATTCTTCATTTTGTTTTCTACAGACTCGCGTAACAGACACCACAATGGGAGAACGCAATTTTCACATATTCTATCAATTGCTGTTGGGTGCTGATCTGCAACTGTTAAGTGAGTTAAAAAAGAGATTTACGAAATGGAATTAGATTACGAAGTTGATCTCCTTTTGCAGAATCGTTGAAGCTGTACCGCAATGTCGAAAAGTATGAGCTTTTGCGTAACACAACTGCCATGGAAGAGGACCGGGCCAATTTTCATTACACAAAGGTTAGACATATTTCTGTCGTTAAGCCGTAACTTTAAAAGGCAGCAAACATAAAAGAAATGGGTTTAAAAAGCCACAAAATGTATTTTATCTTATCTACTAATACTGTCACAAAAGTTTCTCTGAAAATGGTCAAAATTTGTCGAAATCCATCAACAATATTTGTTCTTTTCCTTTTCTAAAAAGACATAATCTTTTGCTACAGATCCCAGTCCATATGTTGCCCTTGCTGCATATAGAAATAATGAAAGGGTTTTAAAATCGTTTATTATTAAAAAGATTGCGTTGTACTTTAAATTTAAAATATGTTCTACTTTTTTTTAGCGCTCATTGGACGTACTTGGCCTAAGCTGTGATGAAACAAGTGCAATTTTTCGCGTCATAGCCGTGGTACTGAAGTTGGGAAATTTTATATTTGTGCCTGTGACCAATATCGATGGCACTGAGGGCTGTCAGGTTTCCAATGTTTATGGTGCGTTTCATTAATCGCTTTCTATGTGATTTTTATACTAATACTATTACATTTTCCAGAGGTACAAGAGACAGCGCAGCTTCTCAACCTGGAAGCTCAAATTCTTATCAATTGTCTGACTAGAGCGAACAGCACGAATAGCACGCAAGAGGATGTAGGCTGTGAAATGGACGCGAGACAGGCGGCCAACAATCGAAATACACTCTGCCGTACTCTCTACAGTCGCCTCTTCACCTGGCTGGTGAATAAAATCAATGAGACGCTAAAGTCAACGCAACGCGAAAAGAATCTGGCGCTTTTAGATTTCTACGGCTTTGAAGTATTGGATCATAATTCATTCGAACAATTCGCCATTAACTACAGTGCCGAGAAAATTCATCAGGCATGATTTAAATGTTCAGAAACATTTCTGAATTTTGCTCAATTTTTATGTTTGTTTTACAGAATTTTGTGTGCAATGTGCTGCGATCTGAACAGGAGCTCTATTTAAGAGAGGGCTTGGAATGGTCACGCATTGATTATTTTGACAACGAGTCTATATGCGAGCTAATTGATAAACCCAACTATGGCATACTCAGTTTAATAAACGAGCCACATTTAAATACCAACGAGCAATTGCTGCTGCGTATTCAACAATGTTGTGCAGGACATCCGAATTTTATGACCAGCGGCAGCAATTCCATGTGTTTTCAGTAAGTGGATACCCAATAAATAGTTTTCATTCCCAACCTATTCTAATGTCTCGCTTTCCCACAGGATCCGTCATTTTGCCAATGCTGTAAACTATTCGATACATCGATTTCTTGAAAAGAATTCAGATATATTGCCCAAATATATAAGTACGGCTTTTTATCAAAGCAAATTGTCGCTGGTGCAGAATCTTTTTCCTGAAGGTAAATGCCACCGATACCTATAATAAATAATAATCATAGCCGGTGTTTATGAAAAACTTAAAAAAGCTGAAACTGCTTTAGTTAAAAGCTAGTATATAGAGAAAAGAAGGCATGTGTGAGAAGACAATAATTATAATAATTGAAAAGTGTATACATTGAACACGCACTTTTTATTTTAATGAGCCTATTTTTGTGGAGACAGTCTTTGCAAAATATTGGTTTGAGGTTCTCCTAAATCTGAGAAATAACAAGTTCTGCTTCATTTCGATATAAATTGCATTCCAGTCTTACCTTTATTTCGATCTTTAAAACGTACTTTTAAATGTAATACCCTATCCAATTTAAATAATTCAAATTCTATTCTTATAGGCAACCCGCGTCGTCAGGCGAGCAAAAAACCCACAACGCTTAGCTCGAACATACGCACTCAGCTGCAGACTTTGCTGGCCATTGTAAAGCATCGTCGCGCCCACTATGTGTTCTGCATAAAGCCGAATGAGTGCAAGCAGCCGCACTCATTCGACTTGGCCCTAGTGCAGCATCAGGTGCGGTACATGTCCCTGATGCCATTGGTGCACTTGTGCCGCACCGGTCACTGTTACCATTTGTCGCATGCGAAGTTCTTTCATCGGTATAAGCTGCTAAATAGCGTCACCTGGCCACATTTTCGCAATGGGAGTACGGTGGAGGGGATTGCGCTGATTATACGAAATCTGCCGCTGCCCTCGGCTGAATTCACGATCGGCACAAAGAATGTGTTTGTGCGTAGTCCGCGCACCGTCTATGAACTGGAGCAGTTTCGATGTGCACGCATCAACGATCTGGCCGTGCTCATCCAAAAAATGTTTCGCATGTATAATGCCCGCAAACGATATCAGCGCATGAGGCACAGCCAAATGGTTATATCGAGTGCCTGGCGGACTTGGCGGGTAAGTGGAGGACACCAGTCTCTTCACATCTTATCAGTTTTTGCATGTGTGTTAATTTATTTTATTTATTTAATTTGTTCTGCATGTGTTTTCTTTACCAGGAATGTCGCTTTGGCATTCCCTTCACGGGACGTAGACATTTATGGAGTTTATATCGTGTTGTAAGCATTTTTCAGCATTTATTTTAACTATTCATGCATTTGTTGCTGCTTCATATTTGTTAATTAATGAATTGTCTGTTCCTTGTAGGCTCGCGAGGAATATCGGTCGTTAAAATACAAGCGTCAGGTTAAATGGGGCATCGATGTCATAGCTCGAAATTATCGTCAATGGAAAATTCGGCAATATTTGTTAACCATACCGTTACGCCTACCACCCAACACCCTGAGTCCTTTATCCACGGAATGGCCTGCAGCGCCGGGATTTCTTTCGGATGCCTCGCGCCTGCTACGTGCCATTTATCATCGTTGGAAGTGCTACATCTATAGGAACTCCTTTGACCAGACGGCACGCAACCGCATGCGTGAAAAGGTTACAGCCAGTATTATATTTAAAGATCGTAAAGCTTCATATGCGCGCAGGTAAAAATTCTAACTATTTGTAATAACATTGATGCTTGCCAATTTTGTAGCATATTTTTACACTCATTATTTTCCCCTAATTAGTTTTATGAAAGCATATTCTGGATGTATTTAATTTAAACCAAATTAAGTAGGCATTCTTTCAAACCCAAAACTTTTCGTTGTTTAGTATCTTGACCGCATGCAAAACATGCATATATATATTCGTATTACTTTTTTATATCAAGAAAAGCATTTAATTTAATTGTAATTCGTGATAATAAACAGTTTTGCTTTTTGTTTCCAGCGTCGGCCATCCTTTTGTGGGTGATTATGTGCGATTGCGTCATAATCAGCAATGGAAGAAGATCTGTGCCGAAACGAATGATCAGTATGTGGTGTTTGCCGATATAATAAATAAAATAGCACGTTCAAGTGGCAAGGTTCGTCAACATTGTAAATAATATACCTCTTGTCATTTTAAAGATCCCATTATCTTTCAGTTTGTGCCCATATTGCTGGTGTTATCGACATCGTCGCTGCTGCTGTTGGATCAGCGCACACTGCAAATAAAATACAGAGTGCCTGCCTCAGAGATTTATCGCATGTCTCTGAGTCCTTACCTTGATGATATTGCGGTATTTCATGTGAAAGCAGTAAGCGGCAAATGGCTGTTAAAAAAATTCCTCAGTAACATTTAACAATTTTAAATCGTTCCCAATTTTTACAGTCCGAATTCGGTCGCAAGAAGGGTGATTTTGTTTTCCAAACGGGCCATGTCATCGAAATTGTTACCAAAATGTTTCTAGTCATACAAAACGCAACTGGCAAACCACCCGAGATACATATAAGCACAGAGTAAGCATTTAACTTTATACATACTATAGAATCATTATAAATTATCTGATTTGTAGATTCGAGGCCAATTTTGGTCAACAAACTGTCATCTTCTCGTTCAAATATGGCGGTATGTCCGATTTAGCACAAGGCCCGCCCAAGGTCACACGTAAAGCGAATCGCATGGAAATAATTGTATGATCCTGAAAAAAGTCTCATCACAGGACATAGTAGTTTGCTGCCACAAAACGGAGGCGCCTCAGGCATTTTTCAAAATGCCTAATCAACTAAAAGTTTATGTATATGGGTCGGGCTCACAATTTTTGACTTTGTAGAATGGTAAAACCTAAAGCGTTTTCAATGCAGAACACGAGAATTTGTGACAGACTTATAAATGTAAGCTGAACTCGACTTGAGAATAACTTTTGGGAAGTGCTAATTGAACTACCAAAATAATATGTTCACTTCAAAATTCAAATCAGCGTCGACCAATTTGATCAGATACTGCCATGGTCACTCATTTACTAATTAGTGTTAATTAGTTATATACATATTATACGACTGGTTAGCTGCAAGTAATGAGCCGCAAAGAAAACTAAAAACGTTTCAGCATTGATTGCCAATTTTCGATCAAATTGTTAGCCGAACAAAAAACAGCAATTAAATTTGTTATATAAAACATGTGTCATTTAAAACTCTGTGTTGAAACAAACTAAAATGTTCTGCATCGAAATGTCTTTAAGAATTATCTTTATGTTCTACAATGATAAATATTTTGTTGTTGTTGGAGTGAGAGATTTTTGTGCACCTTTTTTGTATGGTCCCAGGGATCAAAATACAATTTTAGCAATATTTACACACACACACACAATCGCTTCACACTCAGTAAATAATTGCGCAATACAGATTGTTCACTACTGACAATCAAGAACGTTCTCATTTGTTGTCAAATTAATTGTGCCAATGTTACTAACAAATAATTGCATTGTGCCAAAAAAAAATAATAATAATAAATTTTAATTGCACCAAATTCTGTCATAAGAAGGAACGAAATGAATACTACTTAACGAAATTAACAACTGAATTCATGTAATTTTCGAGTTAGTTTTAAAAATGTAAGTGAAGATTATTAATGTGTATGTCAAGCACGAAAAAGAAACAAACAAACGAATATTTAGTACGACAGCGAGCCATTCAACACAAAGTATTTCCATTATATTATTGACAACCAAAGCATTTTCTTAAATTTAAGGTTTCATACACAATAATTAGCGAAATAATAGCAGAGCAACTTAAAAACAAATTGGAAAACTCTAAACAATGCAAAGTGCATCTCTGCGCCTCGATCTGGATATTCAAAAAACTAAGAAATAAAAATGTAAACATAAAGAGAGAACAAATATTTAACTTTCCCAAATGTTAATTAAGCTACTATTTACAAGAGCTGAGAAGAGATGTGTAGTTAATATTTAACAATTACCAAAAAGAAAAGAAACGAAAAATTCAAAAAAAAAAATATATATATATACATATAGATATATATTTATATTAATAATGAGATTATATAGGAAACAGCAACCGAAACAATATGAAACCAAAAACAAGAAGTAAAACAAAATATAAGAGTTTGTTATGAGCGTATGTAGTTGTTTATATAACTTGTTATTGATAGTTCATAAGCGCTGCTGCATTATTTAGTCCAATTTGAGTGTATGATGGCCCATTGCGTCATAAAAGCTCCATAAGGTGACAGCCTCTCTAAGTGAATAAAATACAATATATATACAATTACGACTAATTAGCGAAGCGGTAACGAATGACGAATGAATGAGACATACATACGTATTTAATTAGGTTTTATTTAGGTTTAAATACAATACTTTGAAAAAGCCAAGTACATAAAAGTAATTCCAAACAATTGGTAGTTTATAAAACAAACATTAGACAGAAAGAAGAATCGATAAGAACAAAGTTTAGCGATAATAAAGCGTACATATAGAACCCATTTGTACAAAACGAATTTTCCTAAGACAAGCCAGCGGACTGCCGAAGTCCACGCTTTAAATTTGCTAAACGCCTCATCAATTCCTCTACAACTTGGACTTGGGCTTCTTAAGCATATCGCGCAGAACACGACGCAGTATCTTGCCACTGGGGTTCTTGGGTATTTCCTCCACAAAGATGACACCGCCACGCAAACGTTTTGCCGGCGAGGCACGCTCATTAACAAACTGAATAACATCCTGTTCTGTAAGCTGTACGTTCGTCTGCTTCACCACAAATGCCATTGGGAGCTCTCCAGCCTCTTCGTCTGGCTTGCCAATAACAGCAGCATCCTTAATCTTGTCGTGAGTTAGCAGCAATGCTTCCACTTCAGCTGGTGGCACCTGGAAGCCCTTGTACTTAATCAGCTCCTTAATGCGGTCCACAATGAAGAATTCCAGATCATCATCGAAGTAACCAATATCACCGGTATGTAACCAACCGTCTTTAATCGCGGTCTGTGTGGATTTTGTGTCTCCAATATAACCCTTCATTATGCCATCACCTTTAAAGCACAGCTCGCCTCGTTGATTGGCGCCAAGCAGCTTGCCCGTATCGGGATCCACGACCTTGGCATAGATGCCCACCTTCAGCACACCCACGCTGCCAGGCTTGCAGAATTCATCGTTCTGTACGAGTACGCTGAGCGTTGACTCGCTCAGTCCATAGCCCTGCCGAATGAAGGGCACACCAATGCGTTCTTTAATTTGATCCTCCGTTTCCCGGCTCAGTGGAGCGGCGCCACAGAGCAACACCATCAACGAGGACAAATCGTACTTGTCCACAATGGGATGCTTGGCCAGAAAGACCATAAGTGGCGGCACCATAAATGCCATCATTACGCGATATTTCTCAATGGCCGATAGAAACAGATTCTCCTCAAATTTAGGCAGATAGACCAGACGCGTACCCAAACAGGCCGTTGTAATCAGAGTCAGGCAGCCAAATGCATGAAACCAGGGAATAACTGTGAGTAGCGTTACTTCCGCAAGCGGTACCGCTGTTGGCTGTCTATAAATAAATGTAAATGATACTGGAATTTGCAAGGCTTGAAAAGTGAAGCTTACAATTGCGAGTCGAGGGTAGCCAGTAGATTGTATTGCGTTAGTTGCACACCTTTGGGCATGCCGGTTGTGCCAGAGGAGCAGACAATCAATGAGACATCCTCCTTTTTATTAGCAGCAGGCGATTGAAAATCTGGTTTTGTTTTGAACTTGTCACTGTCCATCAGCTCTGTAAAGCCATAGACTTTGGGATGATTGCTGGAAGTTCCGCTGAGTGCAATAATTCCTTTGACAAAGCTATTCTTCTTAGCCACCCTGGCCACAAGATCGACAGTAATCTTGGAAGCAAATATAATTTTGGGCTTAGACAAGTTTATAGCATGGTCCACTTCCCGATCAGAATAAGTAACGTTCAAAGGCGCTACAGTTGCACCCACAGCAAAGCCGGCAAACATAGCCACCGCAAATGATACACTATTCTCGCTAGACAATCCAATGACATCATTTTGCTTCACGCCCAACTTTTGGAGTATCTGTGCTAGGCGCACAATAGAATCGTACATAAATTTGGCTGTGTACTCCGTGCCAGTAACGGCGTCAATCTAAAAATATTAAAATCGTAAGAGATTTGTAAATTTTTGAAAATGTCCATAGCATAATTACCATAGTCGTTTGGTCGCCGAAGCTCTTGTACTTATCCAGTATGAATTGACCTAAGGATCTGTAGTTTTGTGCTTCACTGGAGGCTATATCGCCGCCATACACTATATTGCCCGGCAAAAGTGTTGATGTCATCCTGATCCTGATAGTGTGCTGCGTGAGAATTTAAATACATACAAACATACATACATATTCACATGTTAAAATAGGGTGGTTAGAAGTGCGCCCACCCACTAAATCCAACCACCGAAACGCACGATACTTGAAGTTCGTACTTATACACTTTGAACCGTTCTGGCGTATCTAATCACACGATTTATAAGAAATCCGACTACATATGCAAACACAAATCTCCTATATGGGCATTACTAGGCATGCCTGGAGCGTAATAACTGTTTGAGTGTTTGTATTTTTTTGTAAACAATAAAAACTCATGTTGGGCCTGCAGCTCAAGTTAATTGATGCTTACATAGGCGGCGGCATTGTAGTGTCGAATGAATTTTACGAAATGTAAATATTTGTCAATTTGCCTTAGCCGTTCCAAAGGTCGTTCGTTCCAATAGTTCGCAAAATTTTATTCGGCGCGCAACTGTCTATGCTAATTTATGACACACATTTTGTGAACCTTTGCGAATAAGTTAGCACCACAGAAAGTGCGGTTTTTAAGCAGTGTGTGTTTCCTTTGATTTATTATTCGACTCACCTGACTAAAGAAACAATCAATGAGAATAAGCGCGTATGTGCGTTCGCATGCGGCTTTGCAACACAACTAACTTAAAATTGTCACAGCAGTATACAAACAAGCAACCAGACGTATTCGTGTAGCTATAACTTTTATGGCACGATAAGATTGGCTCAGCTGATAAGGGAACTTGCTAAATTCTTGCTATACATTGCGCATGCGCGGTGGCTAGACTTTATGAAATGCAGATTAAAATTTAAAAGTGTAATTTGTCGTTTTGGCCAAACAGCTGTTATTTTTGGCAATGCCGCTACGCCCACCCACCCCCTGTAAGAATTATGTGTCAATGAGCTTTTGTGCGAGCCCGGATGCATGAGGTGGCAGTGCTGCGATTTGTTATTGTTTTTCCTATATGGGGTGGCAGCTCTGCCGTACGAACAGCTGAGCAAGTGTTTGATGTGCTAATATTTCTAAAACGTTATTGTTGTAAATTAAAAGTAATGTTAAAATTACGTAATGCAATACCACAGCGTTTCTCTAAGAGCGGGTACCTTAAATTGCAGCGATACATCTCCGCCCTATACATAACTGGCGATAAAGCAAATGAAAACTACGTTACTTTACAACCGCACTTGGATTTTGCCGGCACTTTTAACGACAGATCGGCGCTTGAGAAGTCAATTAGAAACCGTGGCCTAAAAATTAGTTTGGAGAGAGTGCTGGGAAAATACCAAAAATATCTAACACATCATGAGGAATTGCGACGACTAGACGGCGAACGGGAAGCGATCAGCCAACAATTAAAAACGCTTGCGAAAGCTGGTGCAGCTGCAAAGGAACTTGATGAGCTCAAAGACCGAGGAAAATCATTACGCAATGATGTGAAGGCACTTAAACAAATACTTTATCCCATTGAGGATGACTTTATACATGATTTCCTGCATCTGCCCAATCGCTTGCATGCCAACTGCCCCGACACTGGAGATGAGCGACTCGTGTATCGTCACCTTCTGCCCGAAAATACGCAACAGGTGCCTTCCACATCGCACCTGGAGCGCAACGATCTTATACACTTTGTGGATAACAATCGCTATTACATGATGAAACAGGCAGCCCATTTCGACGTAAATTCGATGCAAGCGCTGGCGCGATATTTTGTAAAACAGGCCAATTTCCTGCAAACAGCCAATCCTGATTTTGTGCGTTGTGTGCTGATGGAGGCGAACGCTACGCCGCTGGAACATTACCATATGGTCAAAGAGGATAACTTGCAAAACAAGCTGAATGTGGCTTATTTGACTGGGGGTGGCGCCTTCGAAAGCTTCCTGGGCGCCATGACAAAACTATGTGTCTACTCATCTGTCTTACCACTGCGATATGTTTGCTGTGGGCGCAGTTATAGTCGCGCAGAGGCGAAACTACACGGTCCACTGCCAAGTCTCTATACAGCCACCCAGACAAATGCAGTGCAGAGCTTTATGGCCACACAAACAGCTGATGAAGCAGACGCACAACTAGAGGAAATACTTAACTTGGCTGCTGATTTCTACAAAGCTCTCGACATACCATTCCGTATTGTATATGTTGGTGCTGATATGCTGACGCCTTCGGAATCCTTGCGTGCATCTCTAGAAGTCTATGCGCCTTCACTCCAGCGGTACGTTTGCGTAGGGCGCATTAGCAACTACAGTGACTTTGTCTCCAAGCGCATACTCCTCAGCATGAGACGCGAGAAACACTACGACTTCCTCCATTTGGTGGGAGGCCCTGTGCTCTATACGACTCGGCTGATAGCAGCTCTTATTGAGCATGGAATACCCTTGGAGTCTTGCAAGTTGCTGGGCAGCAACGAGCTGGATACGAAAAAAACATTTCAACAAGATCTGCAAGAATTTAAGAACCTTTTTAAATAGAGATTGCAAAATTGTGTGGTTCGAAAGTTCATTGTAGTTTCACTTAAGCCTAACAATAGGTAAAAATATTAAGTCATACATATTTACAAACTAAAATAATCTCGGGCTTTGTGTGGGTGCACTGTGTTTGTGTGTTTGTCAACTGCAGTTGACTTCATCATTATAAAACGTCATGCACGTCAACACCAACATTTTGGAATCATCATCATGATTAATGATTACCAATGTGGACTTTTACTATCATCAGCGTCATCATCATTATTATAGCTGTTAACGCCGCCCGACGCTGTTCACTCACAGTTGATTTGAATTTTGGGAAAGCGCCTGCGGAAATTCTCACACTTGGGCGTTGTAAACGTAAAGGTGTTCTTTTTAGTGTCATCAAGCACGGAATTGGGCCGCACGGCTTTAAGAACGTAAGTTGTGTTGTATTTTAATTTGCTAAACTCCAACGAATCTTTCTGCAAGTAAAAAATACGTGTATTGTGTTTGAATTAGTTCAAAATGTATATTAAAGGAAATTAATGTAGGGACTGCTTAAAAACGTATTCAAATTTGGACCAAAAGGATTAACAAAGGGATTTATTTTCAAAATTTAATTCACATAAAAGCGGGGTTTTAAGCAAGTTATTTCAAGTTATGCCAGATAAATTAATGTTGTCCGCTTATTTTAAAGTTGGAAAAAATTATTATAATTAATTAATAAGCTTTACAGTAATTGATGAATAACATCTTTAAAAATGTGTCTTGTTTATTCATAAAATTGTTGTTGCATATTCATAGTTTAAAAAAATGGGACCAAATCTTCCGTCTGGGATAATATTTTTCATTTTCCTAGATTAATTAATAATTGATTTTGTACTAAATGCTATCTTTTCATAGAGAAAATATATTTAATATATTTTGAATAAAATAACATTTACGTTCTACAAATTGAACAATTTTGAAACTTTTAACTGAAATAACATACAAAATACTTACTTGAATCAAATTCAAATCAAAAAATAAAAAATAAAAACTTTGAATTAATGTAAGTTATAACTGGGCATGTCTGCATCTACTATAAGTTATTAGTTGCAATACTAATTATACTTTAAAGGTAATGGGTAGAGAATTTTACAACAAGTTAAGCAGCACGGTTGCAAAACAACTCAAAAGTTAACATTTCCTCTAGCTTATTGACTTTATAAATGAAGCGCAGTCCCATAAGCCTATTAAATATTTAATGACAGATTATGATTATGTATCTTTCGATTTGTGGACAATATCCAATTTTGATTTAACCGGTTCCAAAACCTAGGTGTTCATCCAGATAGACAGACAAACTGGCATGACTAGATCGAATAGTGTCGTCATCCTGTAAACCGAAAATATACCCTTTCCACCCTTCGTGTACGTGCAAAGTATAAAAAGGTTTTTGGACTTCACATTTCAATAGGTAGCTGAAGGTTTTTATATTTTAACGAAATAACTGTAAGATGTGGAATGTTATAATTAACCATAGTGCCAAGGCCTGTACGTATTGGGACAAGCTTTGCTCGATAAAAAATAAATACGTGTATATGGTTGTGCCGTTTATACGTCTGCTTATACCTATTCATAATATTTCTAATATACGTCACTGTTCTTTAACAAAATTTAGTTGCAATGCTCCCCATGCTTAGCTTAATAGCTTTTGCGCAACAATTACACCAATCTTCGAGTGAGGCGGCGGGTGGTAAGAAAAACCACGTACGTGCAAAACGTGTTTGGTATGTCATATGCAAAGAACATGATTTGCCGATCAAAACAAACAACAAAACGAACAAGCTGAAATCAAATAATAACAACTGGTGGTTGTACTTTAAATCAAATGAATAGCTCGGCACGAATCCAACACATGCCCCTGCCTCATACAGGCACACACACCCATACGCCATATCCCATTCCCATACCTAATACCTAATACTATTTACGCTCAAACACACACCGATACTCACTTTAACACGGATCGCGCTGAACTCTCGATGTTCGCAATTTGTTTCTTTTGGGCACAGTTCGTAGACCCTGCAATAGTTGTCGAGCACAGGCATATTGTTTAAACAGTTTGTTTATAAACATTTCAAAACATCTTACTTCTCCTTGTGTGGCTGCAGGCCCAAAATTTGCACAATCATGCCGAATTTCCGGTTCAGGCGGAAGCGCACTTCATAGGACGTCGCTGAGTGGTTGGTGGCACGAGCGCTCTCATTAATGTTAACAGTGGTCGTCGTAGCGCTCCCTTCCGTACTACTGGGCGGACTATGGTGCTGATGATGATGATATTTGCGTCTAAAGTTGTGAGTCGCACAGTTCAGTGGAGTGTAGGGCTCTAGGGACTGTAGAGTGGTGTTGAAGAGCAGCGATTTCTTGTCAGATTTCAAACGACGCGATCCATTAATACTCATGGCCTGCACTTGTATGTAGTAGGAGGAGTCGGGTAGTAGTTTTCTGATTTCAAATTGATGTGCCTGTAATAAAAATAAGTTGCTAAACGATCTCCAAATATAAATTGAATTTAAATTATATTTTTCGCATATATATTCTACAATTTAATGACTTTTAAAGTTATCGACAACTAGTTGGCAGAATCTTAAGTTTTGCTTCAACTATGGTTATCTTTAATAACAATTGCTTTCCGTATTTAAAAATCCTATATACTATTTCAAAATAAAGCTATGATTTAAAAGAAATTCTTCAGCACACTTTTTATATTAATTTTAATCTTAATTATTTAAATGAAAAGTTGTTGACCTTTCAAGTTTCACAAGTTCCTGATAAATTAAATGATATTTCATAAAAAATTAAATATTCGAATGATATAAATTTATAGCTACAGATTAGTCCATTTATGGTATGAATAATGAAAAAACCAATCACTAATAATTTTATTGAAATTTTTTCACAAAACATAAAACAAAGTTTTTTAATTTTTCCAAGTATTACCAAAAAACAAAATCGACTTTTTCAAGTAATATTTTTGCTTCTGACATTGTCTTGAACATTTAAAAATTAACGAACTAGAAAAGCTAAAGATATAATTGATTTTAATCTTAAACCATACTAGTTTAATAGCTTTGTTGTCCGGGATTTTAAAAAAAGCTGAAAAATAATTTCTTAGTTTATGTCAATAAAATAACAAGAAAGGAATGCTAAAGTCGAGCAGGCTCAACTCTCAAATACTCAAATACCACCCCACAAAAAATAAATTAAATTAATTAAATTAATTAATTAATTTAATTAAATCAGAAAAAATGAACAAACTCGCCCTTTCTCGGGCTCAGGAGAATCTGTATACCAAGTTTGGTTATTCTAGCTCTTATACTTTCGGAGATCCTTGCGTTCATACAGACAGACGGACAGACAGACAGACAGACGGACATGGCTATATCGATTCGGCTTGTCATGCTGATCAAGAATATATATACTTTGTGGGGTCTACCAAGCCTCCTTCTGTGTGTTCCATGTGCACTCGCACAAAACTAATATACCCTTGTACCCTTTGGGTACAGGGTATAAAAATATGAAACTCCAAACTAAATGTAATTTGAATTTTCCTCTTAAGGAAACTATAGAACCGCTTTGCGAAATATTTTCTTTAAATAACAAATAAAAAGAAATAAAAAACCTTCATTTGGGAAACAAAAAGCTAATGATTCCCTAATTTGAAGATATAGATATGAAAACAACTTACATCCTTGACATAAGCCTCCTGTGTTATAAGTGAGGCCTCCCTGGCGCTCACATAGAGTGACCAAATGATTTTGTACTTTTCCACTGGCAAATTGGATTTGGACGGACACCAAATGAGCTTCACACTCATATAGCGGCCATCGTACTGCTTATTAATTATCTTCAAATCATTCGGTGCCTTGGGACGCTTGGGATCTTGAAAGATGTGTGTTTTAATCGGTTGCCGAATTATTGAATTCCTTTATAGCTTACTGCTCGCCAAAGTGAAGGCACGTGACGGTTGAGAGTAGCCGCGGAATCCGTAAGCGTTAACAGCGGCCACACGCACCTGATACCAACGACCCGGTCGAATGTTGAAGAATATTTCCGTACTATGTGTTTAAAATATAAAATATATAGAGAACGTTGCTGCACTGTGGTCTTTCCACTGCAGACTCTCACTTACAATTTCCTGTGGTGCTCATTGTCCATCCTTTCCAGCAGCTTCTCCACCGGCTGCCACTGCCACATGCCCAGCTTGCGTGCCGCAAACAAACGTCCGATGTGCGAGCGCACCTCCACATGAAAGTAGTAGGGAAGCAAGGAGGACTCAATGGTCAGTTCCACCTTGTAGCTGCCCGGTAATTTGTAGCCCAGGATCTTGGGTATAGGCGGCAGCTGAGTATCGTTGTCCACGCCCAGGGGGGCAATGCACACCGGTCCGCACGTGGACGCACAGCATTTCTGCACCTCATCACAATCATGGTCATAGACGCAATTATCCAGACACGAGAGTCGTGTCAGGGCCGACGTGTGATGCCTGAGACCCAACTGAATGTTCGGACACTTGCCGCGCCTCGGTGCACGCAACAGCTCCAATTTGCAGTGTTCGGCACATACCAGAGGCTCTGTGTGATTCTCGCAACGTTCCAGGCACTGCAGCTCAATGATCTTGTCCTTGATATTAATGCTATCGCGCTGGCGTGACGAGGCGCCGGCTCCACTCCGTTGACTCCACAGCATAGCCAGTGACGCCAATAGCGCAGCTCTAAACAGTGCCATGCTCGAGACTGCGAAGCTGATCTGTAACGAGAGAGTGGTAGAGAGCTCCTAAATGCTTGCTAACTGAGTTCCCCTTCAAGACTATATGGATACGAGTATGGGCACACACATGCCGCCTGCGTTCATAATTTCTGCGCTGATCAGCACGTTGATTATGTTGCACATCAGAGCGACGGCGACGTCGTAACGCCTTTTGAAGGATCGGAGGGAGGGTCAGTTAGTTTGTCGCCGCACTGTGGAAAATACTGATCAGTTTGCTGGCAAAAGCCTAGCCGAAGAATTGTTGATATTGAAAAAGGAGTATATATTCTGTTAGCAGAGAGGGACTCCAATCATTTGCAGCAATATGGGATTTTTTAATGAAAAGTGCCTTGGAGTTTTCATTTTTACATAACTATAAACTAAAACTTTCTTTCTAATTGATCATAATGAATCTTAATATACGGACACATAATCACTAACTGGATGGAAATCATGAATGGATGGGAGTGGGGGTGTATCGAAAAAAATGAACAAACTTGCCCATTCTCGGGGTTAGGAGAATCTACATACCAAGTTCGGTTATTCTAGCTCTTATACATTCTGAGATAAAGAAAGAAAGATAAAAACAATTTCATTGTAACAGAAAGAGGTTTTATTATCGGAGTATTATTTTTCAAACCCCTTCTTAACCATTTCGACCCGGACAACTTAGTAGCTTTGTTGTCAAAGAGCAGATAACTTTTTGATATGCCAAGAAAATTTATATTATATTTATATAGCCCAAAGAGCTAGCGGAGAATAGGGTCTCTAGGTGCACATAATAATTGTCCAACCCAGGACAGATCTTAAAATAATGTGCCTCACTATTATATGGTTTTCGTATTTTATTATATACTTGTAATTGTAAAAATTAATCTGTGTAACATGATTGGTAATAAATAGTTTTCCATAGTAATTCACTGCAATCTGAATTTGCAAAAAAACCTGTGCACTATATGGTATAGATTTCTTAGCACCGATTGGTGGAAAAAGCACTATTAGTTTGAGTTTTAATGTCTTATATAAATTGTACTTGTTGCTTGTTGAATTCCCATTAAAATCAGTGCACTTATTTATAAAACTGACATAGAAACATACGCAACTAAGTACCAACAGCTTATTTGTTTAACAAATTATTAATCTGTACTTTTATAAATATCGGTGCACTATATTAAAGAGCTGCCATAGCAATGATAGGCACAACAAAGTTTATTTTAGCTGAATGCCTTTTGTAGACAATTTTAATTACAATTTCCCCAAAAAAGTTTATAGCCAACAAATAATTTGTTCTATAAAGGGAACTTTGTATGTTAAGGATCGCAAGGGTTAAATGTTTTATAATGTTCGTTAAAACCAGACCGCAACTATCTTTTCAAATAAAGTTCTCAACAATCGATTAGTATAACATATCCGGAAATTTATTATAAAAATATTTCAAATTGTTAAATGAAATCCAAAAATAAAATTTGCTCCATAGTGGATCGATCGTTTGCCGGTTGCCTCAACCGGTTTTTGCCATTTTGCATGACCAACTAACTAATCATTCTTTGCATTTGTGCTGCTCTGCGCCTCTACCCCCGTCTACCGACGCCCCTGTCTGTGCGCTGCTCTGCTCTGCTCGCTGACAAAGCGTCGAAGCAATGAAAATGCAAAAATACATAAATGTATCTCAAGTGCTTGACAGGACTTCAAAGCGCGCATCATAGTGCGTGCCATTGACAGATGGACAGAGGCAGCAGTTGCATAGCTGGCTGGGTCTCATGGTTGCTGTTGCTGCTGTTGCTGTTCTTGTTGTTGTTGTTGTTGTTCTGTGTGCCCTACTTGTGCTGCACCATGACGAAGTACGAGATGCGAGAGGCAAGCCTAGAAGTTTTATCTGGCAGCACATTGCGAAGCAAAGCAATTTGCAACTTATAGAAGGTGTGGTGTAGGGTTTAACGGGAAGGGGGCACAAGGTAGAGGGGCATTTAATGCATAGCCTCTAAGCCTCCTTCCCAGAAGTAAGCTGACCGTGTTGGTATGCTTCAAGGAGACTCGTGTAGGGTATTTAGCACGCAAATGGGAAACTAATGCTTTATGGTATGGTCGGTGTTGCTGCTGCTGCTGCTGTTGTTGTTGTTGTTGTTATTATTATTATTGGACTGCGTGTGAATGTGCAGCGGTGGCAGAGGAAACAAAATCAAGAAAAATACGACTACGACGAATGCGCGACGCAAGTGGATGTCACCACATATCCACCACCACACAAGCATAGCAGCCGCTGATGCAGAAGCTGCAGATCACATCACAGAAGCCAGCCACCAGATGCCGCACATACCAAGAGCAAGACGTCGTCTCCGTCTACGTCGACGTTAACGTTAACGTTGACACAGGCGACACTCAAAGGCAATGGCAATGGAGAGGGGGCGGTGGCGGTGATCGGTGGTGTGGTATTCGGGTGATCGGTAGAGAAGCAGGGGAAGCCTCATATAATGTGTGGCGGAGCAAAAACGCAACAGAACGAACGACAGACAGACAGTTAGACGAGACCGGTGCACTGCTACAAATGATCTTTACTAATCGAAACAATTGAATTGGAAAATATGCTTTACATAAAGCTTTACAAGGATTAATTTTTTACCACTGACTTTGATAATCATTTGATTAAACTGCTTATTATCATAAATAATATCAAATATCCAATAAAATTGCTTTGAGTTATGTGAGTCGATATAATCAATATTGCTTTTTCCCTGAAATTCTGGGCAGTATTTAATCTAGGAGTCCAAATCTGGTAAATTTTATAAAAATAAAAAAATAAAATAAAGTATAAAAATAGATATAAATATAACCAAATCCAAATAATTAAATATTAATATAATATATACTAAAACATAAGAATCAAATGAATGCTAAAGAGACTAGTATATGATCAGCTTAATGAGAGTAATCCAAATCGGGATGTCTGACCGATTATTAGCTGTTATAGAAGCGATATGATTTCAAAAAAGTATTTGTGTCAAATCTTGTTTCTTCCTAAAGATATGTGAGTATGTTTTTACTTTCTAACAAGATTGTTTGGCAATATTAGGGTTATAATTATCTTCGGGGAAATCTCTGACCACTTACTGCTGTGAGTTTGGGCAAAGCTTGCCGGACTGGCATTTAAAATTTCCCTCCTTTTCTTTTCGTCTCTCTCTTTCTACTTCTTACTTTTTCTAAGTAGTTCTTAATTAATAGATTATCTACATACATTATCTTTTAAGTTGAGTTTAAATTGTTATTTTAAATTATATAATCATATGATCGACAGAATTATTGTTGATGTACTAAATAAAATAAAAAAATAAAATAAAAAATAAATAAATGACCCTAAAAAAAGAATGTTTTTTGTAAGACACAGTGAAGAGTGCAGTCGTAGATAATTTGCTCGTTTTGCTTTTGCATTAGTCATAAATGAATGCGCCGAACAAATACATAGTTAAGGAATATTATACGTTTCAAAAGTTGCTGCTTTTCATACTATTTAATGAAAGCCCGCTCTTCTTAATGATACTTTAAAGAAGGAAGATCACTTTTAAAATTAATGACCATTTTTCGTGTTGTGCGGTATGTTTGATTTTGGAAAGCTTTTGATTTTTTCTATAGTGTAGAGAGAGGACGGACGAGCAGCGTAACTGAGGGACATTAAGCGACAAATGAATGTGCGACGATCGACGACAACAGCTACAACAACAACAACAACAAAGACGCTGACGATGACGATGAAGACGACGAGATGAAATGCAGCAAGTTCCGCGGAACGAAAAATTTGCAACAAAATTGGGCAGCAAAGCCTCAGATGCGACTGCGCTGCTGTCATATGAATGGGAATGGGTTGGTGTTGGATGTTGGATGTTGGCTGTTCGCTGTTGATGAGGCAGTCGATGGTGCTGATGTTGTTGTTGTTGTTGGTGGTGGTGGTGCTGCCAGGATGGCTGCCGTTGCGTAGAGGCAATTAATTGCTTTTAACGATCCAAAAATTCAAAATTACATTTTATGCCACAAACATATACACACACACACACACCGCCATACATACACAAACACTTACATACTTACGGCTTTAAGATCCGGATCGATTTCGTTGACGTCGACTGATAAATCGTTGGTGGTTGTTGCGTTGGCTTTGCTTTTGTTGTGCTACCTGGCTACTCGTTCTTCCTCACAACACAGAGACGCGACTGAGAGCTTAGGCACAATAGCACGAGACTGTGGCGACAAAGCCCAGCCACCGAAGCAGCAACAATAACTGCAACAGGCGACGCCAGAGGCATGAAAACACAGTGTGTGTAATATGATGCAAATCGTTTAACACTTTGACCAACACCAGCACCAACAACAACAGCAACAACAAATGTTGCAGTCGCAGCAGTAACAACAACAATAGCAACCATTGCATTGTTCAAGTGCAGTAGCAAAGCACTAAAAGTATTTATGCGAGGAAAATAAAAAAAAGTACCAAAAACAAAAGCTCACCATTATCTTCCAGATGAGACGAAACTAAAATGCTCTGCTAGAACAAAGAACTTGCACAAGATCTAGTCAGTATTTTAAAAATTGTTTATATTCTGGTCCCTTCTCTATATATCTTAAGCGGTTTTTATGAGAAGCTGAACTATTAAGCAAATGCATTTTTATATTGGGCACTTATTCCCTGAAAGGAGCCAGAAATTTGGCATAAACTTAATGTGATTTATAAAAATACTTGTATTTTCATAAAATTTCTTCTTTTTACAAATTTTTTTTTTTGGAAATTTTATATAATTTGTAAATGTCTTAAACATTTAGAGTTCTTTTTCTACAATTTGAAATAAATCTTGTATGACAACTACAAGGGAGTGCTTAAAATATTTATTTATTATATTGTTTTCTTTTCGTTTTTTAAAATATGTATCATTCATCCCTTTACAAGAGAAGGTCAGTGAAGGCATTCATTTATGTTTCTAGTATCAAAATCTAGGCATCAAAATTCATTTATTAGCTTAGCTTCCTAAGTACCCTTAGCATGTTTCCTTTCTTTGTGTAAAAGAGACGTATTTCCCATTTCGAGTTGAATTTGGCGCGCAAAGCAAAAATTTTAAAGGGATCTAGTTTAATTTATTTCAATATAATTATAGTTTGAAATTTTTCTTAATTGATTTAAAGCTATAATCAATAAAGCTATTAAATTGATTTAAAGCTATAATAATTCAATAATTGATACATGTGTTTAACGTATATTATTATTTAATAAATAAATAATCATTCTAGAACAAATTTTAAAAACTGCAAACCAATTTAAGCACAAATCAGTTAACGTCTAGTTGAATCGAGACCTCTTTTAATTTCATTTACAAATTGTTGCTGAATTCGTTATTCAATAAATAAGCTTTCTTTACTATAAATTAATTTCCCAACTCAACAAATTTTGAATATTCCAATACTTCTATGTATTATAAAAATTATAGACACATTATTAAGTGCAACTTTACAATTTGCAATTAATAGAAAACTTTCTTAAAATTTTTGTACTTAGGGCTTGCTGAAATAATTTAATAAGCTAATATAAAAAACTTATTACATGAATACAAAACTTTATTAAACGTTGGTGTTTTATGATCTTTGTGTCACGAAATTATATATGATAACAGAAAACGTCATACCATTATATTAAAGAAAATTGCATGTATTCCTTGAGTATCTTGTTACGGATTAACCACAGCCTGCTTTTTTTTTTGTTCAACCGCAAAACTGTAGCCATTAAACAATTAACAAAAGAGGGCAGGATCATGTTCGTACTTAAGGCTGGCATTAATATAGAGTGTATGTGAAATCCAATGAAAGCTTAGTCATTAAATGCGGTTCAAACACCCCATGGTCATCTACAATAACTCATATGCACTGTACTATTGAAACCAAGTCCAACCAAGCGCTGAAGGTGTCAAATGAACGCATTTACGTACTTAAACTTGAAGCCGCATTCAAGGTTCAGAAAAAAATGAAAAAATATAAACAAACAGCATACGAGTATAGTGGCTACTTCCGATGTGTGCAGGGCATAGGGTAAACGGTCAGAACTTTTTGCTTCTGCCCAGTTTCTTGTGTACGGGGCCGCAACATTACGGGTGGACAGAACCAGGGAATGCAGATGCGGTTGGCCTGCTCAAGTGTGTGAAGTCTCATTTATAGTTGTTGCTGTTTCAGCTACTATATGTCACCACTCTACAATAAACAACAACAGCAGCACCAACAACAATAAAAATAACAACGAGAACACAAGACACGATTGCCACAATTAGCACGAAGGCAATCACATTTTACGTCGAGCAAATAGCGCAAATGGCACGCAAAACGAGCGAAAATTTTTCGTACTTACACTTTCGAGTAATTTAAAAGAAAACGTTTGTTTCCTTTGCTTTCTGTTTTTTTTTTTTTTTTTTTTTTTTTTTAATTTTATTAATGAATTAAATTGTGCGTATTACTAGCTGCATTTATGTATATTGTTTGTTTTGTCTCACGCGCACTTAGCTTGACAGGATCAATGAGATGCGATCGATAAAGCGATTATGATTATGCCGCGGGATATGTGATGTTTTGTCGTGCTGGCTTCTTTTAAACGTAATTATTTAATTTAAGCGCGTAGGTTTGACTGCATTGCCACAAATGTATGTAGTGTGTTCTTTGCTGATCCTCCTTCGCTTCCTGGGCTTGTCGTCGCTGCCCAAAAATATCGCGCACAACCGTCACGTTGCACCCACAAAGACTGACTGACACACTGAACGGGCCAATTGCAAGGTCTGCCTCTGACTCTGCCCTGCTTGCCATTCATTGCACACGTTTTGGATGCTGAAACGAACAAACGACGACGACGCTCGTGCGTTCGTGTGCTCGTTCGTTTTGCTCCCACTCTCCTCTGGCGCAGAGCTGCCAATTCTTGACCGGCAAAAAGCTAGATCGACAATGGAAATATCTCAGAAGTAGCTAAATAAATTTTAATAATGGCCAATAGCCGATTTCACAGTTTCGAATAAAAAACGAAACTATCAAAAAAACGAATTCCCTAATTTTGCAAACATTTCCGTTTTTAGTTGGTGTATTGGTTATCCAATAAGATTTAGCTGTTTTTGAAGAACTTTATATTTACTCAATGAACCCAAATACTACGATAGTAAATTTGCAGACAAGATTCATTTTTCGTTCTAAGACATCAAAATGTTGATTCCCTACCGTGATTCGTTCTATAGGCTATAGATTCTTCATTTAATAATAAGAGAAAACATATCATTGAAATGACACGGTCACGAATGATGTTCGCAATTGGGTTAATCTACTATGCACTAAACTATAGCAAGACAACAAGAATATAAAGTATATAAAGGATAGTTCAGTAAATAGAATATTTCTTCGAAGACATCTACAAAGAATGTAACGCCCTAACGAACATGCTAAAATGCTATATCTTCCGCCAGTCGCAAATTATAATTTTTTGCGCAATCGGCATTTGAAAAACACCAGAGCTGGCGGGAAAATAGCTAAACGGTCAGTGCTGCCTCCGGCATTCTCTCGTCGCTGATCGTGCGCTCATGTCGCTCCACTTGTTGCCTGCATGTGTTTATATCTTTTCCGTATGAGTGTAGTCAACAGGAGCTGCAAAACACGCCGCCAAAACAAAGAGATCGCGTAATTTATGTTTTTTTGTTTCTGTACTACTCCTTCACCTCCTCCAACCATACGCTGCAATTTCATTCAAAGTTTCATTAAAGGACGCGCACATACATACACTCAGAGAAATAACAGCGAATGAGATTTCTGAAAGTTTACTTCAGTCAAGCGCTTAAAACTTAAACTAGTTATTTGTTTTTTGGGTTAATTATTTATTAAGAATAAGCATACATTATAGGTATATTTATTACATTACGCTTGTAATATTTTTTGATTTTTTTACAGACATTTCAAGCACATTTATTTTTTATAAAATTTACTTTCATTTTGCCATAATGCTCAACTACATATGTATATAAAGGAATTACATAAATAAATAAACACAAATAATTTGATTGTCTTGGGAAAGGGTAAATACACACATATATAGTATGTATGTATATGAGATGAGTTAAATGCATTGTCATGAGCAAGTTATTTGAAAGTTATAAATTTGTTGTACAAAATTAAATCTAATCAGCCATTCTGTAATGTTTAAAGTAAAACGAATACAATCTCAACCTTAACAACCCTTTTACAAATTACGTTTATTGGCAAACTGCCATGAAAAGTTATGTAAATTAATGATTATGTCGCTTCCATTTAGTCCAGCGGCTTTTTCTCTGAGTGTATCTTATGTATTGCTTTGATTGTTTCATTTTACATGCACCAATAAGTTTTATTCATTACATATTTAAAGAGTGATTGACACTGGCACCTCAAAACATATAAGATTGTTACTGTTAGCATCCTTTGCCTCCCACAACATGCGCCCGCGCATCTGTAAAGGGAACCAATATTTGGTTACGAATGGGGTGATATTGAAATGTTAGGGATCTTTCACTTACCACCGGCAGCGTAGTATTCACATAAACTTTAGCCAAATATGTCTTGCCATCGCCTGTACTCTCTATGCACTCCTGATTGCCATCACAGGGGTCGGGTGATATAGCCGCTTGGGTTTTAACATAATTGAAAACCCAGCGCACTTCGTGTTTTAAAAACGAAACGCCACTGCCTGAAAAGGAAAGCAACAAAAATCAAATAAATTGGTCTAGCTAATCAAATAGCATCAAAACTCATGACTTCAGTTAAAATTTGTAAACAAGAGCGACTCAGCTTATCTCGCTGGAGAGTATATCTCTAACCCACATCCAGCACGCTTCGAACATTTGCCGTTTTCTTTTATGTTGATCATATTCCGTTGGGCTCCCAATTTGATTCGTAAGCATCTTTAATGCACACTGCGATTACAATTTTTGAGAGCGTGGGTGGATTTATATTTTTGTAAATAATACTGGACACTTAAAAAAGCTCTTTGCGGAACCTGTCTCAGATGAATCGATTCGACTGTTCGTCTGTATGAACACCGGAAACTTTGGAACCATAACAACTAGGAACACAAACTTCGGTATGAAGACTTGCCTTATTAATACGGAAAGCAAGTTTAACTTATACTTTTTCCTCCTCATTATATTCAAATAGTCTTTAATTCTTCCCCGATCAGATCAGAGATTCCTTGTTTCATATATATATTTTTTAAATTTGTTTATTCTATAAAAATTAATTAATTAGTTTTTAATTAGTTTCCTTTCTCTGACAAGTTTTTTTTTTTTTTTTTTTCGTGGCATTGCCATTCGACTATAGAATCGAAGGCCTTTATTAGATATTATTGTAATTTGATAAGATTTTTCCAACATAGCTTGCATAGAACTGATTGTCGCAGAATTCAGGTATAATAAAAAAAATTTGTTTATCAGTTATAAGTTTTATATAGTACTTCATATATTGAAGTTTCACCATAATCGGTTCACTACATAATATACATAGGAACGGATGAAAAAAAAAATTTCCGCAATCTGAAGTCGGCCATATTTTTATTGTTATGGAACACTATTTCGACTTTAAATGAAACTGAGTGGGATTTGTTAAAGTTTTTCTGTTGATCATGTGGCTAAATTTTTATTTTAACGCATCACGCATTATTTAATCAAAATTGTAATCTTTTGAATTTAAAATTTAAATTTCGGTACCACGATTGTTTGAATCCTATTTTGTGAGTTCATATCGGGATTGCTTTGTACTGTTCGCCAGTGTGTAAGTATAGGATATGCTTTTTGTGTTCGCCTCGAAAAAGTGAAAGTGTTGATTTGTCTTTTTTTACTTGTTACTGTATTACATACAAATAATTAATTTAATCTAATAAAAGAAAATCACTTATTAAAAAATGGTATAAAAGCGCAAGATATACTTAAGTATCCATTCAATATAAAACGTTGATAAGAGGTCACCAAAAAAATCAGAACTGAAAGTTCTACGAAAACAATTTAACAACTGTTAGACTCATAAATATTACTGCCATATGAAGGAGTGTACCTTGTAGTTCCAGTTCTACTTTGCTGCCATATTTATTATCGGATTTTATCTTTATGGCTTTTGCTGACCAGCGCACTAATTAATGCAATCAAGCCCAATTTTATTTATATTTCTAGCGATTTGGCGATATCGCCAATATGGGAACTTTCCTGCTATCTGCTCAGACCAATGCGTCTCAGTTTACACTCTCCTACCTAAGTATGATCAATTAATTTTATTGCATATTCTATAAAACATTATCGCCGCCCTCTGATTTCGCCCGCAATTGATCTATTTTTGTTTACAAAAACAAATGCAGCAACTGACTTTTAATTTCTTTGTAGCAGCGCAAAAATTTGAATGCGTATGCGGGGTGTTATCAATACAATGCGCTTACCGTTATCATCGAAAAGCACTCTCACGTCAACCAAATCGCCCCGCTTCATGGTGCATGGAATAGTAGTGCATCCGTCAATTTTGAGGTACATGACTTGAAACATGGAACCTGAAATAATAAAATAACACAATAAGTAAATCGATTTAGGTACACATTTATATTTGTTAGTAAAAGTGTGGTTTCAAATATAATGGATTTACAAGTTCATGGCCGCGGAATACGTGAGATCTACACATACTACACGCCTCACTGCCAACACGAGAATTGTTGCCCTCGGCTATTCACATTGTAAATGGTGCACCATATTATTCTAAAAGGCCTTAGCGTATCACCAGGCGCAATTATCGGACGCTTTAAGCATTGAACCTCAGCACTACTTAAGTCGAATTATCAAGAGGGCAGACGTAGAGCTGTCTACTATTTGATTATCACTAGCCAGGTGATTCTTCATTCCACAATATATGGCCAACTGAACGTTGAAGGCCGTTCTATAATCTATTTATACTTACACTCTTAAGGGTGCCACATAAAACTAAGTGCAAATTAATTTGAATGTAAATTATACAACAAAGTAGTCTATTATTATTATTGACCTTTAAATAAAGCTGAGTAATTCTGAAATGGCTTATATGAGTACGTTGATAGGTCTCCTTGCTTTTCTAGTCCATAAATTATCAGTGCTTTATATAAATTGATCATTTTGAAATCAATTTTATCATTTAATTAATTTCTTGTATTTGCTGCATATTGGAAAGTTTATATACACATGGGGAAATTTTTGCACTGATTAGATGATAATCTAGTTGATTAGTTTACTGCTATACTCGTATATCATGCCTTCATACGAGTATTTAAAATTATTTCTTAAATTGGAACCAAATTTGGGGCAGATAAGCCCCAATTGAACAGCTCATTTCAAAAATTTCCAATTCCAACCCAGAAGCCATTCATATTGATCAGCAAGACAGGGCGAAGAGGTATAGGCATATCCGCCGATATGTAGACTGGTCTAACCCACAGGCCGAGTTTTTTAAGAACGATATGTAGTTAATATTTTATAAAGTTTCCAATGAATCTATCAGTGCAAAAACCAATCTCACTTAAATAGCCTTTGGTGCTTTATCATATAACTTTCATTCGGAAGATCGATGAAATAATCACTCTACAACCAATTTTGGTTAAATTAATTATTTCATAATGCCTCCTGATAATATGAAGCTTTACAGAAATTGTGCTTAAGAATAAGATGAAATATCGAAAGTATATATAGGTACTGGTATAAATCTATTTTATTTACGAAATATTTTTTATAGTCCTCCCCAACATTCCCTGCCTGAATCGAAACAAGAGAGAACGCTACAGTCGAGCAAGCCCGACAGTGTAATACCCTGTACCCAGGTAAACTTCCGTCACTGAGTTATATGCGCCCATAGCAGCAGCAAAAAGAGGAAGAAGAAGAGCGAACTTGTTGCTGCAGTTTGTGGGGGTTGTACTGGCGAGAATATGTTTCGCTAATAACTTTTCTTAGAATTGACAGAATTCAATCAAATTTTAAACAACAGTAGACAATTATTTATAAATTATGTGTCCAAATTTAGTTTAGGTAGCATCTGAAATGTGGACGCTATTGACGAAATTCTGCAGCGGGGGAAGGGGGGAAAATTAAAAAAAATAAAATAAACTCGTCCTTTCTCGGACCTAGGAGAATCTGGATGCCAACTTTGGTTATTCTAGCGTTTATAGTTTCTGAGATCCTCGCGTTCATCCAGACGGACGGACAGACGGACGGACAGACGGACGGATATGTCTAGATCGATTTCTCTCGTCATGCTGATCAAGAATATATATACTTTATGGGGTCGGAGATGCTTCCTTCTGTATGTTACATACTTTGCACAAACCTAATATACCCTTTTTACCCTACGGGTACAGGGTATAAAAATAGCCAAAGGGACAGTTTTGTTCAAAAATAACTTGACATACAAATTTATTGTACTGTTGAACACTATAAATAATTAAACATTAATAACTACATAGATATGGCATAAAAAGTTTCTCAGTATTTTCCCAATAAAATTACTAGAAAATGTGAAACAGGATTTCATTATTTTCGAGTTTAGAGAATTAGATATTTTAGGTGAAGAACATAAGTAATATAAGTAGAACAATAAATTAATTAACTGATAAACTAATTCGATATCAAAAGCATAGAAAATCTACAAATTGTTTATTAAAAATAAATTTTCTATTGTCCATTAACATAGACTGTTTTCCATTATTACTTGTTCATATTATTTGCTCGATCATTTGATGGGTACCAGGTTAAACGAACATTTTGAACATGCAATTTTTACCTAATGAAACTAATAATACTTTACTAGATCCTCTAAGGACGAACATTTAGTCCTTGACTATAAAAAACTTACCGCAGTCCTCGAAAGGCAACGATCTTAGCTGCAAAAGCTTCTTATAGACTTCATTAGTTGCCGTGCTTATTACACCACATGTTAACTCGTGTATTGCACAAACAATCAAGAAAATTTTGAAGTAGTATACAATATAGCAGCGCATGTTTTAATCAGCTGGACGAAATGGCTGCGATTAAAATTTTTGGTCTGATTCCGAAAGTTTGAATAAAATAAAGGCGAATGATTAAACGTATATTTTGGTCAAAGACTCGGAGAGCAACGCACGGTTAATATTGATATGGAACCGTCTGTGGCCGACAGGTGACTGGCAATAACCTGAAGCGTGTCCACTATAAACAGAGCCGAAATCTAAATGGCCAGCCAATTGGTTAGTAATGGCGGAACATTACTGAAGAAAGAGAGAGCCTTACACTCTCTCCGCAAATTTGTTTTTTTATGGCTGGGGCGTTAAGCATTAACGTAAATAAATAATTTGTGTATGATTAGGCAATAAAACTTTGATTTATTGGCTGGGAATGCGGAGAAGGTGGCGGGCCCGCGCTACCGTGCTATCTACCAATTGTATTGGCCGTGTGTATATGCCAGCAAAATGACTGATAAAACTCGTTCGAAAAGATTTGAGGATTGTTTGGCCGGGTGGTGACGTCTGGTATTTTATCATTGATAAGATCGAAGAAAGGAGGTGAAGGCACACACGCGTAGATTTATTTGTGATTCATTTATACGTATGTATGAGCTATAAATAAAGCATAATTAGTTTAGTAGATTAGGTGATAGTTGTTTAAAAAAAATATGAGCTACTCCAATTCCACTCGAAGTATCCACATAGTATTTAGTACATTTTTTAATAATATTATTTTTTATTTGCATTTTAATCCAAACACGGTAAGTAAAACTCATTCTGACATGGGAATGTGACAAAATTGATTGTACAATTGCATTGACGACAATCGCAATTCATTTTACTCGATAATACCCTTCAGATAATTCGTATTCTTGATGAAGCGAAAATCAGTGCGCAATTGTATGAATTGTCGCACCACTGACTTGTCCAGATAATTCTATAGTAAAAAATATCAAAAGAAAAAACCCAATTATTAATATACAATACAGCGTACCCGATTCGCGATACCTACCAATGTGTCACCTGTGCAAACCTCTTGAAGATTTTGGGGCTTTACGAGTAGCAAATTACACAAGGCATGTAGAATATCAAACAATTGTGTCACGAGTGGACTATCTAGATCACGTATACATTTACGATATTCGTTAACATCACAAATGGCGCACATGGCACCTGCTGTGTTAAACTGCATTGTTTGCAAATGATCGTAGATAACGCGATGCAAACGTGTGCCAAATTCAGTGAGGACATTTTGTAGATTCTCACCATCCACACATTTTTTGATCTGCACAATAACGGGCTGCAGATTTTGCACAACTTGCAAACAAGCCTATGACGAATAGAGCACAGATTGTATATTTAATTTATAAAAACTACTCGTATGACTAATCGTAATTACCGCTGATGAAATAGTATCCACGTCAGTCTCGGGTTTATAGTCTGTCTTTTTTTGTTCGTACTGCAAGTAAACTTTGACCCAACCAATTACAGCGCTTATGGAACGATCCAACCCCTGATCCAGCTTCGTCTCAATTTGTTCCATAAGAATACGCTTTTTGAAAACATAATCGGAATATTTGGCCGTGTTGCTGTTATCATTTTGAAATGACAATTAGATTTTATTTTAAATTTGTATATTTAATTTCAAACTCACCTCACACATGGTATAATCGATGTATTGCACAGCTTATCCAGCAAATGAACAATAATATTTGTTTTTTGTACCACATCGAAGAAATACAACTGTGGAAAGATTTTGCCCTCAGCCAATGGTACTGCCTGCAGTCCTAATTCGAGTGCATAATCTACATGCTCATGCATTAGGAAACGTAGTAAAATGTCGTTTAGCTTAATGGCATTGCTTGGAAGCTCAGCCTCTGTTGATAATAGCCTGCAACGCTTAAACGAGGCCTTCGCCTCTTGCAACATATTTATGGCTAGTTCCTCCGAAAGAAATGTTTCGCCGCCATAATCCTCAATGGCTGCTATGTTAATATTGGCACGTGTGGCAATTAACACCTCCATGTTGCGTCGAAAAGTAGTTGTTTTTTGAGTCTTTTGATGCTTCTTGCTGGCATAGAATTTCTCCAGCTCCGTTGAACATTTAGTTGTCAGACATTTGGTTTCCATTTCTGCATACCCGGCAAGATGTTTCATGAAAATCTGTTGTGTAAGTTTTTGCAGCAGATCATCATCAATGGTAGACATGTAGATTTGCAGATCTGTAGAGAGCTTTAGGGTGCTGCAAAGTGTACAATTTACAATTTATACATTTTACTTAATGATTAGGTATGTTACCGTGAGTAAAGCTCATAAAGCGTGCGCAAGTATTTCTCCTCATTCTTTTTGTCTTCTAGCTTGGTCATGGCGTACTGATGGAGCTTCAACTGATAGATATTCAATATGAACTTTGACATTACCTGCTGCGGATTGGCAAACACCTTTTTGATAATTTCATAATGATGCTTGCACAATGGTACTATGCCTATGAAAATATCCTTGCCACTATACGGCGTCATCTGACTCTGCTCAATGTAGGCATCCACACACTGTGCATAGCCCTTGAACTGAGATAGTATTTGCGCCAGAGCTTTCATTCGCTCAATATCTTCACTCTTTTGGGCAGTGGCAAATTCTTCGATTAGTCGCCTTTCCACCTCATCATATTTTTTCTCAATTTTGCGCTTTGACTCTGCGAAATTTCCCGGTGGCAAATCCTGTGAAATCGTATACAGTTTTTGTATTACATCAGCCGCTTCGTTCAGGCGAGCTGCATCAGTAAATATATCGTTTACAATGGGGCCGGATATAAGAAACTCAGACATGTAGCTAAGCAGCTTTTGTGCTTCAACGGAACGACTACGTGGCGTATTAACATTTTCCAGCTGCTGGCCCAAATGCTTTATTTTTCCAGCCACCGAGTTAATCTTCTCGTCCAGCTCCCCGAAACAGTCGATGGCTATCTGATGACGTTCCTGCAGCTTCGCTACCCTTTTGGCATGCGCCTCCTTCTCTTGTCGAAGCGACTCTTCAAGCCGTTCGCATTTGCTTTGATGTTTCTCCTGTAGTATTTTCAAATCTTTAATGGTCTGTATAAATGTATCATGCAGCGCAAGAGGGCTGAATTCATCGCTGCTTTGCAACTCATTGTTTGTACGCCAGGTTAGCCGTTCAATGAACTCGCCCACTTCAAAGGGGTCCTAGTTAAGTAATTGCGGGGTTATTAATGGTTAGACAGACATTTTTTGGATCCATTTACCTGTTCGAACTCTTCCATGTATTGGGATAGCATTTTATTTTATTTTTTTTTTGCTTACCCACTTTTCTAATCAATCGTAGGCGTATACAACAAAGCGTTCTTCTTCTTGTCCTATGAATCAGCTGATTGCAGTGTTGTCATATTTTACGGAACGGTGTGGCAATATTGCTTAACTGTTGCGCCTGCCGCATTTTAAAATTTAACACAAGAGTAGAATGGTTGTCTCGCGCGCCCGAATCTTATAAACATTGTACTCGGTTAAGTTGTAGAGTTTAAAGAAAATATATACTCTACCTACACATGCTGGAGGAAAAAATTATTTGGACATCATTTGACGAAAATATTTTCAAAAGACTAGACGTGCCTCGCAAATAAGTTGTGGCATTCTGAAGGTTATTTTAAGTGAGTTATTTACTTATAAAATAAATATAAAATGTTGAAGAGTATAAATGAAATTTTGTTAATCAATGAGTTAACTAAACTATGTTAAAGTTCAATTTAATTAATTTTCAACAATAAACAGATGACGAATTTTCAAAGTTGTAAAGTTGCAAGAACACTATATACCATGAGGGAAAAGTTTATCAAATGGTGACATTGAGAGGATTATCAAGTTCGATTTCGATGCCTCCACTGACGAAGAAAGTGGTGATGAAATGGCACTCCATCAAGCAGTGTGTCCTCGAATCAATCCAGAAAATGCAAGTTTCAGCAAGTGGAACATTGGGTGGTATTTCCTGAAAAAGGACGTTGCAGATTATGTAAGACAGGAACCCCAATGTCGAAATGCATTGAATGTAAAGTCCACCTTTGCTGAAATAAAAATAAAAACTGTTTTATATGTTACCATCCTTCAATTTTGAAACCAAATAAAAATTACTGTCATCTAAAGATTATTGTTTGTATTTACTACTATAGCCCAACGTTGCTCACAAGCAGCTTCCGGTGGCGCCAAAACTGGTGGACGTAAAGATTTGAAATTTTGCTTAAATACTTTTTAGACCAATACAAACAGAATAAAATATTAACAAACATTTTAATTTTACAGTTAAAATGTTAGGGTTGAAATGGTTAAATTCATAAATGTGTATGCCATTTTGCAGTCCTTTTACTAACCTACTATTTACGGATATCCTTGCGGGCATACAGACATACAGATTTTATAATACCCTTTCACCCTCGGTTACTGAGTAAAAAATGCACTTTGGATTGGGCTTGCTCGTTTTTATGTTTATTATAAATTCAATGCGCGTTTTGCTTAATTGGATTTAGGTGTTGTATATCAAAAACATCCTTTACACAATTACGACACCAATGTGCCAACAATTTAAAAATTTCAAACGTAAATATTACAAATGTTGTAAATTACAATGGAGTGGAGTCTGGCATTTATTAAATTTTAATTACAGTTTTTAACTTTCGATTACGTTTAATATGTTTATATAATTAGAAAAACCTAGACGCTGCGATTCAAAAATAGACCATATTTATAATAATAAGTGTGGGACAAAGCGGTATTTGCAAATTTTCATATATGTTTGTGTTATTGGATTTGCCCCTGCTTTTGTTTTTAATGTTGTAACTACTGTTACTGTTTATGTTGTTGCTATTGCAGGTGTAAATGTGGGTGGGCATGTGTATTAGATGTTGTCGGTAGTTCCTGTGCATGCGGCAGTGAGACCGTTGCCGTCGAGTGCATTATGTTGATGGCGTTTGCAGTTGTGGCGGATGAGGCCAAATCGACGGCTGGCAGGCGTGTGTTATCCTCATATGTATTCGCAGCCATGGTACTCATAACTTCTGGTATTGACGGCGTCTCCACAAGTTGTTGTAGATTTTTCAACTCTGTTGAACGCAAACTAGCTGAGAGACTTTCGCTTGAAGCGAGCGACGTCGATAGCGGTGAGTTCCGATCCATTGATGATGCAATGTCTATAAAGAGGAAACCAAAATTAGGAAATGCAATTTTTACACGACCCTCCATTACTTACCAGTCCTGTCTGTATCCGGGGAGCACGTGTTGTGTCCAGCTCCGCTTTGCGGCTGGTGCAACGACATCATAAGCTTCTCCTCCATTTGAATGATTATTTTCTTCTGCGTGTCGTATTTTTTGTTCAGTGACTGTAATATTACTTTTAAGCATTAGTTTCCGTTTGCTAAATGCATTTTATTCAACTGACCTTGAACATCTCCTCGTATTCTTCCTTTACGGCACGCAGCAAACGTTTCTGTTCCTTGATAACCTTCTCGCTGTTGACGAGTTGAGTTTGAAGTTCAATGGTTCTATGCTTGGTGCTCTCTATCTGTGATGTCTTCTCATCCAGACAGTGCCTAAGATCTGTAAAAACAAGCAATAAAAATTGATTCGATCCATTTGAAAATTACTGACATAACGAAAATCTAACCACAGCAATATTTAAAAAAACTTTTTTAACAATACCTATTCCCGATAATGCATCGCAAGGAGCTTTCTTACTTTGATATACCGCCTTAAGAAACACTTATCGTTTTTCTTTTTTTGAGAAATAGTATTCTAAACGGAACCAACTTGCCATCTTCAACTTGCACTTATCTACACCCCAATGTACATATGTATATATATATATAGATAAGTTATCCATACCACTTATTTCCTTGTTGTAGCTTTCTTGTAGCATTTGGAGTTCCTCGTCGCGCGACCGATAATTTTCTATTTCGGCCAGGCGATCACGACAACGCACCTGCACCTCGCCCATAATGATAAACTCAGCTTCTAGACGTGACAATTCCTGTTTGCACTGCATTCCCACCTCAGCTTGTTGTTGTGCATGCTGGAGCTCCGTATTTAGGTTGAATATCTGGCCACGCATCGCCTGCAGCTCATAATTGACCTCTTTGCGTTCCGACAATTCGGCGTTTAGTCGCGTTTGGAGAGCATCGTTTGCCTGTCGCAAACATTTCTTCTGTTCCAGTTCTTGCTGATATTTTACCTTTAAATCTGCGAGTTCCTCGTTGTAAATATTCTGCCGCTCGGCGGACAATTTGATGGCGTTGTCCATTTTGAGTTGTAATTCCTTGTTCTTAGCACCAAAGTTCTTGAGCTGTTCCAGCAAACGATCGCGTTCCATTTCTAGACTACGCTTGTCACGACTACGTCCCATGAGACGGCGATTGCGTTCAGCGTGTATGCCACGTCGATAACTCTCATATTGTAACTCCAACGCCATTAGCTGTTGTTGCTCGGCATCAAAGCTGTCCTTGGTGGTGTGTATGGATCGCATAATATATTGATCAAGTATGTCCTGTGGATATAACCGATTTTTTTCGTACTTATTGCGCTTCTCATTGCAATCAGAGAGTAGCTCGAACAGTGAAATCTCATAATTTGATGATGGCTCCATTTCCAACGTTTGCGTGCCCGCATTGGCATAGCGTATGGGTTGAATTATTTTGGGCGCCATGGCCATGGCCAATATTTTGCCACTGCGTTGCAGGCGGCTACCAGTCTTGTTTGTCTGCGCATCCGTCATTGTCACCGTTGTCGTTCCATTATGTGTCGGACAGTCAGCTTCATCGTCGTCGTCGAAGAGGTTGTTAAATGCCGGACACGATTGGGTTCGTCGCAATTTCTTTTGGTCTTGCGCAGTAGCTGCCCCTCGCTTTGATGCTGAGCTATTGAACGGCTCACAGTGATAATCATTGTAACAATCGCTGGCCATGCGATTCCGTCGATTAACCTTCTTGGCTAATCTACGCATCACGCCTTGCGTCGGCATATGCAATCCGCCGGAGGTACACATGTTGCGCTCCGTTTCATTGCATTCCCCACAGCCGGTGGTCAAATCCTTTGACTCGATAGTCGTTGCCATTCCCGTTCCCATCGTCGTCTGCATGGTGAGTTGCTGATTGTTTCCCGCTGTCGTTGCCGTTAGCAGCATTTCTGTATTCATTTCAGGCATGCTATTCGGAAAAATCATAGAACGTTGATTGTGATGTTGTTCCTCTGGCCGGCTGGAGCGCGTCTCTATCGGATGAAACGGAGTTTGCGCATGTCGATCCTGAAGCACCTGCTGCAATTGTCTATCATATGTGGTCGTCACTCGAGTCGTTACTGTGGTGCTAGTGGTGGTTATTGTCGAGCCTGCTACGATATTTGTGAGATCAGTGCTGATATCGGGAAAACTAAATTGATTCTGCTGCTGATCTTTGCGCATGGGTGACGAGGGTTGACTGTTACCGAATATGGCGCGCACGGCATGCGGATTGGCCAAAGCGGCACCCATGCCATGCTGTTGCTTAAAGTCCTTCATGGGCGTCGTCTCGGGAGTGGCCTCAACAGCGGCTTCAGGTGGTGACGAGCCCGTCACGCCCAACAACTGGGAATTGCTTGATGTTGGCAACGGCAATATAAACTGTGCAGTGGGTGTTAGCGGTATGGCGCTAGTCGCTGCTGTTATCTCATTGTGCGGACTCCATAGTTGGCTGCTGTTGTTATCTATGCATGCTATAAAGTCTCGGGCTTGCGGCAAAAGTTTCAGCTGATAGGTGCTATTGGAATACTCGCTATTGGAGTTTGTTGAGGTCATTCGACTGTAGCAAGGAGTGCCGCATAACATGCTGCCCGGTGTTATTGGATATGTCGATGTATTATCATCATTGCAGAAATCCGGATGCACCACAGGCAAGGACAGGTGAGCACACTCCATGACTACATCGTGTGGCTCCATTTCTTTCCATCGCGTGTTGCTCACCTCCGTTTCAGTTGTTGCCGTCAGCAGCATAGGATGTACACGTACAGTATCCAACAGTGGTTTGATTGTATGCTGAAAAATGCCACCGCCTTTGTCCTTCTTGATGAAATCAGTCAAATAGCCCAGAAAATTGCATGGATACATGCCATACAAACGATGGAATAACATTTGCAGGCCCACCTGCAAGTGCACAAGCTTTTCTTCAGGCAAGCGATTGGTGTTCTGCAATTTCCACGAGGCCAAGTGGCCAAACACGTCGAAGAGATCGTTTAAAAAGTTCGGCACCGAGTTGGGTATGATAGGCAGCAGCGTAATAATGCAAAGTAGAGCGCTCATCAACGGTACAATGTCCTTCTCATGCTGTAATAACAAAATTCCCTTTACAGTTTGTGCTGGAAATCATTTGCAGATCCACTCACCGTCAGCAACTTAAACACACTCTTGATGAGCCTATGCTTTTCAATTTTATACAACCACGTGGGATGACGTCGCACGATGAAACAGAAGACATTAAGAGCCTGAACGCGATATTGTTGAGTTTTTAGCCATTCGTCGAGACGGTCAAATATATAGCCATCGTGAGGTGTCTGCGCCTTGACAAGCACTTCCATAATGCGCTTGGAGCCAGTTTTGATAAAATATTCCAGCATATACTGCACCGCCCATTGCTCCTTAGCTGTGGGCAGCATTACAAAATTAATTTATTGTCGACATTTTGCCCGAACTATGTGCAAAACTTACTTTGCGTAAAGAGCTCCACAAGTTTCTTTTTGGCCTCCTCGTTTTCGTGCGCCTGATTGGATTCCAAGTCGCTGAACACCTTTTCAATGTCCATGTTGCTCCCGTTTTCGGCTTACCCAAATGCTCTGCTACTATGAAACCACTTAATAGAACCTACCACTACCACCTTCGCTACGCGAAGCAATTGATTTTTCAGCGTACGCCTGCACGCCGCCTCCTACTGGACGTAGAATCTGTCCGTGGCTGTGGTTGCAGTAGCCGCAGTTGAGCAACGCTTGGGTACATGTACACCGCGCCCCGCGCACACCAAGAACTTTGTATTCGTCGTCGTAGTCGTCGTGGTCGCGATCGTCGTTTGCTGCGCGTGTGATTTTACTTGTCTTCCTCGTTGTCAACTGTCGTCAAAATTCGCAATTTAATTGATGTAAAACTTCGCTAACTGGCCAATGTGGGCATACGAAACAAGTGTACTAACCTCTTCTACTCTCATTTTCTTTACATTAATCAGCGTGGTGGCCAAAACATTTAGCTTATAAAGGTTATTTTGCGTTTTCTACATTAGAAGAACTAGAATTTCGACGTCTCACAGTGGCTCAGCTGGAGCGGTGCTGCCAACACGTTCCGCAAAGTGTTGCCAGCTGTTAAAGGCGCAGAGTTGCCAAGCTTGTCAGCAGGTGTTTTGTTATTATTATCAAATTGGTTGACCGACAGACCGACCGGTAAAGATGCGAAAATATTTTTTGGCACCGTTACAGGTGCGACAATTAGCCACGCAGCCAAAATTGGCCGTAAAACCAAATCAGTTAGTATACATAATGCCATTATCATTTAGTTATTTAATTGTATTATTTGTTCTTAGCCAATGGAAAAGTGTGGTTGGTCTCGAAGTACACGCGCAAATATCAAGCACATCCAAACTATTTTCAGGCAGTGGTACAACCTTTGGTGCGCCTTTAAACAGTGCCGTATCATTTTTTGATGCCTCCATACCGGGAACTTTGCCGGTAAGTGTGTTTTTACTTAAATTACAACAGAGTTAACTAAATAATCTTTTGATTGTTACAGGTATTGAATCGCAAATGCGTGGAGTCGGGCATTAAAACAGCTCTGGCACTTGGCTGCCAGGTCAATGAAGTATCCATGTTTGATCGTAAACATTACTTTTATGCAGATTTGCCGGTAAGCAGGTGTAACTTGCGTTTGGTCGAAATTTAAATTCCCTTCTTAACTTCCAGAATGGCTACCAGATTACACAACAACGCGCGGCGTTGGCAAACAATGGAAAAATTTCATTTCCCGTGATTACACCTGGTACGAAGGTTTATTACAAATCCGTTAAACTATTGCAATTACAACTTGAGCAAGACAGTGGCAAGTCGTTGCACGATGATGAACTAAAGAGGTAAACAACTAATAGCCAGCTATCCACCTACCCAGCCTTGATTCACATTTATTTTTGCAGAAGTTTAGTTGACTTGAATCGTGCTGGCTTGCCCTTAATGGAACTGGTATTTGCACCTGATTTAGAGACGGGTGAAGAGGCAGCTTCGTTAGTGAAAGAGCTGATGCTCATACTGAGACGTCTACACACTTGTAGCTGTAAAATGGAAGGTAGTTAAAAGTTGCTTAATACAAATACTACTTCGTTAACTGTTATGTTTGTAGAGGGCGCCCTACGTGTTGATGCGAACATATCCATACACAAAACGGGTGAGCCATTGGGTGTGCGCACAGAGGTGAAAAATATTGGATCCGTGCGCAGTATTTCCCAAGCTATTTCTTATGAAATCAATAGACAAATTAAGCAAGTCGCCGCTGGTGGCATTATAACCAACGAAACGCGCTCTTGGGATGCGGACGGCAGACGCACAGTTGCGATGCGTGATAAAGAAGTTTTGCAAGATTATCGTTTCATGCCCGAGCCTAATTTGCCACCACTGCATGTTAATTTAAAACCAGGCTCTCAATCAACTGAGGATTTGATATCGGTGGCAGCATTGAGTGAAGAAATTCCGGAGTTACCTGAGCATACACGACAAAGGCTCGTAGAGCATTATAAATTAAATTCGGAAACTGCCATCATATTAGTGGTAAGCCAATTGATAGTTGTCTTAAATCTAAGTCATGGAACAGTTCCTCGCTGATAAACTAATGCTTTTAATGCATGGCTAATAATATATTTTCGACAGATAATGTTTTGATAAACTTGTTGAACACACATTACAGTCTTCGTCCCTTTATTTTGTTAAAAGGCTTTTTGTAAAAGTTCTGTCAGAGTGGGAAATAATACTATTCTTTGGCACAAGATTTTCAACACTTAGATATATAGTTTTAAAGCTGAATTTCCTTATCAAACGTAATGTTTCTTTTTGCAGAATGAGCCGATTTTATTGGAACATTTTCTCAATATAACTAAAAGTTTGATGGACGTGCCAACAAAAGTTGTTACGAATTTTCTTATCAATGATTTGTTGACCTATTGCAATAAAATTAATGTGGATGTGGAAGACTGGTAAGTATAATCTAGTTTATTAATATATTAATTAAATTCAATAAATTCAATATTTGCCAGCGCCTTAAGTTCCACAGACCTAAAGGATGTCCTAAAATCGTTGCACTCAGAGGAAATCAACTTGCAGGCAGCACGTCAACTTATAGAACTGTTGCACAATAATCCAAAGACCGATATAAATACGGTGCGTAGTTTTATTATTTTTCTATGAGATACTAAGCAACTAATGAAATCGTTATAGCTTATTGAACAACATAACCTGCAACAAATTTCGGATCTCAATACCATTGAATCCTACTGCCAGCAAGCAATTAACAATCAACCAACGGCTGCGCAGCAATATCGAAAGGGCAAGACCAAAGCACTCTTCGCTTTAGCCGGCGAAGTGGCCAAACTCTCAGCACAGAAAGCCAATATGAAAATCGTAGTACAGTGTTTGGAAAAATTGCTGAAGGATTAATAAAAAGACGGTATTTAAAAGTGTTTATAGAAGTGTATTTTTTGGTTTGTATAATTTATAAAATTTGCGGAGCTCTGGAGTTTTTATTAGAGTTTTTTAAAATTAACCATATATGTTTCTGTATCTTCAGAGGTTTGGTGCAGCTATGGGTGAATAACAATATAAATGCATACAAACATCTGGTAATTTTTAGTTCATTGTATGTATGTAAGTATATTGTATACTTGTATATGTATATTGTTCGGTGTTCTCCAGTTTTTAAGGAGAATTGGAACTGGTGACTGTTTAATGCATGTATGTGGAAAGATGAATGTCGATTGAAGTTTTCATTTTTTTCTTATGCGAAAGATCATGTTGCGCACTATATTCGATTGTCTAGCGAGCAGACAATGAACAGCTAGAATTGTACTAAATAGTTGTTGATAGATTCATTTTGATGAGTAGTGACGACGACTATGCCCAATTTTTAACTCGAGCGTGACTAGTATTGGATGACTACTAAATAAATATTGTTTATCTTTGTAGGCTTAATGCAATTGCCATAAATAAATGCAGCTCTTTTGCTTTTAAGCTGGCAGTTAATGCTTCAAAAGTCTTGGCGGGATCAAGTTACCAAATAACCAACAAGCCAATTAATCGCGTTCATAGTCGCGACACGTAGAGGGCGGCAAACTCATGGACACCGCCGAGTCCAAGCTACATATAAGAAAAAAGAAGCGATTACTGAGTTGAAATTCTTTGAAATCGTGGCATAATTTACCGCCTGGTCTCACTCTCCAGCAGATGTGAGTCAACTGGATGCTGTGAGACATTGCGCAACGAATCGCCCAACGTGCTGCGCAAATGTTGCATCTCTCGATTGGCCTTGGAGCTGCGCAGAATATATTGTTGACGCCGCTTAGCCTCCTGTGCCAATTGTTCGCGCAACATGGAAATCTGTGGAGACAAACGTTTATAGTTCACGTCATGAGATTTTAAAATGCACGGTATGTAAAACTGATAAATTTACGACTCATGCAAATAAGCGGACGGACAGGCGAACTTGCTTATATCAAGTCCTCCCATTCTGCTTTATATTCTTACCCTTTCAAATTCATATTTAAATAATTGGATGTTTCAATTCTTCTTCTCACTTTTGATTATAAATTAATATTCTTTTGAATAGTCATTTTTTAACTAATAGGGTTGAATGCAAATAGTCCGGTTACCCATTCGCATAAAATTTCATTAAACACAGACCCAAATTTATAAAAAGATTTCTAAAAGTAGACCAAACGCTGTAAGTTCTAAGAAGGGCAACTGCAAGCCTCTGTTTGATAATCGGTAATCAGCAATATACATCCATACATAGGTACGGTACTTATATTCAATTACCTGATTTTCAAGCCTTAGCACTTGCTGCTTGTGGGATTGTTCGCGCGCATCCAATAATTTTTCTGCATGCATTTGGGCACTCCGATAACGCTCCGAATCCATTCCATCCACGCACTTGGCGCTGTCATGCATGCGTGCTTTACAACGCGCCAGCTCCGATTCCTTCTCGGCGAGCAGCGTTTCCAAGCGACGCACCTTTAAGCGTAAATCACGCGTCTCTTGTTCAATGACAGCATGGTCTAAGCCACAGCTATAGGCTCCGTTGTTGCCACTGTCAAAGCGATTGGAATCGTACTCGCCGTTATCTGCCATCCGATCACCTGTACCTCCGCCTACACCCCCACCATAATAGGAACTTGATTTCTCAGCACGATCGTAGGCATTTCCACTTGAAAATTTGCTCTTGCGCTCGCATTCTAACTGCTTGACCTTATCCTGCAAGGTTTGCAGCTTGCTGCGCAGCTCAGATTTCTCACGTTGTGAGGATTTCAACTGACGACTTAGCTCCTCCTCCTCGCGACTGCCGCCATTAACATTACCAAGACTGGGCTTATCATTCGACTCCTGATTCCACTTGGCAATGCGTAGCTGCGATTCGAGTGCGGAGCGCTGCACCTCCAGATCCGTAACCTGTTCCTGCAAACGCTGATTACCATCCAACTGAGCCTGCTGGCTGCGTCGTAGCTCATTAAGATTAGTCTGTGCACTGTCTAGACGTTCGGTTAAGATGCGTTTTTCATTCTCCGCCGTTTGCAGTGATTTCTGCAGCAGCTTCAGCTTATCCTCATTTGTCTGTGAGCAGTGGCCCTGTTCCGAAAGCTCCTTGTTTAGGGTTTTTATCTCACCACGCAGTTCGGTTTCAGTGACTGCTGCTTTTTGCAGTCGTTCCTTCATCTGATCCACTGTGGACTTAAGCGATGTGCAGCGATCCTCCAGCTGCGCCAAGGCGCGATTTTGGTTTTCAAGGCGCTCTGATACCTGCCTTATGTTGCAATCTTTTTCTTGGAGTGCCATCTGTAGACGGGTGAGGTCGCCCTCCATGGCCACGCGTTGCAGATCCAGTTTGCTGGCGCGTCCCTCCACCTTGGCCAGCTCTTCTTGCAGCTGACGCTTTTCATTTTCCAGCTTAGCGCCATGCTGACGGCACTTTTCTAGGCGATCCTGAAAAAGAGAAGGAATAGTTGATCATCAAGGGAGCCCAACTGTCTATGAAGAGAAGGAGGGCGACTTTCTAATCCTACATTCTTACCTCATTCTGCGAATTTTCCTCAGATGTGGCGCCTAATTGCATTTCCGTTTGTGCCAAACGCTCCCGTAACATTTGGCATTCGTCACTGCGGTGCTTGAATTTTTCTTCAAGTGCATTAAGCTCCGATATCTTCATCTTTCGTTCCGTTTCCAGGTTGCTCTTCTCTTCTTGCAGATTACGGAGCAGCATCTGTAGTTTTCCCACCTTGGTATCACAGCGTAGTTGCTGCTCGGCGGCATCTTGTAGCTGCTTTTTGGCAGCGCATAGCTGTGACTTGTAATCGTCCTTTTCACGCTCGATCTGCGCCACCTGGTGCATAAGGTTGCGCACACCTTTGCGCACGAGATCGGGATCCACATCGATCGGTGCGTCAGGACACTGGGAAGTGCTGCGTGTGTCGTAGTCCCCGCTGCGTGAAGGACTAAAACGACGAGATGGACTAACCAAACGATGCGATAAATTGACGCTGCCATCGATTTGAATGCCGGCAATTCTGCGCAGCGTGTGCACCACAGAGCTTAACTTGTGCTCGGTATCACGCTTGTGCAGCTCGACACAGGCCAGTTGTTCGTCCAGAGCCCGTATGCGACCCTCGGCTCCACCCAGGCGCGCCTTTAGCTCCTGTATCTGTTGCGTGGCATCGGCCAGGCACACCTCTAGATTGTGTTTTTGATCCTCGAGGCGCTTTTCGCGTCCGCGTGCCTCCTCCATACGGGTGGCCAGCTCCTGCTCGCGTGCATGGAAGCGATGTTCCTCCTGATTGTTGTGGCAACGCGCACGAGCCAACTCCTGCCGTGTGGCACACAGATTTGCCTCCAGATCGGAGAGCTGCTTCTTTATCTGACACAATTCCTGCTGTGCACGCTCCTTGAGCTCCGTCTCACTCAGTAGTTTTCCCTGCAATTCCTTACCGCCTTCCTCCTTCTGGGCGAACTCCATTTGCGTCTTATGCAGTGTTGCCTTGGTCGCATTGAACTCTTGCGTGGTTTTCGTAAAGTTATTCTCCGTCTCTTTAAGTATTGTGCTCAGACGGGTGCGTTCATTTTCCAGCGTGTTCTTTGTCTCTTCCAGATTGCTTATCTTTTGCAACGCCTCCTCAATTGCCCGAGCCTGCTCTCGTTTGGCACCCTCGACGCGTTTCACATGATCGCGTAGCTCCTTGTTGCTATTCGAGTACTTGTCGCGTTCAATGTTGCTGTCTGCTAATTGCCGTCGGGTATCAGTTAACTCCTTACGCAAACTATCGATGTAACCCTCGCCTGTCGGAATAGAAATAAAGGGGTGAATTGCAAACGAAAGGATGTGAACAAACGCATTTGCTTCGCTTACCTTCCTTGGCCTTTCGCAGTGCATCCTGCAGTTCATTGTTGGTGCCTTCCATTTTGTCCTCCTTCAGCCGGATTTCCATCTTCAGCTCATCAGATAGCCTGAAGAGCGTATCACGCTCCTCACGTATGCTGGTTAGCTGCAGCTCCTGCTTCCGTATGCACTCTTCCAATTTGATTCTGTTGAAACAGTTTCAAAATATTGTCCCATTAACATTTCTATTGCAGCAACTACCGAATACTAATAGGAGATCCTGTCCTCTCAATCCTTGAAAACTTTACACTGTATTCAATTACTTTCCCTTAATCTATTCTTTGAGTCACACTCTATATGTGTGTTCACATTTCTCCACTAATATAATTTTATTCCACCCGTTACCCCTTAGTCTTCATTCGCTGCTGTCTTGACTGCCCATTACTCACTTATTCTCCTCCTCTTTAGTGCGTATGTGTACGATTTCATCCTTAAGTTGTGCTATGGCCGAACGCTGCTTTTCATCACGTGCATTAGCTTCCCGTTTGTTGCGATCCAATGCCTCTTGTTCCGTCTTCAGATCCCTCGCGACGGCTTCGAGTCGCTCGGCTACCGCCTGTTTGTCCCGATGTGCCATCAAAAGAGCCTGCTGCTTTTCGTTTTCAGCGCGAATCAGGGCTTCCTCATGCTGTTGCACCAGACTCTCTATGTGTGCTTGGAGCGCGGCTAGGCGTTCCTGTAGTTTCTCAATCTCATCGTCCTTGGCTGTTTGCAGTGCCTGAAGGGCTTGTTGCATTCGCTTCTCTAGCGCATTGCGCAGCTGCAATACCTCGTCGCCATGTTTCTTGGCTGCATCTTCGGCGGCGGCCTTTAGATTAGAGATCTTCTGATTGAAGTCATTTTCCGCTGCTCGTGCAGCATTAAGCAGTTGCGTCTTGGTCTCCTGTGACTTGCGTTGGCATTGCTCAAGATCTTTTTGCAATCGGGCCACATGATTCTTCAAGGACTCTTCCCGTACCAATGCTTCCTGCAGATCACGTTCCAGCTGACTGCGTTTCTCCTCAGTGGCCTCTAGGGTAGTATTGGTGTCGAAAAGCACGGCATCTAGGGATTCCTTCTCGGAACGCATTGCCGCCAATAGCTCGTTCAAACGATGCGTGTCTTTCTCATGCAAATCAATGACCACCTGTTTCTCCTCCACGTCCTTGACCATTTCTTCGAGATTGCGATTGAGTCGGCTATTCGTTTCCGTGGTTTGTTCGAGACGTTGCCGTGTACGCATGAGCTCCTCGTTGAGGGCCTCCTTCTTGCGACACATGGCCGTCAGCTGGTTGTGTATGTCACCACGATCGCGTGTTACACAAGCCAGATCTTGCAGAATCTTCTCCTTCTCCAGCTGCAGACATTTGATCTTCTCGCTATAGGAGAGATTGTCTGTCTCTAGCTCAAGACGCGCCTTGTCCAATACCGCCAGCTCTTTCTTCAGTTCACCAATTTCGTTGGCCTGATCGGCGGCCTGCAAACGCAATTTCTTGCGCTCTTCCTGAGCATCAAGCAAACAATTCTGGACAGACTTAAGCTCATCACTGGTGGAGCAATTGTTGTTCGAAAGTTTTTCGTGCTTCTCCTGCAGGTCACACTTTTCTAGCAGCAGCCTGTCCAAGTCATACTCCAAATCGGATTTCTGTTTCTCCAGCATATTAATGAGGTTGTCGGACTCGATGCGCTGTTGCTCAAGTAGATCTCGATTAAGACTGACGCGATTGAGTTCTTCACGCAAAGAAATGGTTTCCTCACGCAAGCGGCTGCTGCGATCTTCCTCAGATCTAAACGAGTGAACATATTAATATGAGTTGTTGTTAATTATAGTTTAAGGAATTTGAGTACCTCAGATTTAATTCAGTTATATTTTTGTCCTTCAATATGCGTTGTATTTCCAATTCCACTGCCTTTTTGTCCTCCTCCAGTGAGTCAATGCGTTTCTGCAGCTTTCCATAGTTCAGTTGCAGTTTCTCGAACTCGCTGCTCAGGTTTTCAAACTAGTAAGGAGGAAATAGAGGGGTTTCTTTTTTTTTTTGAATATATATGGGAATAAGGTAAGCTTATGTCGAATAAAATCTACAATCCGCAAACAATGATGCCACAAAATTTCCCAAAAGCACCGTCGTCCAAATAATCTCTTTATTTTTATACGAATGGAAAAAAACACGTTTTTTGAATCAATTATCTCTACAATAAACAAACAATGCCTTGGCTCTTTAGCTCTGTTCAAGATCAAGCAAAGAACAAATGCTGTTCTTATAGACAGATGGCCATCAGCTGTCGCAGCTCTGTCTCCTAAAACTCGGACTTGGTTATCAAGTATAAATATGTGCTTACCCCATTGACAGAAAAGGATCGGTGTCATCAAACCCAATTCAAAATGCAAGCTTTCAGGGATTGAAAATCTGGTGATTGCTGGCATTACGGGCCTAAACACTTATTCTACTACAATCCAACTCTAGGAAGTAAAAGATTTATGTGATGTTGAACACAGGAGCTGGTTGTAGGTAGCTGAGAAGGCAATCAAGAAGCTTGAAAACATTATTAAAAAGAATGGTGAATGTTGTTGCTTGAAGATTGCTATATTATTTTCCGAGATGAAAATTGTTTTCATCCATTCCATTTAATACAATTTCTATCTCATGAAGATAACAATGCATTTAAAAATTTCTACAATTTCAACAAATCTCTTGGGGTTTCTTTTCGTCCGTTTAATTCGTTTTAATGAAACAAATTTTAAGAGGCTTTCGTAGAAAGAACTATTTAGGCCCAATTCCTAATACAAAAGGGTACTGACAAAGGGCTGTCGATTCCGTGCCCTTTTCTCTCAAGCAGTATAATCAAAGATATGTAGTATAGATCCAAAGCTTGAATAGCACAAATAAGAGATGATGTACGTTTAACAATAAACACAATTAAGTCAAATTTATTTACAATGTTTTTTCAACCAAAGTTTTTGAATAGTTCCCGAAAGTTGAATGTACATCCTTTGGTTAAATAGGTATCAAATTATGAAAATTTGACCAAGAAGAATAAGCGCATTTGAAAATAGTTTCCCTCATTGAACTTATTGAACATTTATTCAGATAAGTGTCTTTAACTTACCGCATTATTCAAATCAGCGCGTCCCATTTCCGACTGTTGTTTTTGTGCACGAATCTCGTCGAGCGTCTTCTGCAGGCTCTCTCGCTCCTTTAGCAGCTCGGACAATTTGGAATTGCTGGCATCCAGTTTCTCCGTCAACTGCTGCATTTTAGTGGTCAGGAGGGTCTTGGTGCCCTCGCTGGTATCTAATTGGGTTTTGGTAGTGCGTAGATTTTCGCTGGCATTCTGGAATTTAACCTGCATGTCGTGCAGGGCCAACTGGTACTTGTGCAGCGCTGCCTGTACAGCTGAAATGGTGCCCTCGGCAAATGCTTGAGATGCGCGCGTCGAATTGCGTCTCGGAGATTTGCTGCCGCCACCACCACCCGCAACTGAAGCGGAATCACGCGTCAAGTGCATGTGCTGCATGGCCCCGCCGACCTCGGCGTCTGCCTCGCGATCGGCGATCTCGGCATCTTGTACAACAGCCTGAGCTATTTCGCGCATGGAATTGTTCAGTCGCTCGATTTCGTCATTGTAGCGATTAGCCAGGGCCGCCTGCGATTCCGCTTGGGCGCACCGATCTTCAAGCTTCTTCAGTTGATTCATCAGTTCGAGCAGTCGCTGATCACGCTCCATTATCTCATGCCGGGCACTCTCGTATTGCACCTTCAGTGTGGCCAGTTGGGCCTGCAAATCATCGTTTTCGCGACGTGATAGCTTCAGCTCCTCATCAGCGGCACGCTTGGCCTGCTGGTGATTGAAGGCCACACTCGAATTGCTGCCATTGATGTCTTTGCTCACGCTGTTGATCTCCATACCCATTTTGGCCACCTCATTTTTCATCGAGGTCTGCATGTCCTTGAAGGCACGTTTGACCGCCACAACTTCCCGCCACATTTTCAGCAGACGATTGTGCTCGCTGTTGTAGTAGTCCTTGAAGGCCTGCTCCTCTTCCTTGAACTCGTCCTCCTTTATTAATAGCTCGTCGCGCATATTGGACCAATCATTGGTCAGTTTTTGCAAATCATTGGTCAGCGCCTCGTTGACCCGATTGGATTCCTCCAGCTGTTGCCGCAATGCATTGTTCTGTGCCAGGATCTGCTCACAGCGATTGTGCTCCTCCTCCAGCTTGCGACACAGTTCGCTGCCATCGTCATGCACATAGTCGCGTGCACAGCTGGGTGGAGGAGAGTCCAGCGACGAGCTGCAGGGCAAACTCGACTGACCGAGTGTTAAGGAAGTGGAGCACTGAAAGCACAAAGAATATCCACGGATATTATTGCTGAAGAGTATTGTATCAGGTATTCTCCGCCAAATTTAATATTTTTCAAGCACCTAAGAACCTAAGAGCATCTCATTATTCTCATCAGTGCCCTAAGGTGGTGCACATAATCTGATACGGGGTCTGGCATAGCTCAACGAGCTAGCAGGAAACCCACAATGTGAGTTTGTTTCTGCGTAGGCAGTCGGTTCCAATTACGTCGCAACCATCATGACAACAGCATGATTGAAAATATTCCAGGGTTTCGTAAACTTTAATTATTGTCCTACCAGGGACAGATCTTTAATAAAGATTGAATATTTACAAACAAATAAAAATAAAATGTATTGATACTTATTCTCAAGGGCGTAGGCAGGGGGGAGGGGGTAGAGCAGGGCCGTTGCCCCCCTACAAAAAATTTTGCCATATAAAGCCGACGCACTATTTCGAATTTAAATGGATCTGAGTTGGATTTGTTGAAGTTTTTTCATTGATCATTTTTTAAATGCATCGTGCATTATTTAATCAAAATATTAATTTTTTGGCACCCCCCTTAGGTAAAAGCTGCCTACGCCCTTGCTTGTTCTAAAGTTCACTTATCACAAAAAAGAGGGAATTCCAGGAGCTTTTTAGAAGGATGATCGTAAACATAAGTTGTACCCTTTATATTTTAAATTTACTTGCAACCGTTTTATGATTAGGCAGAAAGTACTAATAATACAAATATCGTATGCAAAAACATCAACACTTTCTGTAAGAGCAGTTTTTGATTTCTTGATAACAATTTATCTAAGTCTGTGAGATTTGAACGTCAAGCCGATTCGATTCAAATCTCTTTAGGGCATGGAGTTAAAATTTCACTTTCCTAATGATAACTGATAAAATGTAGTTTTTGATTTTCTGATAACAATTTATCATATTCTGAACTCAAGCCAATTCGATTCGAATCTCTTTAGTGCATAGAAACATTGCTCTTACCTAATAACAACTGACTGGAATCTTAGATAGGTGAACTCTAAGCATACTTCAGGACTCTGAGACAGACTCTGATGCGCTTCGAAGATGTCTTTGTTACTTACTTTAGAGATATACTATATGTAGAGAGTATTGGACTTACCATTACTTGGCTCGCGGTTGGTCCCGTCGTCAGCTTTGGTGGACAAGTAGTTGTCGCTGCCGTAGAGGTTGGCTTAATGGTCTCATGCATGCGGTCCTCCAGATCGCTGCAACGTTGCCGATACTGCTGTATCTTCGACTGGAGTCTGCTCACCAGATTCGCTTGATTCTGTTGCGCCTGCTTGTAGGTGTCCAGTCGTCGTCGATAGCTGTGCGATTCATCAGCTAACCGTTGCCGCAACTCCTGATTCTGGCGCAACAGCGCATTCGTGGAATCAGCTATGGGTGGTGCGGGGCTTAACATTCTGGGCGTAATGGCACCGGAGGTGTTGGCGTTATTATTATTATTGGTGCTATTATTGTTGTGGCTGGGGTTATAGTTGTTATCGCTGGCGGGGACGCCGCCACGTCCGCGATTTCTGGCAAATGGCAGTCGCGAGGCCGTCGAGGTCGAGGCCGGGTTGATGGACGTTAACGGTGGGTCGACGGCCGCTGGGCAGGGCGTCTGCTTGAAGTTATCGCGATAGGCTTGCATCTAAAAAAAAAAAAAATAAAACAACAAACACAATTGAGTGAGTGTGGGATTGGGAGGGGGGAGGACAGAAAAGTGCACCCTTTGTAACTGTCGGCTCCCGAAACAGTTTTGCGGTTTGCGTGTACATCCGGGCCCCAACCAACCAGAAAAATGCAGAAACTTTTGCAAAAGTTCTACGCCTAAATGCTCGATAACTTTGCCCAAATTGATTTATTAACTTTTGCTGCCGCCAAACTCGAGCCAGTACTGGCGCCATTATGTACGGCCGCCATGCTATGTGAAGAATATTTTTCATTTCCGGTCGCCATGACAGCTGGACTCAAGCGAATTTTTATGCTTCACTCATACTCGTAAATAAACAAGTACGAAAACGAAATTCAAATGTGATTCTACTACCCAAATTATATTTGTACATTTCTATGTGAAACAGAAACATAGGACACTTCTCCAACCTCGGCGCCATCCCTCAGACAAGCACGCATTGCACGGTCTGTCACCAGGGAAGCGAGGAACACAAACCCTTGCCGCCCGATATACTACTGGAAATCAGCCTGAGGGCCCAACGTCCCCAAACCAAGCACAGCTGCAAGGCCCGCTCACCTGTCTCAGCAACAACCACACACATAGAGGTATTCTTGTTCCTACTCCTAAATACGTTGTATTTATTTTAATAACAAATTTTTTTTACGTTGCCATTGTTGTTGAAACTTCTTTCGACACGAAAAGCGTCTTCATTTTCGCCCCCTTGTCCTCGAATTCTCAACACTGTCAGCTACTTATGTTGATTGTCTGCTTTTGGGGGCCACCGACCGATCTAGCATAGCATGGTTGGAGGCATTATTCGCTTTCATTTATGTATCTAGCGAACAACTAAACAAAAATTAATAACCATCCATCATACACACAATACTCGTATTGGCCGATGTCTCGTTTCAGATTTGGCATGCAATATTGAGTTAACTTCCTAGTCCTAGGTATACTTTCTATTTTTGTGAGCTCGTTTTATGGAGCATCATAAAAAATTGCAATGAATTTTTTGTGCCAAACCAAGCTATACACGAAAAGCATTGCTTATTCATAACCATATCAATGTTTTGTTGAGCAAACAGCTATTCTTCTTCTTCAAGACGGATTTGAATTGAATTTTAGACGATTATGAAATGGACTGACTAACACTATTTGAAAAATTGATTATTTTGATAGTTCCTTCGTCTTATACATGATAATAGGGTGCATCTCAGTTTTCAATCTGGCGTTATTGCCATTTGTGATTACATCGACACCTTTGAACGATCCCATCAAATTTTGGACGACCTTTTCAATACAACTAATCAAAGCTTTATCTGAAAATCTATAAAAGTAGTCTGGCAAGAAAATGTGTCTACGTCTTAATAACAAATACATTAACAGAGCACTTACATATTACTTGCTTATCAATCGTACATAAAAATGCAATAACCGCAATGGCACCGAACAGAGAAATTTAAAAAGATACTGTAAGTGGCAGATAGTTCATAATCCCTTTTCCCCCTGTTTTTAAATGCATAAACAACTTGGGTTTTACTTCTCGGCTACTATTTATACAAGAAATATATTATTCTTCATTCATATTAGAATTTTTTGTTTTTTTTCCTTAATAATCTTGATAAATAGATAAAACCTTAGGCAATCTTGGTTGTTTTTGAAGTCCCACGATTCGTTTTTTAAACAAAACAAAAATACTAACATAAGAGAACATTTTTTTTTTAATTTTCAATAAAAATGCAAGTTTATAAAATCGTTAAAATATTCATTTTTAACCCATTTAGCGGGTCGAATTTGTATACCGTGCGTATATACATGGACTCCACAGAGTGTGCAGTATATGTATATTCTTAATCACTATGAAAAGATTTCATAAAGAATAGGAGCTAGGACAGTCAAACTACATTCCTAGCACCGAGAAAAGATAAGTTTGTGTTTCTTGCACGGATGCACCTCTCCACTAATTAGTGATTTTTCCATAACTCCAGCAATTCATAAATAATACAAATAATTTTGGTACAGGGTTTTGCAAGAGTTGGCGCTGCCGGAGCGTAGCGTTTCATTCCTGTTCAAACTTACAAAAACGCAGAAAATTAGTATTCAAATTTCTGCGCTAGCTTCTACGAATTAATATTTATTATTACCAACGCTCATTATGGAATTAAATGATTACATTTTCAAAATAAAAAGGCTTACTTACAAAAACGCAGAAAATTAGTATTCAAATTTCTGCGCTAGCTTCTACGAATTAATATTTATTATTACCAACGCTCATTATGGAATTAAATGGATTAAATGGATTAAATTTTCAAAATAAAAAGGCGACGAGTGTCCCTTACGATTTTAGAAAAATATCAGTTCATTTGATTTATTCTGCTTTAAATAATGCTTTAAATGTATTATGTTTCCAAAAATGTAAAAAAAAACCAATTCACTTAAATTTAATAATCACTTAAGTGATTTAACCTTTTTGTGAAACCGGAAAACTCCATTAAGCATTACAAAGTATAACTTTTAAGATCTTAACAGTATGTTATGTGGTATTAGTAGTTCTTATAATCACAGATTGAATTCGAAATGCCTTGCCTTAAATTATTCATATCCTAAATTCACTTACGTCTCACGATATTTAAAAATATCCACACAAATCCGCACCAATTATAAATTCGCCAATAGAATTATATTCGAGCGCACAATATTCAAATGTTGTTAACTGATTGAGCTTCAATTGAATACTCATCAAGTTATCATGCACCTCACTAGGGTACACCTCTTTTCGGCTAACTGCCAATTTGTGGGCCGTCTAGCCACCCACCACACCCGTCTTTGCGAACTGAAATCACTTCACTCACTTCAGTCACGTCCCCAAACTTCCCACTTGCTGCGGCAATTGACACAAATTTGCGAATTGCGGAAATACGCAACTAATGTTCTGAGGATGGATGGCTAGAGACCAACCACCAAACCGCACTCTGCCAACTAATCAGACTGTAACGAAATAAGTGAATAGATATACTCGAGAATATCGCTATCCGTAGCGCCGTTTAACTATCGAGCTCTGCACACCGACTGAGCGCCAACGACAGCGCCATGCCGTTTACATAGGCAGAGACAAACGGATGGACGAACCGCCATTATGGACAAGTCGAGGGACCTGCTAGCTAGGCTAGACCTCTCCAAGTTGGGGTTAGGGTAGAATAAACATTGAATTAACAAATTCCTCGTTACCAGGAGCAACAGAATTGATTGCGATTGCAAGTTGAAGGCGTAGCTGCTATGAAAGCATTGGTTCGCAAAGAAGAAGTCACAATTATGTTTGTCGTGCGAGCGAGCAACAAATGTAAATCGTTTCTCAAAACATACTACTTACTATATTTCGAATGCGGTCGGTTAATATGGGGGGTTACACAAAGTCAGTGACGGTGTGTGTGTGGGGGGTGTGGGCGCTCCATGTTCCTGCCAATGTTAATGTGCCTGGATGGTTTCAATAAGTCAATGTTTAGGTTATAAATTCTGTGTTCTGTCAATAAGTTTTTACCACATTTCACATTATTCTTTGTAACCCCTTATCGTATTATGCTAATCACCAAAAACAAAAGAGTTGTGTCTGATTTTAGAAAAATGTACATTTCAAAGAAAAAATAACTCGATGTTGATGTTAGTTGTGTAACTATGACTAAGAACAATGGGGTTCTATTATGGAAAATAAATAACATCATATTTTCAGAATCAATTTTCAGTCGATATTTTTTTAAGACTATTTTGAAATCGTTTAGTTTTTGTAACACCCAGGAGGGAGCATGTTATGTATGCTACAAAGTAGAGCTATTTTTTTTTAACAGTATATCAAGGCGAGTTGTTTTAGACTGTCTCTCTGGTAGTATAAAAGTCAGTTAACTTGATATGCAGGAAATCCCAAGTCCAGGGAGGAACAAGTGTGTGTTTTTAATTGTTGATGCACTAAAATGTCAAAAACTTTCGGTAAAAAATTTACTTTTTAAAATGCATACTTTATTATGAAAATTATTATGAATGCTACAATCTCCAAATTTAGCATATGCTTGGATTTATCTAGATAACGTTAAAGTCACTTTTAGTTTTTTTCGACCTATTCCGATTTACTTAGCGTTATAGTAGCCCCCGAGAAACTAAAATATATATCTCCTAAAATTGCTTTCAGAGTTTTCAAGGTGTTTATATTGCCATGATAACCATGTTGTCCTGACATATTTCCCTTTCATCAGATTCTGGAATTTTCACTCATTTACATTCAAGAACTCGGCTTGTATGTTATGATTTATTTACGTTCAGACTCTTAATTTCAAAAAGATAAAAAAATATTATAAATCATCTAAAACGTAGGGAGAGGCTTTAAAAAACATTTATCGCCCCAGATTCTTGATCAGTTAGTGTTGCAGCGATTATATTTTTTATGCTTGCTTGTTGGTTTTATAATAAACTCATATAAGTAATATGTTTCTTGTTATATAGTAGAGTTGAGGAAACAGAAAATCTGTTCAAACTAATCTTACTTAATAAACTAAAATATATGCAACCGGTTGATATCTATATGAAGATTAAATAGAATAGGATATTCAAAGATTTGATAAAACAGTTCTGCTTACAAAACTCGACCCTGCCACTGTTAAAAAATGTGCTTGAGATGATAATGAAAACGGGAAATCTCTATTGTAGTAAGGCGACAAGCGGTCTATCTGATCACCGGGGAAGCAAGTTTCGAACTTACACTCATGATGGTCTTCCTCAAGGTCTTTAGCATTATATTTCCCCATAGTTCCCTACCATTGTCAGATATTCTTAGGCTGCTTAAAAGCTTTAAAGTAAAATGGACTTGAAAGTCACACTTGCTGTGGTCTTCATTGAGGACTCAAATAATATAATTCTGAGAATGTGCAAGCAAATACTCTAGGTGCTCCAGAACCTATGCTCGTACCATTTTGAAGACTCCTAATAGGCTGAAGACCAAGCTTCGAACTTACTATTGAAGTGGTCTCTATAAAGCTCTCGAATATTCTCCATAATCTCCTCTTTGTGGTGTGAAAACATCGACGTACATCTTCGACTACTTCAGAGCCCCCTCACAGTGGATCCCAAGGCCTAGACTAACAGATTTTATTTTGAGTTTCGAAAGTTCACGTTGAAGCCAAAGAGCAGTCTTCTATTACAAAATATTTCCTGGCACACAGGTTAAAAAAACACAAAAAAATGTTATTGCGACGACGACTGTTATTCGAATCGTCGGTGTGAGTGATAGAAGGTTATCACATCGCTGAGGCCCCCATATCAGAAATTGCATGCACACGCATGCAGGAACGTCGAATTGCAAAATACAAAATCAAATACGAATACCTATAGGTCTGAGTATCTGACAATGCCAAAACGGCGCCGCCCAACAACCAATAAAATAGAAAGAAAAAAAAAAACAAATTAAATTAAATGAAATAATTTGAATATTAATTCTTATCAAGTTATACACACTATACTATATACGTGTATATATAAATATACATTTTTTGCTGCTGCTGCTGCTGCTCAGATCAGCTTAACCTGAGCAACCTTGGGGAGATACCAAGGTTCAGGTATATAGCATAGTCGTGTACTCGTATATTTTTAGATGGGCTGCATGTGGAATCATGGTGGATGGATGGATGGATGTTGTATGTATTTGTTATTCGGAGAGTATTATAACTATAGAGATAGGCTGCATCGAGTGCATCGAATAAAACATCGTCTGGGTGTTAAGTCCGCTTGGTTATACAAATTGTCGCGCTCGTTACTTGTTGTTTACCAGACAAGAGAGGTACGCGTACTTTTTACTTTCTGTTTTCATTTCATTTGTAGGTATGATGCAATTTCGAGGTATTTCAACAATCCATAAAGGTGATGATGATGATGAACATTCCTGTCTGTGTCGCGATGAAGCATAAGTTTTAATTTGTGTTGATGTTAGTGTTGTTGGCTTAATGGCTGTTGGGTTCATAGTCATGCTTCTTATCAGCGATAGTCGTCGTTGTTGTTGTTGTTGTAGTTGTTGCCGTTGGAACCATTAAACCGCGTAGAATCGAGTAAAATAAATATTGTATTAATAATCCTATACGCTTGTACGTTGTCTGATTAACGACAAAATATGATGGGACCAAAGTTCGAGACTCTCTCTAGGTGACTAGCGAAGCTGCAGTCAAGTTACTTGGGAACACAGATGGTCATAGGGGAGCTTGAGAGTGAGGATGAAAATCACGTATAGTTACGGATTCTACCTTTACGCTCCCTCTATAACGCGCTTGATTGATTTGGTTTTGGTTGGGTTTGGTCCTAGTGGAAAACTTTACATTACGATTGCATTGCTCGTTGCAATCTATTAAAAAATACAAATGGTGAAAAGTACTAGAGTTCAAAAATATACATACATACTTGTACATACATGTACAAGTATGATGATTTATAAATTGCAAAGATCAGACATAGGCACAAACAGACACATACACATACACACACACACACACACACACACACACACACACACACACACACAGGCAGAGACTGAGATGAAGCTCATATAGACAGCGGTGATATGGACTGCGTCTATATGTTTGTCGGACCGCTTGTCGTATCATCAGTAATCGGTGTGATTGCAGCAGGGCTTTAAAGTAGAGCTCCTATTAAAAACACACTTTAGTCACATTTCGAATTTTGCCATCGTTGCAAATAGAGAGGGAACGGAACAACAAAACGATACGGCATACGGAATCAAATCTATAATCACGTCCACTTCGACGCGAGCACCGGTGATCGAAGAAGTGTGGAAGAGTGTGTGAAAATCAAGTGAAATATAATATATAATTTGCGAGCCATGGCACAGACCCTGGACGATTTGCAGCTGCGACAGGAGCATGCACGACAATTGCGTCAGGCCTCGCGCTCCAAATTTCGACGCATCAACTCATTGGATCTCATCCCCGAGGATCCCAGTCAGGATGAATCGGATGAGCCGCATCAGCATTTTGTCGCCCTGAGACGCCAACGTACCGCCGATGGTAGTTTGTTGCAGCATCGCCGCAGGGAGTCGAATGCCAGCTCCACATCCTCCACGGGCAGCTTGGGACGCACTCTGAGCTCCAGGGTGCAAAAGATGTTGCTCTTCTGGCCACAACTGATACTCAATTTTATGCTCACTGTGCTGCGGTATTTGCTCTACATACCCTTGTCGATTGCTGCTCCAAGTTTTTGGCTCTCCGCTCTGCTCTGGATCTTTTGGAAGGTGGTGCGTGTGCCAGTGGGCTTGGTCAAGTGGCTGTTAAGTGGTGACAATGTGACCACTGCTCCTCAGCATAAGCGCACTATCCTTCTAAGCTGCGGCAGCACCATACAGACCTTGCATCTGGCCCGTAATTTCTATGCCTCGGGCGCACGTGTTGTGGTCTTTGAATTCGAAGGACTCTTCGGACTGGCACGCTTTTCTACCGCCGTGGACAAGTTCTATATGGTGCCACGTCCGAGTAGCAGCAATGTAGAGCAATATATTGCCGCGCTCTGTCATATTGTGGGCAAGGAGAAGCCGGCCGTTTATATACCCGTCTGTGCCACCAGTCCGGCCTATTACGATGCTCTGGCGAAGCCGCATCTTGAGTTGCTCGGCTGTTCCAGTTTCATACCAAGTGTGCAGGAAACGGAGCAGCTGGACGATTGCCTGCAGTTCTATCAACGCTGCACTGCCCATCAGATTCCTTTGCCGCCGCATTCCGTCGTCAGCTCGACGGAGCAACTGCAGCAGCTATACGATGGCGGCTTTATTGGCAGCTACCGCAACATCCTGATCGCTGGCGGCATGCAAGGCATATTGGAGCGGTACAAATACATCTTGCCCAATCGCCGTTCAGATCTCAAGTTTAATCAGCACGAGATTAGCGAACGACAGCAGTGGCTGGTGGTGCGAGATCAGCCGGGTTATCATCACTATGTCACCTGCACAACGGTGAAGGACTCACGTGTGGTGGCCAACGTTACCTGCCGCGTGGAGCATCACACCAAGAATCTGATACCGGTACGACGTGGCACACGAACCGGCGGAGCAGCCTTGGCGGACGATGATGAGGCACAGATCGATATCTGGCTGAGAGCGTTCTTTGCCAAGGTGCGTTTTCAACGCAGCATTAACGGACACATCAGTTTCCGGCTGGTCAAGTCCATGGCCCACAATGGCCAGTTCGTGCCGCTGGGTGTACGACTGGGCGTGGCCCTACCCTACATTTGCTTCAATCGTTCCCATGCTCAGGTCCTTTGCCGAGCCATGAAATGCATACACAAGCGCAGCCTGGAGGATGACTCCACGCTGGCGGCTTTGGGTCAGAGCTGGAGTTGGTCCACATTGGAGCGCACAACGACTACGGCGGCGTTGGACAAGCGGGAGGCACTCTTTGCCTACTTCGATCCCCTGCCCTATTGTGCTTACTATCATTTCCAGTTGCCTTTGGATTCGGTTAAGCTTTTTTTGCAGCGACGAAATCGCGCAACGACCAAAAGTTTATCGCCCCGCATCACTGTACCGGTTCATTGAACGGACAACTGCACGGCGCCTGCGGCGAGGCAACAACAACATCAACAACAATTATAACAACCACAATTAAATAAAAAAGAAGAACAACAAGAGCAACTACAGCGGCAGGCCGCAGATTAGCGCGATTAAGATGAAGACGAAGAAGAATATCGGCACAATCCAACCAAGAGCCAAGTCCAAAAGCGACGCGAGAGAGATTACACAGACTGATCAATAATAATGGAAAAACATTTTTATATACATATATTGTTTACTTTTTTGTTTACTTAGGAGCTGCGCGCACGCACCAAATGGGGTTCAACATCATCATCTATCAAATATAATTGATTAAGTTAGTATAGGTTAAATGCGTATGAATTTAAGGCACATTATATATATATATATATATATATATATATATATATATATATATATATATATATATATATATATATATATATATATATATGTATATATATATATATATTTTTATATGCATACATACATATTCATACAAACACACATATATTGTAGCATCTAAGAAACACTAGATTGTTAGTTTTGCATAATAAAGTTTATAGAATTGTATTTATTTAATTACCCATTGTGCTACTTTAATACATATTTTTGTTTATGAACGACACATTTTAACATTTGCACTACCAAATCGCGCACCACTCGTTTGTGTACAAAACAGGACTAAACCGAACAGAATGTCCTGCATTGTATGGTGTGCGAGGGTGGTTTTAGTCACGTTTTTCCTGATGTTTTGTTTGTTAGGCAACATGTTGCTTGGCAACAGCCACGCTTTGGGTCATTCTAATTGTGGTAAGACTTGTGGTAACTGAGTCATTTGCATTATCCTTATCAGCAGGCGAGTTAACGCCTACAAGCGGTCATCTACACTGGTAAAAAAAATTCCAGGGACGGTTGTTGGCTTCTTTTTTTAATTACTAGGCATTTAAGCTCTCAGCAAATTATTATATTTAATTAAATCATTGTCATATAATGATTGTGGTGCGTTTTTTTTTTATATTTTAAATTTACGGCTGTAAATAATAGTAACGGACTGCAGCAGTCAACTTTGAAATTTAGCACCGAGTCACCCTGTAGGAAAACTATTGTGATTAGCTACCACGCCCGTGCCAACACACATAAATGGTTTTCGTAATAATCTTAAAGTATGAATATAAAGAATATAGATATGCATGCGAACGTAATTAACCGTAAATATGTACATACATCCATATTGTAGGAGAAAAAATTAAACCACCGGGAACAACTTTTACCGTGTGATCGTGAGTGCGTTTTTGTTCACGTGTCTCATCTCTAGTGTGATTGGCAAATAGCAGAAAGAAGAAGGCGCTTGTAGAACAAAAAGGCAGCGAACTTTTTTTTTAGTTTCTTTTCGCAAATAAAATAACTTTCGTTATAACTGTCGTTCCACAATGAACAACAGCGTTAACGATGCTGCCTATCGTGGTGTGCTCGGCTCAGCTCAGGCAGATATCGGCGGCATCACCATAAACATTGAAAGTGACGACAATGACTCAACCACAGCTGAAAACGAACAACTATTGCCCGCTGTAAGTGCGACCTCTGGACAACAACAACAGATAGCAACGGCCACGCCACCAACAACAACGATGCCTACAAGCACAAGCATTCCATTTGAGACGCCGGTGACGCGTGGTGGCAACAACGGTGGAGGTGCAAGCTCCCGACATGGCAGTAGCAACTTAATATCGTCATTGCTGTCTCGGCAACGTTCCTATACCCCCAGCAATAGTGGCGGCGGTGGCACACCTGTCGTCCTGGCACGTTCCTCGACCGCACAAATCAATCGACGACTGCAGCCATCGCGAAGCGTTGGCAGCGGCAACAGCAGCATTGACGATTCGGCACCAGTGAGTAACAGCGCCGCAGCTGCTACAACTGGGAATGGGCGCCAGATGGGTATCTGGCGCGTCAATCTCAGTAATGTACTCTCCCTTTCCACGGCGCCATCGACTGAAGCGCTACGCTCGCTTTTCACACATTCCAACTTTCGCTATCAGCCACCTGCTGGCAGTGGAGGAGTAACCGCTGGTGCTACTGCTGGTGCGGCTTCGAACGAGAATGCAGACAATTTGCTGAATAGTCAGGATACCAATGGTGCCACAACCAGTGCCTCGTTACGCTTTGGTAATAGATCTATGCACAACGGCATGGGGCGCAGTGTATCGTTGCGCGAGGGCGAAATGCAACAGGCTCAGGGAATGTCGGTACGTCATAATGCCAGTGTGCCCACCAGTTTGCCGGAAATGAATCCACCTGCGTATGATGATAATGTGCCCACTGGTAATAACGCCAGTCAAATGCGAGCAACTATAGGGGGAGGTGGAGGTGGTGAAGGTCTGGCACCTGCTGCTGGAGGAGGAAGCGGCAATCCACAGCCACCGCATGAGCACAATGTGGACGACGAGCAGGTCATCTCGGATCTGGTAGTGCACATCCTCAGTCATTTTGTGCGCTACTTACCTGTGATTTGTATACTGCTGGTTAAATTCATATACGATCATTTGCTGGGCATTTTAGATCTCGTAGTACTGCTCGCTATAATGTACAATGTTAACAAATCGTTGCGCACACAGGTGTCCCGCCTGGCACAGAAAAACTTTGCCGTATTGATGCGTGATGCCTGTTTTCTGGTGCTTGTGGTCGCGCTGCATCTATTCCTGGCCACAACGCCCCCAGATCCCTTCGGCCTGATTGTGCCACCACCAAAGATATCCTACACCGAAGTCATTCCCCTGCCATATAAGGTGGTGGAGACCAGCAGCATCACACCAGATACATTGCTGAAGCAAGCTCATCTAACTGCCAATCCATCCGCATCTTCGCACCAAAATTCATCGGATATGCATAAGTCGATAGTTCATGGTGAAACGTTTGAAGCCGGTAAACCCATACCATTGGGAATGCTGCTCTATTATGTGGCTGTCAATGACGTTATTGTTAAATTGTTGACCATACTCATAAAAGTGGGCATTACGATGCTGCCCCTGCAGATGATAAGACTAAAAGTGCGCGTAAGTTGAAGCTATACCAAACAGGCATACATGTATGCACGACCGATTAAAATAATAGATGCACCATACGAAAAATGTTTACTCCATTGTTCACTGAACAAATTATTCATGAACGATGATGAATCTACTATTTTGATTGGATGCATATAAAGAAGCATTTAAAATCAGTTCTCAATTTCAGGCTCGCTTGTATGTGCTTGTGGAATACACTTCGCAGTTTTATCGCGCCCTGGTGCCCATTACACAATGGTTCTTATTTCTCTATGAATCTTACTCGGGCATAGAAGTCATATCGGGTGGGCTGTTCTCGTCATTATATCTGGGCGCCAAGGTATTTGAGCTTTTGGAACGCGGAAAGTCCTTGAAGAAGGCAATTGTTACTTTTCGACGTAATATTGTAAGTAATAAGAAAATGAATTTAACCATTTTAAAAGCTAACTTATTGATTTTGCGAGGACTCGGAGCGTCAGCCTACGAAGGATGAACTTGATGCTGCGGGCACAGTTTGCCCCATTTGCCATGATTCATACACCACGCCCGTCATTCTTGAGTGTGGGCATATATTCTGTGATGAGTGCGTCAGCACTTGGTTCAAGCGTGAGCAAACATGTCCAATGTGTCGCGCTAAAGTAAGTGATGATCCGACCTGGCAGGATGGTGCCACCACATTCTTTTGCCAGCTATTTTAGATAGGCGACAACAAGAAACCACAGTCTTAGAAAAAAATGTGTACATATTTTTAAGTAAGCATTCCTAGCAATGCCGCACACAACTTTGTATATTTAAGCTAACAGTTATTAATTATTATTAATATTATTGCTATATATGTACGGAACACAAGTCTTTTACTTTGGTTTTTGCTTCTTGCGGGCGGCGGCGGCCAGAGATTGGGTCTCATAATATTCACCATCACCACGCGTTGCGTTTCTATTAATTTCTCCATGCCGTTCTTTACTCACTATTTCCTCAAGAATTTCGCTGTCACCTTTTATCAAGCGTATACGTCCAGTTACAGGATCCACTTCTCGTCGAATTTGGCTCTGACGTCGTTGATATTCCTCAGGAGTTTCCGGAGCGTGCGACTTGCTGTTCATCAACGCTTAAATGTGTGCAAACATAAGAAAGATAGCACGTGAGGAGTTGTTGCCTAGACAGATAATTTGTTCATTACGGACCTATTGGTATAGCAAAGTCCTGATCCTCGCCATCACTTTTGTCAACGACTGCTGCAGCGGCTTCTGCAATTTTCGTTGTTACTTCTTCCTTGACGGTTTTACTGTGCTTTTTAGACTTTTTTGACTTATGCTTCTCCTTGTGGTGCTTATGCTTATGCCTTTTCTTCGACTTCTTTTCGCTTTTCCCCATATTAATTATAATATGACAAAAATAAACCGCAGCTGAAAAGCAAACAAGCCAGTCGATATCTTATTGACATTTAGAGATGGGCGACAAAACCAATCACGAAATGTTCGAGTTTATGCATATGTCATGCTTGTAACAATTCATGCAATAAATTGTTTAAAAAAATATGTTACCATTTATTTTACTTTATAGTACATAACAGCAGTACCTATATTGCAAATTAATCCGTTTTACAATATCATGCTTTACTATTTGCGTGAATTAAAACCACGAATCACGTTGGTAAATGCAACACTGTCCGTATTGTGGATGGTAAGCGGGCGCATGTTGTGTACAAAAGGAAACGTCAAAAAGAGCTATAGAGTTGTGTTAACAAAAAAGAGACCAAGAGATAAATCAAAACTTGTGGATTTTTCGCCGAAATAAACATAGTAAAGCGCTTTTAACCATTTCAACTGCCACGCTATAGAGAATCTTTGCCTGCGGCGCGCTCAAAAAGCGGCGACCACTAAACTATAAAACGCAATCGCGGTGTGGAGCCAAAACGCACACACAAATAGACAACGACACGCGCAAGCAAAGGAAGGAGCAGAATCTGAAAGAAGTGTGTGAAACTAAAAGAAGATTCGGCAAATATAACAACAACAACAGCAAAAAGAGCCACAGAACTTTCGCTACGTGCACACGTAAATCGAGTACAACTACAAATTTTGTAAATTTTGCTAAAGTGGCCGCAGGCAAGCAGCAACCAAATTAGCCGCCAGAAATCAGTAGCAGCAGCCAACCACAACAACAATAATAACATCAGCAGCGTCAACAACCGTTGGGAACACAGGATAAACGTAGTATCAACAACAGCAGCCACAACAGTAGTAGCAACAGCATTAGAAGAATGGAAAAAGTACCAGCCAAACAATTTGATTCGTAAGTGTGATGACAATTAGGCCGAATACTGTCCGTCGCCTTGGTCATTGTTAGGTTATGTTCTTATGCTACAACATATTTTTTCCTACCAAAATAACTTAAAATGTTCTTATTCGAACTTGGTCTAGGTTCAAGACTCGATCGAAGAAACCTGTGCTGGCCAGCGCTCAAGCTATAGTTTAAAAACGTGTGTTCTTTTTGCTGTCCAGCCCTTTCCTTACGTTTGTGTTTATTTTGAAGTGTAGTGTGTTGCACATTAAACCAACAGACCCGCTAAAGTGGTTCATCAATTTCGTCTTCAGATTGGCAGAGTATCTCAGCAGTTAGTTCCTCATTCTTATCACAAGCCAAGTACACCTGTACGACTAAGTCGCGCGGAAATCCTAAGCCGGCTAGACGATCAACGGCAGCGGTTTCCTCAGCTGTGAGAGTTACGTCCAAATTAAATTCAGAGTCTGTAGGGATGTTGCTTAAATCTCCAACATTATCATTGAGCAGATTGAGAAATTCCTGCTGATGATTACGTATGGCATCAAAGGCCTCCGGGTCCTGCTCTGCTAATCGTGTGAGTACAACACCCAGCATTTCTGGATTCTGTCGAATCAAGTCTCGAACTTGCTCAAATCGGGGATCTGCGGCTAGAAAAGCCAGGTTGGCGGCGTTGCCCGGTCCAGATGCCGCGTCCGCTCCTGTTGTAGGTGCAACTGATGTTTCGACTGCAGCTTGTGATGGAATTCCATTGATTAGATATTCGATCGCCCGTTCTGGATGATTAAAGCTAGCACGGAGAGCTTCGCGCACATCCAATTCATTATAGCCCATGGCCATTAGGTCTTGGACAAGCTGTTGGTTAGGCATACGTGATGGAGTCGGTTGTTCTGTAACCGCTAGGCTAGGTGCCGTGCTCAAAGGTGGAGTCGGAGGTACTTTTTCCATCGATGAAGGTGGTGTTGCGTTTTCAGACTGTGCCACCTGTAACTTTTTCTTGCCCATAAGCACGATGAACCTGCTTTCATCTATATTGTAAGCGCTTAGGGGTTTGTCATCCTCCAGAATTCGACCGCTGTAGATTAATTGCAAACTGTCTGCTGGCAATGTTACGTCCGGCATTTTCTCCAAGACTTCTTTTAACTCTTTAACACTTCGAGTGGCCTCCAGGTCTACGCTAAGAACTTTTTGGTTTAATGTGCGAATCGAGAGTTTCATTTTTATGTTCTATTGAATTTAACTATAAAATTTAACCAATGTAATTGAATGATCTTTTAAAGAATTGTTTATTTCTGCAAATTGGTGCGTTACTGTAAAAATACTGCCTTGGGTTTCCGAGAATTTAAGGGTATGCATGGGTTTGTGATGGAAGTGAAGTGTCAAACGCAAATGAACGGAAATCCCTTGACATACTAATCAAAAAAGTGTTTGTAATGTCTTTCCGTTACAGGAAAATCTGGCCAGATCTCGCCGACAGCGACGACAGCGATGTGGAAAATGAAATAGATGTGGATAAATTACCACCATTGGAGGTTGGGCCCAATGAGAATCGCCTGCAGCATACATACTGCCTGTGGTTCTCACGCAAAGGCACACAACGGCACACGGATTATAGTAAATCTTTGCATGTGGTCGGGCGTTGTGCTACCGTTCAGCAATGGTGGTCTCTATATTCGCATCTGATAAGGCCGACGGCATTGAAGCCCTATCGGGAGTTGAGTCTCTTTAAACAGGGAATTAAACCGATGTGGGAGGACCCGGCGAATAGTAAAGGAGGACAATGGGTTATACGATTGCGAAAAAATAAGATTGATCGCGCTTGGGAGAATGTCTGTATGGCCATGCTAGGTGAGCAATTTCTAGTGGGCGATGAGATATGTGGCATAGTGCTGCAAACAAAATACCCGGTAAGTGCGAAATTTTGTTTATTATTACCACATATGACACAAAATGCCTGGAAACCATGAGGAACTACATTTAAAATATCGACATTTGGCGCGCACACCAGTGTTTAAAATCGACCAAAGTTGCTAGCCGATGTGGCAGCCCTGCGTCCACAAACCATATGTTTATAATTATTTAGAAATTTAATTGTGCCCAAGGCACTTAATTGCAAAAAAAAACTTTCTCTTTAGCTACAAGCATAATTATCAGTGAAACTGGTGATTTCCAGACTCATTCATAAACACGCGCTTGTTTGCTTGTCCACATTGTGGACGAAGATGTGTGTAAAGGCAGTGCAAAAAATACTTGGATTCCACAAACAAATGGTGGTGCGGATGGTGCAGTGCTGGTTGTTGTTGTTGACGTTACCGCTGGCACGGCTGACGTAACGCAAGTGTATTTTGAGATTTTTTGGTGCATTTACCAAAGCGTTAGGGTATTTTAGCAGCTACAGCTGCAAACGAGCGGAACAAAAGTGAAAACAAGAAAGTCGTGGTTAAAAGAAGCAGCAAAACGCTAAATTATATAGCACTCTCAAAGACGCTGAGCAATTGTGCAATGAACGCAAGCGTAACAAAAACAATAATTAACCCAGAAAAGTGAACGCTGGTCACAGAAACGTATTGTTAATAGCAATAAAAGCGTAACATTTACCGCGCGTCTTTTCGGCTGTCATGGTGTGTGTGTGGTGAGCGTGTGGAAGCAAAATGCGATAAATTGCCGCACAGATATAATAACAACAAAAAAGAGGTGGTAGGGTAGACGACGTACTACCTCAATTCCTTATGAGCAGCGCCAAAAAACTAACGCAAACGCACTTAAAACAAATTCCACAAATTCCATCGTCGCTCATTGCGAATTGGTTGGTCTAGCCTCTGCCGGATAGCGACGCATGTCTCAGATTGACGAGAGACAGCAACACGTCGAGTGTGCTTTCAAGCGACGTGCGCGTTAAACAGTAGCACTTACTAATACTATACACAACAGTGTAATCAAATCAGCAGAGAGTAAGAGAAATAGTGTTTGTGAGAGACAACAGCCACCCACAGCAAGAGTGGCGTCTCCAACAAGAGAGCGCCAAAACCGATACCAAAAAGCCAGACTGTCGTCTCTGTATTTGTATGTGAAGAACGCGCCGCCGACCAACTCACACACATACTTACGTAGAGTCGCGTACGCAACGTAGCAAAAATAAAACAGAAGTTTCAAAGAGAGAAAAAACGCCCACCGTTACGGCTAAACACCCTCCGCGCGCGTTGCTCCAACCAACGTCACAGCGCCAACTACAACAACAACATTTGGTTGTAGTAGCAGTAGCAGAAGAAGAAGCAGCCTTGCGCAGAAATCGATTTTTTTTGTGCTCATTTTAAGATTTTCCTGCACGCGTCTCGTTGCGTGTGATTGCTGCGGCTAATAAAAAACTAATAAGAAATAATTTTTAAAAAATATAAAAATACGCGGCGAGTGCAACAACTACTTGTGTCAAGTGTATGCACTTGAAATATCAGAAATCTGTGAATAAAACGCGTTGCAAGTAAAAAGCCATTGAAGAAAAGTCAACGCAGTGACGACACCGACTGAGCTACACACATACATACATACACTAACACACAACACGCACACGCTGTTCCACGCGCCGCGTAGCCCCACCCCGCGCCCCCCATTCAAAAGTGTATGTGTGCAAAAAAAAAAATAAAGAAATATCTTAAAAGTGCAAAACAAACAAGTAATAAAAAAATATAATACGAAGAAAGCAGCAAAACGTAACTTAAATCACAGAGAGTGTGCTAAAATATAAAATTTCATAGGGTGCAAAAATCTTACTCATTGTTAAATTTATCTCTGCCAAAAAGGCAGCAAAAACATTAGCAAACAATAGCACTAAACACCATTTGTTGTTATTGTTGCTTAAGCAACTGTGAGTCATTGTGAATATAATAATTCAACATCATTGTTGTTGCTGCTTCTACTGGCATTGAGGTGCTCAGTTCGGTCTCTTTCTCTCTGTCTTTCTCAATGTTAAACGCCGCCGCTCTCACGCGAGCGTAAAATCAAAAAGCAGTGTAAAGAAGAAGTATTATTAACCAAAAAGTGGAGTGCGTTAAGAGCTAGCCAGTTAAGCAAAGCCAAACAAACAACGCCAGCGAAATAAAAGCATATATACATATATATAAATACGGACAGAAAATAAAAAAAAATTAATCAAGTTCGCATTGTACATGTGAAAATCATTTTGTTGTCTAAAGAAAATCCATGAAAAATCAATAAAAAGTCACATTGTGGGCGCCGACAAAAGCGAAAAAAAAAAACAACGTGCAAACAAGTTAGGCAACAATAGTCAGTTAATAGTTTAACGAACAATAACAACAGCAGTAACAACAACATCTACTTCAGTTATAATCGTGCAAAACGTTTACGTAAATTTCACAAACAACTGGCAAGTGCAACAGTTTTGTTATTTTTTAGCTGCCAGTTAATAACAACAACATACAAAAATCAACAGCGGCGGTTAACTACACCAACAATAACAGTAATCAGAATCAACAGCAGCAACAACAACAACAACGAATATAAAGGCATTTAACAAGAAGAACAGCAGCGCGTCGCGTCTCTTATCAAAACTGCTTCCTGCTTAAAACGCCACCAAAATGACGAAAGACAGATTAGCAGCCTTACATGCCGCCCAATCGGACGACGAGGAATCGGAGGATGTGGCCGTCAATGTGGATGGCCATGATTCTTATATGGATGATTTTTTTGCCCAAGTCGAGGAGATACGTGGTATGATCGACAAGGTGCAGGATAATGTCGAAGAAGTTAAAAAGAAGCATTCAGCCATTCTATCGGCACCACAATCCGATGAGAAAACCAAGCAGGAACTGGAGGATCTTATGGCTGACATTAAGAAGAATGCAAATCGAGTGCGTGGCAAACTCAAGGGCATCGAACAGAATATCGAACAGGAGGAGCAACAAAACAAATCCTCGGCCGACTTGCGTATACGCAAAACCCAACATTCGACATTGTCGAGAAAATTTGTCGAGGTAATGACGGAATATAATCGCACCCAGACCGATTATCGAGAGCGTTGCAAGGGGAGAATACAGCGTCAATTGGAGATAACAGGACGTGCGACAACCAACGAGGAGCTAGAGGATATGTTGGAGCAGGGTAATCCCGCCGTCTTTACACAAGGCATCATCATGGAGACACAGCAGGCGAAACAAACGTTAGCCGATATCGAGGCTCGTCATGCGGATATTATGAAATTGGAGACATCGATTAAGGAGCTGCACGACATGTTCATGGATATGGCAATGCTGGTGGAGTCGCAAGGCGAAATGATTGATCGCATTGAGTATCATGTGGAGCATGCTATGGACTATGTGCAGACAGCAACTCAGGACACAAAGAAAGCGTTGAAATATCAGAGTAAAGCGCGCCGAAAGAAGATAATGATACTGATATGCTTGACTGTGTTGGGTATCTTAGCGGCTGCATATGTTAGCAGTTATTTCATGTAAATTGATGCAATTACTTCTTACTAATACGCATACTCACACACAAACACATACACACATACATACTTCTGCATCCACATACTTACATACATATATACTTACAAAACGGCGTTTAATTTAGATGCTGCGCAACCCACCCAACAAAAATAAAAAACAACAAGAGTTTAACACTAAGCGCCCTTGCCAGTGAGCTACACACACACACACACACACACCGAGAGACATACATGCAAATGCATACTAAAATACACACTCACACAGCCATCACATTAGACTATATTTAAAAACAAGGAAATGCAACTGCATTTTAGTTTACTTGTATGGTTAGTTTAGTCTAGTTTCGAACTAAACTCCATTTAGACACCACAGTCGGTCAGAGTCTAGTGGCAAGTGAGCGCAAAAGGGGGCGAGTGAACGGGGAAACCCAAAGAGACGCTAGCGACAAGCCCAATTAACATTTAGAACTCGTCTAATTAGCCAAGCAAGCAAAACAAATTATAGCCTATAAAAAATCTCGAAACATATATATATATATACAAAATTGATAATGAGAAATGCTAAACAAATATATATCTATATATATAAAAGCAAAAGTAATTGCAAAAACATGAAATTTTATTGATTATTGTTATAATGCGAAGCAAAAACAAATGTAAAAAACAAAACAAAACCATAAGCAACGTTTAGCAACACTTAAAAAATAATAATAATTCAAAACAAAAAAGGTAGTTTAATTTTGTTTGCAACTGTCATTATTTTATCAGTTTTAAACATACACAAATATACATAAATTTAAAAGCAAAATCGTGTTGGCAATTTTCACTTGAAAACGTATATATATATTAAAAAATCCAAATTTTGTGCATTATTTATATGTATGTGTATGTAAATGCATTTAGTTAAATGTTGTTTAGTTTTCTATTAATTGATTACTAACTCGCAATGCTCGTCTATTTTAGTAGTCCAAATAATTTCTCACCCCAACGCCGACACGAACAAAAGGCCCAAAATCTCAATCACATACTGAAACACTCACAAACACTCATGCAAATTGCTATGTATTTATAACTAGTTAACTTTTGAATATTTATTATAAATACAATTAATTAACGATGACGAAGATATATACATAAATACACAGAAACACACATAACTATACTGACTATTTACTATATGCTATTTACTTATCATGTTTATATTTATTGAATGCATATAAAGAATATAAAACAAACTCTTCAGATATATATATCTATATATATAAATATGTATATATATATATAGTACGAACAATTAAGCAAAATGAAAATGCAATAAAAACAAGAACATAAATACATATAACAAAATTAAAGGCTAATGCAACAAAAACATCTTTCAAATTATATTTGAAAAAAAAATAATAAAAACGGAAGTTGTTACTCACGATAACGACAATGACAGCGACGACGAACATGATGATTATGTTGTTAATCACGTTTGAATGTCGTTTGCAACGGCAGCACATAATGCCAAACATACATACATATATACACATCCATCCATGATCAAATTAATAGATACACAGCATTTTAAAATTTTATCAAACTTGGGCAATTTCTCTAAAATTTTGGTTATAAAAAGATTTTAAATGGCACAACTAACCATTAGCACTGATCAATTCTTAAATTGGAACTTGATCTCATCTGATTACTTTCGTATATTGCTTATTTTCAATAGATTCTTTTCCCCCATATTCCGTTTTGAATCGCATATTCATAAAATATTGATATATACATTTAAATATAGTTTTACTGTATCTATTAATTTAATCATAGCAGTAAATATATGTGTTATGTGAATACAAATATCAATTTAATCGGCAAACTGTGAATTTATAGAGGAATATTTAGTTTATTGCGCAAATAATTGCACATGTCAGTCAATTACTTTTTGTTTTGGTTGATACATTCAAACTTGTTTTTAAGCCTGAGCTTAACTACACTTTTTTCAAATCGTTTGATAATTCGAATCTATGTTTCGTTATGTGTTGCAAGGTAAAATTGTTATTGCATTTTTGTTGTTGTTTATTTTTTCGCAGAAATTCCTTGTTTTTGCTCGATTTTATTGCCGTTAGTTTATTTTGGTGAATTTTTTGCTGCCAACCAAGAGGTGGTTAAAAGCAATGTGGCTTTTCCTTTCAATTCTTTCACTAAATATGCATATTTATGGCAAATAAATATGCAAATGTTTCTTTTTATTTGCTGCTGCAAAACTTTTTATGAAAATTGTTGCTGCCGCTTTTCTCAGCGAGCAGACACAAAAAGTTTATTTTCATCTAAAATTTGTTTGTTAGAGAAGCGCTCACCTAAATTTTATAAAAAATCTTCAATTATAGAACATTTAGTTTCATGGCATAATTTAGTTCAGTTCAGATTTGTAAAACAGACACTCATACTATATACCACATGCATACATGCACACTTATTTAAAACTGCGAAATTATCGATAGCAATGCCAGCAACAGTTAATAATAATTTTGATAAGAATACTGTTATCGATAGTTTCGTTGGTCTGTCTTATGCGAGACCTGAATTTTCCAAATCTTCTCGTTCATTGTTAAATGCTAAAAATAAAAATATATGAGCTAACGAAGTCCAGGAATCGTATAGACCTAGTGATGCATTACCAACACAACTAACCAAAAACATTGCATTTTATACATTTTCTGCTTGTTTGCGCTTCACATTAACCGATTTGTTTTCTCTCTTTTTGTTTCTTTCCTACGCGTATTGTTTTTATATGGCCATTATGTACTTACCACTACACCCCTATAATCCCTCAACAAAAATATCGTATCGACAACGAAAATCGCCAAACACCCACATTTGGATTTGTTCTAACTGCATGCTGCTCAACAATTACGAAAAACTACAAACAATTTGCTCTTATTATTATAATTATTTTAATTTACTCGCCAAAAATTGTCACACCCGTAACTCAATGAAAATCAATTTCGCTGCCATCTTGTATCTGCAATTGTACAACTTCGACACAAAAATGAAATATAAATAGTATAAAAGCTAAAAATTAGCATGCAATACACAAAAATAATACAAGATAATAAATAACAATTGTTACTGCTAGCCGAATCAAATCACATATATCTATCTGTTTTGGCTAAAAATCGTGTAAGACAAAATATTCAATAACTAAGAAAACACAAGAGACATTTTTTGCTCGTTTGCTCTGATGCTTTTTAGTTGCTTAAGTACATTTTATTATATGCACCTAGAACACAAAACAGCCAGTAAGATCCATAAATTCTTCAACAATACCAGTCTGCAATTACAACTACAACAACAACAAGAAGAACGAGAACAGCAACAACAACTGCGCTCTAGTCCAATGCAACTCGTGCACGTTTCTTTAATTTTTTGTAATTTTAAGAGAATGCTCCAAAACAAAAATTCTCTACTCCACTCTATTGATAACAACTACAACAACAACAGCAACCACGTTCTCTGCACCTTTTTGCACACTACACGCTCGTCCAATCCAATGTAGTGTTGAAAAACATACTTCGACTTCGTATTATGTCAATCAATCAAACTGCGCGTTTGTGTTTAAATTCAATGTGTGTGTGTTAAGTAAAATACGCCTACAAAAACGCGACTCCTCCGCGCCGCCCACTTGGAAGCTTAAGCGTCCCAGCAACAACAACAAAAACAAATCGAATACAAAGAAACCAACGATATGGACAAGCAACAGCCCCAGCTTCAGCTCCAGCTTCAATCATCTTCAACAACAACTAAAAAACTCAAAAGCTGCAGTGCGTCATTCCTTGCCGAGGTGAGTAATTTTCATTTTATTTTTCTTAAATTCACAATTTCCACCCATTAGAAATCGTTATATTTTTCATAAATGCTCACCATTTAACCCCAACAGTCGAACAAACATTGTGCACATCACGTCTTTATAAAATTGTCCAGCATTTGTAATGAAAGCAAACCATTGTTTTGTCATTTTTCACAGCATTCCAAATAAGTAGTGAAATCCCATTAAATGCGTCGTTTAGAGGGGGAGATGAAAGAATTAATTGGTGGAAGTGCGCATTTATAATGCAATATTAACTATGAAATACCGCTCATAATAATTGCAAGTTGTAATTGCATTATTAGTACAGTTTATTCGTATCATAATTGATGGAAATATAATGTGGAGTGAGAGAGCTTCATATCAACATTTAATTGGATTTCGCAGAGAAATTCTGTTTTATGGTTTATAGGCAATTATCGTAGATTAACTTTGAAATTGAGCTAGATTGTGATTATGTTTAATAAATTTATTTCACATATAACTACAATTTATTTCTTTATATCCAATTCTAAATATACTTTTATTCGAAATAGTATTCACCGTTATGACTATTTCAATAAGCAAATGATTAATCTTTCGAATAAATATCTGTCGATTTGACATCCCCATAATGGTTTGCCAGGTTTAAAATTTCATTTGAAATTCAAATTTGTTATATAGCATAAAATTGCAAGCATTAGTTGAACCTATTTAAATACACTATAACTTATGGGAAGCTCTGATAAAATAATATATTTTTCGATTTGATTTCTGGAAATGATAAAATAAAAAGTGGGATTATAAATATATTATGTTAAATAGGGTCTTATAATTACATTAACTCTGCGATCATTCAAAAGTTTACACAATTCCTTTTTTTTTTTTTTTTTTTGAAACAATTCACTTACACATTGAGTATTTAATGACTTTCCCCTTTTTTCGAGAGTCATTAATCATGCTGATGCATCGAAGTCAATCGTATTTCAGATGAAGTTAATTCGGCACAGAGCTCTAAATGTACATATGATCTCATTCGCTCAATAAGGTATTGTTTTGTTTTTTAGTTTACAAAATCATAATAAGCTCACAGTGCTGGCTAAGTAATTTATGAATAAATATTCCTCTTATTTGCTAATATTATTATTATATTATTTTTCAGATATATGTAGGTGCAAGCCACTTATTATATAATAGGTATCATGTTCATGATAAGTCTAGAATATTTTTGGAACACACTTGGGTTGCGTGCTCAATTCAGTGTTCTACTATATCTATAAACATGTATCATTTTCTCCACTTTTTGTCGTCGGTATTTCCTAAATTGACTTTAACATGCACACAGTCGCAATTTTTATTGGTCAGTTGAGGTCATCAGCCAGTATTTTCACCTTTCCGCTGATGCTTCCAATACACTCATGGCATTTAAAGCTAGCGCTCTCGCAACGGCGCCTACAAGAATGCAAACGATAAAAACTATTTACATTTGCGTTAATTAGTAATAAAATGCTTTCCTTGAATGAACAATTGGAGTACATTTACAGCGCATAGTGACTGATGATTCATTTCGGCTATTGATAAGCATTTCGTATGTGTGTGTGCATATCTATTATATACGCCTAATGAAATACAATTGATAACATGTCGAGGGTCTGACTCGACAAGTTACTCTTTTTCTAGTGCAATCAAATATCACATGAAATAGTGAAAAATAAACAAAAAATAATAATAAATTAATAAGCTCCTTCCTTTTGGACAATTTCGCTTTGTATGGCTTTCCAATTTTTTTTTGGTGTAGGATGGTGTGTTGTGCAATTATTTGCAATTTTGTGTGGGTGTGTTAACCCATTAACGTCTTTCTATATCACAATATTAAGTTTAGGACTAAAGTTATGTTCAGACATGCCAATAATATGAACAGAAAAATTTGTTTTGCTTTACAATCAGACTTCCATAAGTAATTCCCAAAGAGGTTCGTTGTAGTAGTAAGCTCTAATTGAGAAACTAATTGAAGAAACATTATATTGATATGAACAGAAAAATTTGTTTTGCCTTACAAGCAGACTTCCATAAGTAATTCCCAAAGAGGTTCGTTGTAGTAGTAAGCTCTAATTGAGAAACTTTAATTGAAGAAACATTATATTGTCATGAACTGTGCAAATTGACTTCAAAAAAATAAATTAATCTCGTCCTTCCTCGGAGCTAGGAGAATCTGGATACCAACTTTGGTTATTCCAGCTTTTATAGTTTCTGAGATCCTTGCGTTCATCCAGCAGACGGACGGACATGTCTAGATTGATTTCTCTCGTCATGCTGATTCTGAATATATATACTTTATGGGGTCGGAGATGCTTCCTTCTACATGTTACATACTTTACACAAACCTAATATACCCTTTTTACCCTACGGGTACAGGGTATAAAAACGAATGTTTATATTGCCCAGGTCGCCCACACTAAACTGGTACAGGCTCACATTGAGTGAGAAGGCCAGGTATTTAGGAGTCAGGAAACTTTATTGGCAAGATAGTATAAAGAAAGCTACAAACGCTATTGACTACTGTAAGGAATCCATTAGTACCAGATGGGTGTGATGTGTTGTCGAGCAAGTGTAGGGGCTTCAACCATCGCTTCAGTCATCAATTAAATTTCAAAACAAAATTACTTACTTTGCGAGTTTGATATTTATACTCTGTACATGAAATGTACAAGAGTATATTAGGTTTGCGGGAGCTGAAAAATGTAACAGGCAGAAGGAGGCGTGGCAGACCCCACAAAGTATATATATTCTTGATCAGCATGACGAGACGAGTCGATCTAGCCCTGTCTGTCTGTCTGTCCGTCTGTCCGTCCGTATGAACACCTGGATCTCAGAGACTATAAGAGATAGAGACACCAAATTTTGCACGAAGATGCGTTATGTGTGTATTCTATACGAGTTTGTTTTATTTTTTTGATTTTCCCCCCCACTTCCCCCCTATGGGGGTTTTCCCGATTTTCCATTCGTATAATCGCCTATATCTCGGAGACTATAAGACCTAGGAACACCAAATTTTAGTCCCAGATGCCTTATGTGAATACGCAGAAAATGTATATTTTGGAATTCCCCTCCCTCCCCCCTCTACCCCGCAAATCGTAACTCCCGTAATTCTTGGAATTTCGAACTAAAATTTTGGAAATACCCCCAGTTAGTTATTATGTGTCCGTATGCCAAATTTCATTATGATAGACCGATTTAACAAGAAGTTATAGCCATAAATATATTTGCTGATGCAGCGCTGCTGCAGCGCTGCTCAAGCGCTGCCCGCGGCTGTTGTTGATGTTGCTGTTTGGTTGACTGCGAAAATGCTTACACAGACACGAATTGATGCGCATAGGCATACATACACTCACACAGACGCAATTGCTATGTAAATGTGCAATTATACACCCTTTACGTGAGTTCGAATACCGAGAGAGGTAAAATCGATCAAATTTTTTTTTTTATTTTCTTAATTTTTTTATTTTCTATAATTATTGTAAACATATGTACAGAGTATTTCAAAGTCGGGACACCCGACTTTAGCTTTTTTACTTGTTTTTGAAAAGTTTTGTAGAAATTTTGGATATGGTTTAAAACCACACTAGCGCTATAAAATATTTACTTAAATGTTCTGTATAGAAAATGATAACTCGTTTTCTATTTTTAATTATAGTAGTAGCGAAATTTGAATATAATTATTAAATTATTTCCAAGATTTGTCATTAATGGGTTAATCGTCAGTCAATTATGAGTAATAATATTGGCGAAATTCATTTCATGTTTGAAGACTCTTAATTGTTAATTTTTTGCTGCTCTGTACAAACACGTTAACAACTATTTCAAATGACTTTATACGAGTATTTGTTGTTGTTTGCTTGCTTGTCTTTTTAACACATTTTCACAATTTTGTCTGCTTACTTTGTGTTGAACGTATTTGCCCGTACTTGCCATGCAATGCCCGCATTTATTTATTTATATTTTTCCCATTTATATATATATATATATTTCTTTTATTTGTTTTTCCCATTTATACACATTTTCTGTGCTTCTCAAACACTTGAGTTTGATGACTGCTGCAATGGCACCGCATTGACGCTGCACGCCCCATCGCTATCTATCTCTGTGCCCCTTCGTTGCCCTGTCGTGTGAACTGCATGTAGCAAGAGAAGCGCACCAACGAGTCATGAAATCAATTTATGTATTTATTTAGTTTTTGTCTCGTTTCATTTTATTA